ATTTGCATCACAATGACCTGTCAATGAACCTTGTGTAAAAAAACAATATGTACTACAAGCAGCATTGCCACCAAATGAACATATACGATCCATGACATTTTTCTCCTTGTGTTTAATAGACACTATGTAAAATAAAATTTTTCTAATTTTCAAACTAATAATAAAAGAGATTTACTTGATGTGCTGCTGATCAACATTATTAAGAAAACGATAAGAATATCAAATTTTGATATCATAGTGATTCTCTTTGAACTTTAATAGATTCGTATAGCTTAGAATTCAAAATATACATGTATGAACAAACTAGATTCTACGTATTGTCATCAATCAGTTTCTTAATTGGATCACGATTCAACCGTTCGTATTCAAGGTTGTCAATATTATATTGCATGACGGCGACATCCGTTGGATCTGTATATCCGTTATCAAGATGAAGTAAAGAAAGATTTTCTGTCGATTTTTTTGGGATTAGTATGCGGTCAAAGATCAATGAATCATTCAATTAATAACAAACTTTACACGTTTAGAGACGCTAACTTGAGACACTCTTTTTTTTAGCTGCATATTAAAAAGTTTTTATCATTACAATGAATAAACGTATAACGATGGTGCTCTTTTTATCGAGATCTATTGTAAATTTCACGATTCAACTCATTTTGAACACAACGTTTGTGATAGAATTGCTACAGTTGCGTTGTTCAGAAGATATTTTTAGTTTTGGCATACTTTTCAAGAAAAATTAAGAAAATCATTCGAAAGACAATATTTTTTTTCTATTGAAAGCATAAAAGAATGATATCTGGCTTATTATAAAAATATATGGTACATCAGTTGTTGCTATTGATTAATTGTTTTTCATATATTTTGTCTGATCTGACTGCGTACTAGATTAGCTTTGAATTTGAAGTGTTTTTAATTAGTCTTTTAAAGAGAATTTGATAAATTATGTTTTGATCTACCTCACGACCGAACTACTTGACAAGGTTTTTATTGATTTTGAAGAATAGGTTACCTAACCTAAGGTTTTCAAAACAAAAAAAATGTAAGGAAAACAGTATGTTGAAAGAGCTTATTTGATGTTGTTTCATATTGAGTATTCTTCTTGATCAAAATTAATCTTAGAAAACTTTTTTCTATGTTTTTTGAAGTTCACACTAGTTTCTTTCAATCGAAAAAAGAATAAACTTTCAATGATATTTCTAAGCGAAGAATCATAGGTCGAAATTTCAAGAATTACTTTTGTATCATAAGTTAGAATTTTAGTGTTTGATTATATAAACGTATAGTTCTAGTATATTCGTTTTATTTCAATATAAAATTAATAACGAAATAAAATCGTGGGCATACATAATGAAACTATGATTGTGGTCCCCGATTTCATGAATCTCCGACAGACACTCGTCCGAAAGTTCAGAATAATAGTATGAATCTGGAAACAGAAATTCAGTGATCGGGTTTTTTTTTAGTTTCGAGCCGAGTCGAGCGCCCTATCTTTTGACCTCTCCTTGAAAGAACAAAGAAAAATCTGTCCTTGACGAGTATACAATCGACCAGTGCGTATAATGGCAAGTGTGCCAAGCACAAGAAAAATGTACACATTTATTTTTACTGAATAACATAACACTTTTTTCCACAAGATGATTATGCATGTTTTTTATCGATAAAATATTAAATTTCACTTACTCTATTTTTATTTTGAGAAAAGGTTACTTTTCTTTATCTTCCAAGCTCTTCTTGATTATATCAGTGAAAAAAAAACTAGTGCTTCTACGTGAAACACACTTCTACGGCCACATGCAGTGCAGTGTTTGCGTAAGAGTGTATGAAAAATGTAGAAGAACTGAAAAAAAACCGACACAAATTTATTTTTTCACTTATCACCTTATTTTGATTAATGAACCGATATTGTTGTCAAAATAAAGCAGATTATTCAGTCTTCATTTTTCTTTAATGTCTTCTTTATATATCTTTTTAATAGTGCATTGTGACAAACTTTTTTTTTTAACAAAAAGACATTTTTTTTATTTCACTTAAAAACTCTGTTGAGATGTTGTTAAAACCAATGCCTTAATTTCAGTTGATTAGAAGAATTTAACATCAAAAACAATCTATAGACCTTTCCAAAAATTGCTTCCTAAAACTTTTCTCGTTTCATTCCACTTTGAATTGGACTTCATCGAATAATTTCTTTTATATAATAGATAAATACACGAAGTTTTCATTTCTACAGACAAACTTCAAAAACATTATTAAAACCTAAGGTCTTTAGCCAAAGCAAAAAAAATTTGCCTGTTTTCTCTTTGCAGAAACCTGTCTGTAGAAATAAAAACTCTGTGTATTTGTCTATTATTAACAATAGTTATTCGATCAAACCCAGTCAATAGTGAAATAAAGCCAAAAACCTTTCATAAAAGAACTTTTAGTACATCAGTAATGTATATCAGCTTGACATAATGATTCATTCATTTACGATAATAGTCTAAACGCCAGTAGAAAAGTTTCGACTCCAGCTAGTAAATCGATGGTATCTATGACAAACGTATATATGTTTAATTGATTGAAATAATTAATTCGGTAGAGAAAGGTTAGAAATATTATTTGAAGCAAAGACTCTTCGAAATTTATAGTGAAAAGTTTTTTTTACTATAGTTATATGTTTTTGTGCTTACAGAGACTGTTTCATCAGATTTATCATTTTAATCTAATAATATTTATCGTATTTGCTGAATATGTTTACAGTTTTATAACACTTCATATTGATGGTCTTATTTTATGAATTTCTAATTTATTCTCGAACATGTCAATTGCTTCAATTTATTTTTTCTGATAGTTTTATTAAGAAAACTATTATATTCATTTCAAAGCTAAATATGTGATATATAGCTCATAGAAAACTGATGAGGTTTCATTTGACAAGATTTAAGTAGATAAAAGTTTAATTTATTATAGGATGTCAAACAGTAGAATCATTTTTGAGTCTAGAAAAATGTAAAACAATGACTAACAATATTTGAGAAAAACTTGAAAACAATGCTAACATATTAAAAGATTTGATTATACAGAATATTAATATGATAGACCTATAAATCATTTTAGACATTTTATTACAAAAGAATTTTGTTAAAAAATGGAAGATGAAAATATTTACTCTAGATTGATAAAATAGCCATTACATTTTACTACGAACCATATATTAGTTTGTCATAGATATCATCAATTGACTAGACATCGAACAAAAAAACCTATTAGCTCACTTTCTTTGAAACAATAAGCTTAAATTCACGAAAGATGACGCACACTACTATACGAATAATGGTATCATAAATATTCGAATATATTTATGTTATACGAAAAAACCAAGGCGAAGAATGCCATTTTTATCCATCCGATTGCCGAGGACTATGATTATGCCGAACGGGAGGCAGAAAATATATCTTTGACAATAAATTCGTTTAAGAAATTTACTCGAACTTGATGTATAAGGTATAAAAATCGATGAAGCTCAACGAGTTCTATTTGAAGGAGTTCGTAGACAAATCATCAAGAAGAGTTTTATGGAACCTTAAGTTTTATGTTTGTTGTCGTTTTTGAGTTATTAGAGTTTCCATAGGGTGAAGAGATCATTTTGGACATGGATCATCTCAAGCTAATCGAGATCGAAGATATCCAATATGTTGATTACGAATCTTGCTTGAAAACAGATTTTTATTGTTCTTTTGAAAACTTGATTGTTTTTTTGCCTTCTTTCCTAAAAAAAAGAGAGAAGAAAATGTTTATCTTTGTTTTAAAACGACGCAAATTTTTGTTATGTACATATCATAAGATAACAGTACGAAAAAACAAAAGTTCACAACAACAAAATACAATTGAAAACAAAAAAGTAATAATAAATCAGCTAAGTACAAAAATATGACTTTGTATACAATGAAAACAGTGTTCGTTTGTGGTTGTAAACGATAAGAATATGACAAAAATACTATAAATATACGACCATCGTATTTTATCATATTTTTGTTGTTAACGATCATTGTGTTGTTCGATTTGGGTACTTCTATTTTTAACTAGGTAATATTATTCCGAGAAACTAAAAATCATAAAAATAAATAAAAGTACAATGTTGGTTGCCCACGCAAAAAAAAATATCCAATAGACACATTTAATCCATCATTATCTGCAGTCATCGACGAATTTATAAAAAGAAAAAGACGCAAAATCATATTATTTATTATCTGCATATTTTCAGAATTTAAAATCGCAATCGATCGATAAAAAAATTATTCAATTACTTTGTGTTTTATTATATTTTTACAGCCGATCTGAAAAATTGTATTTTAAAATGAGACTTCTAATATTAATCGTTTTCTTCTTCTTCACGTTCATGATTTATCATAGTCATTTAAAGGACTCATTAGAAAGAGCAGAAGATAAATTAGACAAATTACTAAAGTAGGTTTTCTCTGTTCTACATTTTGTTACATAATCTCTTTTTAGAAAAAAATTGATTCCATTCGTTTTTATAGATATTAGTGCATAAATGATGTATCCAGGACTCTGAAAAAATACTGAGCTTGAGTACTTCGGTTAGTATTCATATTTTGATTTAACATGAAATTTCTTGAATATCCGTACGCATAATTTGAATGTTCATGCTGAAGAGTCCTAGTTGTTAGATGAGTATTTTCATCAGAGGTGTGATATACATTGATTAAGACCCATAAATCAATGCTCAATCAATTGCAATGAAGCGAATTTTATAGTAATTGAGATTACAAGCAACAAAAACCTATTGTATATTTTTCGTCATTTTCTTTTCTTTGGTATAATTGTATGTAATGAAAACATCCTAATTTATAAAATACAAACTAGTCATGTTGAATGGTATCTTTAAATTCAAACAATTTATATAGATTATAAAGTAATCATTTTTATTTCAAAAAGAATCAACAAAATGAAAGTATAATCGAATATACACACAAAAAAAAGGTATAAAAAAGACAAGTTTATTGTTCTTTGATATATTTTCGAATAGCTGGTGCAAGCTGACGACGTGCTGATAAAAGACCAGTATTTGGATAAGCATAACCATATAAATTTCGAAAATAATCTTGATAAAAACGATTAGATACTAGAAGAGGCTCATTGTATGCACTCTTAGAAATAGGAAGAAGATAACGTAAAGGCATTTGTTCTGAAAACGCCTCATTTCCTACAACAGCTGCTTGCATTCGAGGTGTTGCCATAAATTTGACAAAAGCTTGTGCAGCTGCTAACTTATTCGCAGGTAGATTACGTCGAAATACATAAGCATCAGTAAAAAAAACAGGCCGTTTAGCACCGGTTCCTAATGGTAATGGTTGTATTTTTACATCGGCAACATTATTTGATGAACTCTCTTTTAAAATATGAAACAATCTTTCAGAATAACCAAACATAGCTCGAGCGGCATAAGTGCCAAATAATTTTGCAGGCTCATCATAATTCTCCTCAAATTTTCCATCTACACAGTCATTAACACCTTCATCTGATTCACAAAGTTTAGCAAGCTTACGCATCGGTTCGAATGATAAATGTTCATATCCATGAAGAGCTTCTGCTTCTGTATAAAATGTCGAATGAAATATATCTCGTTGACTATCGATCCATATAGCACTTATATCCCAACTAGAATTAAGATTTCCTACAAGACGATGGGATCCGTATGTCAAATTAGGTATATTGTAAACATAATATGAATTATTTAGATATCGTTCAAGTTCCTCTAGTGACAAAAATTCTCTCTTATCTGCTGGGTTTCCGTGAGTAAAAAGAAAATAAGCACACATAAGATGAGGAAAAGCATATACTGCCTGATTTATTTGTACTGCTGCACCAGCTGCTGGATGCCAATCCGATGGAATTTGATCTGGCAAAATAGGATAAGTTTGTGGAGTTATAATACCAGCAGCAACAAGATCACCTAAAATCACAGTATCAATTTCCACAACATCGTACCCTGAATCATTGCCTGTCAAGAAATCTTCAAGCAATGTCAAATTGTAAAAATCTTCTAGCGTGTTCATTGGACGTAAAATAAGATAGATACCAGGATGAGCAGCATTAAATTCATTTTGAATGAATTGAAGCAAATGATTATTATTCTCGTTCCATGGATCAGGCATATATGGAAATGGAGCAACACTAAGAATTGTATGATAATGTAATGCTCGATGTTGTGGGAATTTATTGAAAGTTATATTTTCCGCTACAATTGGTGCCATTTTTGAATAACGTTTCATTTCTATCATATGGAAATGAATCAGGAATATAACCATTAATATTCCAAGAACTTTGTTTTGATTTATAATCATTTGTTTTAATCGAACAATTATAAAGATTTGTTGAAAACAACTTTAGTAAAATACATGACAAAGTCTTCCCTTTTTATACTTGAATTTTTGATTGTTTCAATATATTTTCTTAATCATTGTAATAAATAGTACTCGATGTTATTGATATGAATGACTTACTATTCTTAGAGATTATTTAAATCAAATTGTCAACTTTATCTTGTATATATCATAAATTTTTATTTTATCTCGGTACATTTTCTCACAGGTAAATGTAATTGAAAACTTTGCGGTTAGTAAAAATTCATGAAAAATAAAATTTATCAAGATCTTATTGACAAAAATACTATGATTCAAGAACCATCAATAATTGTGGACTTAGATGCAACCCAATGATTTTGTTTTTTCTTTGTTGATTTTAAGAAAAAGAAAATATTGATATTAACAGGTTTGAAAATAAAAGAATTGATTAAAAATCATAAAATCTTTCTTCAAAGTGACATTTATTATGTTATTTATTTGCAGATCAAATGATTGTTAGTGAAATCATAAAATATCTTTCGAAAACATACGAGATTGTTCTCAAAATTTCGAGAGAAAAACTTGTCAGTAAACTTTTATGATTATTTATTCTTCTATTTGTTTTTTTATCTTCTTCTTGTTTATTATAAGTTCATTTGAATTCTTAAAATGTATCACATTATAAGAATATGAACTTGCTAGGATCAATATAAAACAAAAAACGAAACAAACAATCGAGCACACATATCCAACAAAACAAATAAAAGTGTAGAAATGTGTTACAATTACACAAAGAACACTATGTTAAGTTAGATAAATCATTGCTCAGCAAAAAAAAACATGAATATATAATCAAAGAGATGTTTTCTTTTTTTTTTTATCTCTAAAAAATAGAATAATACAAACAAAAAACAAACGTTAAAAATTTTCATTTATGTAAACCACATCATATTTTTAACATTTTTATTAACCATAATTAGATTACTTTTGATATCTTCTAACGTAAGATCATCTTCATCTCTACAAAAGAAAAACATTGTTTTTTTTTCATGAAAGTAAAGTAAATAATTGTATTTTACTGTGTAGTATTTCGATTTGAATGATGTTGTGATGTTGTTTGATATGGTTCTTTTTCAAAATATCTTGCATGATAGGCAACTGTATGAGCATAACGAGCAGCTGCTGGACATTTTACAGCTTTTGTACATCGTACATCAGTATGACAAAGCTAATAATAGATACAATATTCTTTTTTTTCTTTCTTTTCAAATTAAAATTTATTTTCTTTACCCAAAAAGTTAATTGTTGCAATTCATCACTAGTAAATCCGATTTCATTATACAAAACATGATAGTAGGAGCAAACATTGGTACCAAGTGCACCAGCATGAGAATTAAGATAAAAATCAAATTGACGTGGATGTACAATAGTTGTATCAATAACTGTTCCAGCAGCCATATTTGTTATACGTTGACCATCATAAGCAAAAAAACGTGTATTATGTGATTTTTTTATTATAACAAATGTTATTTTTGGTAATGGACGATTACCATATACCTCTATATTAAAAAAAAGTTTTCGAATTTTACTTTAAAAAAAATAAGAATATTTATTTACCTAAACAAGCATTTTTAAGTGCTTGAACTTCATTATCAAGTATCTTTTGAAAATGTCCTTCATCTAAAATTGAAAATAATTAAAAAAACTATTAGTACAAGACTTGATCGTATATTAACAATGTCTGATGTGATCTGTTACGATTTTGTAAGGTAGGGCGTTGGAATTGTAGCGAACTACAATTTTGCGAAAAATTGCGACTAACCTCCCTCAAATGTTGATGGCTTCGAGCCATTACTATCTGTCTCTATATTTCAACAAAAAAAATAGTAATTCTTATTTCTTACCAACACCATCACGATAAACAACAATTTTAGTTGGATATTGTTTATTTGTTTGTACAAATACATGTAAAAGATCACGTGTCATAGGTTGAAAATCTTTAATAACTTCTAATGAATATTTTTTATCTTTTACTGGTCGTTGTTCACTTGAACGACATATATATTGTGTTGATGTTGGTGATACACTTGCAACAACAGCTGCTATTGATGGTTTACGTTCAGATACAACAACATGTGAGACATCAGCACCAATAAACATAAAAACATCACCATTCAATTTTGATTGATCGACAAAAATTTTTTTAAATGATACTGTTGAATTAATACCACCTAAACGTGCATTAATTTTTTGAGCAACATTTTCAATATAAGCATTCTAAATATTTTTTTTTACAAAAAGCAAAATATTTTATGAAGTCACAAAAAAAGAAAACTTACAAGTTTGCCAGGATTATTTTGCTTTCGAATTGAACCTAAATCACAACCTATGAAATATAGAGTAGAAAATTTTATTTAATTAAAATGACGAAAAATATAAACTTACAAAGCGTAATAATACCAAACTCTTGTAATGCACAACGTTTTATAGTTTGATATGATTCAGGACAATCACCAATTAATACAAATAAACCAAATTCAGCACCACTAGCATGTAAATCATGAACACATTGACGAATTTGATTATGAGAAATGATTTTCGTTTCAAAATGAGGATTCATTTGAATTCCGTAACGACGTGTCGTCTAGAAAAATTCAGTAAAATAAAATAGAATCTTTTAATTCACACGAACTAATACTTTCTAACCTAAGAATTATTCAGAGTTATATATCTATAAACTTATGTTCTTCATTCCATCCCGATTCTGAATACTTTTCAACTTCTAATATATCCTCTGCATTTTTGATTTCATGAATATATGTGTCTGTCGAAATCTTGTTATTACCTCATTCTAAAAACTTGTCAGAATAATTAAATATTCTAGTTTTTTAGTCTGAACTAAACATAGGAATGTTTATTGTTAGTGTTAATAGTGAAACACTGTCTTCACTGATATGCTCGTCAGTCGCGACTATGTGTATTGAATAGACTCAAATAAGCAATAAATACCTTGAAAACAGTTCGTGGCATTAACTTATTATTGCCAAGATACTGTGTTTTATACGGTATTTTGTTAAATGCTATGGTAGCAGAAAAATTAAGTTTCAAATTTCAACTTGAAACTTTCTACGGAAACAGATATTAATGACATCTGAAGCTACTCTCGTTAAAGCTTGTTATTATGCAAAGTTTCTAATAGATATTCTGAAATCAGTTTTTCTACTACCACAGCATTCATTAAACGAACATCACGAAAATGTAATATCTCACCAATAATAAGCTAAGAGTTCAAAATATTCAAAACTCATTTGAATCTTCATAATTCATATAGTGTTTCATCATAGATGTTTATGATGACGCTGTCCTGACAGTCACCGATTTACAGTCTTGATAGATGTTTCTATTATCAATAGACTAAATCGAAATGACTTACTTCTGGTAACATATTACAAAATTCATCTAATTTTTGCATATCCATATGTCCTGGTTCACGTTTTCCATCTTTAACTAAAATCATTTCCCACTAAAAAAAAAAAAATTCAAAATTCATTATCTGAGCAATATTAAAAAAGAAACGTTTTTTGATATTACTTTATGAACACGTGTAGCTTGTTGTAATTGATTTCCTTTCATAAGCCATTTACCAATAGTAACTGAAACAACACGATTATTTCGATAAACAATATTAGGTGGATCAAGTACGCGTGCTTTAATTTGTAACATTTCATTCGTATCAATAGTCATTGATAAATGTTTTAAATATGGATCATTATTAAAATTTCTTTCACGAGCTATTGTCATTGTTTTATTAAAACGTATTTCAGGTAATAAAATTGAAAGTTTAGATTTTTCAGCATTTTGTTCTGATGTCATTAAAGATCGATCAACTATTTGCCATTCTTCAACAAAACATAATTCAATTGGTATATAAGATGAATTTTGTGCTCCTTTATTAACACATTCAAGTGTTGGTAAACGTGGATATTTTAATTTAATGTGATATTTTTCAGCAAGAAATTGTGTTACAGACATTTTACGTGAATCACCATCAGGTCCATCTAATGTTACTGGATGACAATCAGCACTATCACCAAAACCTCGAATATTATAAACCACTGAATAAAAGACAAATAAGAGAATAACATTTAAAGAAAAAAAAAAACATTTTTTTTTCCATGTTTTACTTTTATTATTTGTATGTCGAGTTTCAATAGTAATTATTTCCAAACATTTCATTCTTAATAATGCACGTTTTTCATCATGAGAAATCATACCTCCATTCATGGTTATATCTCGTCCAAGATAAATTGATATGAAATGAAGCATATCAATATTACGATAAAAACATGAACATTTTGTATCAATTGTTAATGTTGGTCCAGCTTGTGTAACAAACATAGCTTGATAAAAACCTTGAGCTAAGGCAAAACCACTATTTTGAAATGATCCTTTAAACACAAGACGTATATAATGTTATTTTCAAAAAAATTAAAAAGAATTGAATACGAACCACCATCATATAATGTTTGATTTTTTTCAAAAAATTGATTACGAATACAAACCATACGTGAACGTATGGTTTGTTTAAGTAATGTTTCAAGCATACGTATTAAATCTTGAGGACGTTTATATGGTGTTTTACTTCGAACAAATTGCCACATATCTTCAACTGTAACACGATCTGACATATCTTTTATAGCTAATTGATATAATTGATTTTTTATTGTTATTTCATAAGTTTTAGCTTTATCAAGTAATAATTCACGGGAATAAAGAAAATTACCATCATCAAACCTAATTAAACAAGAAAATTTATTATTCAAATATAATTTCCAGAACAAAGTTTGGTAGGCTGAAAGTTCTTTTGAATAATTAAAGGAAGTCATCAGGAAGTATTAAATATTTGGTTAGAATTAAAATTAAGTCAGAAATAGCCTTTAACAGTTGAAAAACGTTTTATAGATACGTCGCTTTTATCTGATAAAACTTGTTATGCATAGAGTTTCAGATCAGAATTCGATAGCCTAGTCAAATATCAATAGCAAATCAAATCTTTTTACAGTTGTTATTAGAACACTATACAATATCTATAGTCAACAAATAATAGACGTAATAGAAAGTATCTGAAAAAGTTCATTTATGAGTTCGAAAATTCAAGATTTGGAGCTTAGCAATAAGCTGATAGGTAAATGGCTCTTTTTTCTGTAGTATATGTAGGTATATCACATATTCATCTTTAAGAAACCTAACAAATATGATATTTTTTCTGAAGATTTGTAAAAACCTACGTGCAAAAAAGGAAAATGAATATTTTTTGAAGTCATTCTTATTAATCGATTACTACTAACTGTTTTTTTCCTAAGTGCATCAAACCTCTGATCCTGAACGGCTTATTAAGGATCAAAACCTGTCCAAAATTTATTTTCAAGTCTTTTAACAATCTATTCACAACTGATCTCCCTAATCAATCGAAAAATGAAGGAACGATTTTGTCTACAAACTTTCGATGCACCCGTTATTATACGTAATAAAATCGGGAAATAAACTACTCAAGTTATTCTCTATTGTGGCCATATAGAATAAATGCGAAATGTATTTTTTATTATTTACCATACAAAAGGTAGATTATCAGCTTCTCGTTCAAGAATTTTTTGAACTATTTCAAAACGATTATGTTGACGTTTATTTGCGTTACACCATTTACCACGTTTAAATACATTAACATGAACAGTATATTGATTCTATAAGAAAATAAAAACAAATTATTTCTTTATAGTTTTTTTGTTTTCTTAATAAAATAATACATACAATAGCAAGATTATCAGGTAAATTACATTTAAAATGATTTGTATAAAGCGTAATACATTGTCCTTTGCTACCACCAGAATCTGGTCGAGAACAAATAGGGATTTGATCTTGTTGTAATCGATCTGGTACAACAGATCGAATAGCATTAACTGATGGTGGACGATTATCATGAGGTTTATCCGAATGACGAGGTTCTGCGGAACGATTACGTATTCGAGTACCATTTATATGATTATAATTTTCAAATGAAACTTTACTAATACGATTACATACATCTCCAACTGATACTGGTGATAATGTACGACGATAATAATGATGATGATGTGTATTTGGTGTTATATAAGATAATGATGATGATGATGATGATGATGAACCAATATCTTTATGACGTGTATCATAACGAGCTAGAAATATATATGTTATTTAAAATGAATAATGAAATACGAACAGAAATATACGTACGTTTTCGTGGACGTTCACGATTTGCACCACTATTAGTGGAAGATGTATAATGATAAGAGGCTGCTGACATTTAAAATCTGATAATAAAAATGAAAATGAAAGCAATAAGAGAGAGCGAGAAAGAAAGAATACAAAATGCATGTATATCTATCTAATATATTCGTGTTAAATAGTTCGTTCGAACGAACAAATGAATAGCATTATAAAGAAAATATAATTTCATTTATCGAGGGACCGTTTGAATGCCTTCTACTATTGACTAACCGATTTTCTTGCATAAGTTTTCAGATTCTTGGCGACATCTCTTTTTTAATGATGATATCAAAATTTTGTATTTTAGATAAAATTCGTATCTAATTATTATTTCTGTTGAAACATTAAAAATATATTGGATAAATGTTTTCGATCGAATATCATTAAATTTAAGGTATTATAATTATACATAAAATCGTGTTTTATCGAGATTTTCTGTTTCGGAAAGCTTTTAAATAAGATGTTTGTTCACTTTTGACGTATTTCTGGCAAGCCGAAAGCTATAGTTTTGTAGTCTCTGCAAATATGGACTTAGAAAATTCGCTCGACAGTAATGAAATAATTCCAAAAATATGAATTGGGATGAAAAACTGTTGTATTTTCATTTTTGTGATTCGAAACTAAAAGTTAGGATCTTTATTTTTACATCAAATTCTTTGAAGAAGCTCAATGCTCATGTTGGACAAAACACTAATCTTAGGAATGCTAAATCTATCGATGAAACACAGGTACTATTATCGACATTTGGTATTAAGACACGGTTATCTCATTATTACTTAAAAATTCAAGTCGAGTTTTGTACTTATCATATTCATTTAGATGAACTTCAACAAAAAAGGCTCAAAAACTATCTAACTGAAGCATTGAAATAAACTCTCATCATCCTTCACAAACAATCTTATTCACTCATCTTGTTAATTTAACTATCCAACTATGTTTGTATTTTATTAAAGAAAAATACGTTTTCAAATGCATAATGTAAAGTTTTTCGTACTTGGAAGAACATTCATCTTTCATTTTGCTTGATAAAAATTTTCATCAAGTTTCGAATAAAGAATAAAAAATGTATAGACTAGCTACTGATTCGATCAATAAAGTTGAACGTTCACTATCTTGCTTTCAATTCATACTCTCTAGTTAATTAATTCAATAATGAAAAAAATTATTTTTCGAGTTTTCTTTATACTTCCTTGATGTATCATCTGACTTATTTTAACTCAATTGCAAGATAATTAAAAAAAAACCATCGTCGATAAGGTGAATCGTTGAATATTTTTTATTCTCTGCATTATAAGAAGCGTCTTCAACAAGAAAACTGCTATTCAACCAAGTTAGCTTAGTTTGATTCTATTTGAAATATTCAATAAGATTTTGAATTGTTTATGTTTTTGTATGTTTTAATAGTTGTTATTAAATAGATTATGTAACAATGTCTTCAAGATTATCTAATGAAATTTGATTCCAATTGTAATTAGACATAATTGAAAACATGTCTAATTTTCTAAAGTATGTTTTTCGAAAAATCCGGATTGTATTTTCCTTTTAAAGATTATAGAACTGAAATAATCAAGCATTTCTTTTGCAAAAATTAAGTGTGCCTTTTTTCAGAGAGTCAATTTAGGTTCATTTCAATTCTTGATCAAATTACTAAAATTAATAGTATGAAGCAAATTATTTGTTTACAAGGAATTATTTTATGCAACGTTTGTTCTGATGTTTTTAGATTCAATCATCCTACATCAATAAAACCACAGATAATTAATAAATCTTCAATCATATATTTACATATGAACAGATAATCATAAACTATTTCGAACCTGCTATCTTGTCTAAGATAAATTGAAATACTGAAACAATCCACCTTATGTATCAAAATCTCTTATTTTTTTTACAATTGCTGCGTGAAAAATAATCTTAATGTGGAATGAGTACTAAACAATTCTATCCTCAAGTTTACTCATTAGAATGTATTTTGATGACATAGCTATCGACAATGCTCTCAGACGATGCTTCATTATTAGAAACATTCTAGTATTATGTATTTTGATGATAATTGTATCTAGTAATCATAGTAGTTATGACAAATTAGTTACTATGCTGGTAATTAAGACGAAATTAGTCATATGGATGATATTCATTTCCGTAAGCTTTCTGTTCGATACTCTTGGTTGTGCCAATCAACTGCATAACCCAACACGTTGAACAATCGCATCTTTAATAATCACTGAAAGTGTTCTGTTTAAGTATTGAATGTTTGTAGAAGTCTCTCGACATAATACTATTTTTTGTTATGCTTTGAATTACAAATAAACTTCAATCAGTAAGCAAAATTTCAGTAAATCGTTTAATGTACTTTTTAGAATAAGCCCTTCACTTGATGAACAATTATTTTTTTTATTTGATCTACTGGAATGATGTGTACTACTTATACGAATATTTTTATAAAAAAAAAACATTTTTATTACATATTATTTATTCATTGCTATTGCAAAAATAAATAAAAAAACAAATAAAACAAAACTGATGTTGCTGTTAAAAGAATGAATCAACCGGTATTATTTCCTTTTATCTTAGAGTTCTAAAGCGAAGAAAAACAACTGATTATATATATTTTTAATATTGAGTATCAGTGAAAATTTACCTTTGCTATTTTAGTTGATTTTTCACTAATATATTGAATTTTAAGGCGTGGGTGGTATTCTTCATCGCCAGCATTTTTTATATATAGCGTTGTGGCAAAACAAAGATCATTTAGATGAAACTTCTTTTTCATTGTATCGACTTTTTCATATTTCATTGTATTAGCTTTCCCATCTAATTAAACAACATACGTATATCAAAGATGGATTTAAAATTTTCTTCACATACTCGACTTTAATGACTGGAAAGGTTTCATTGACTCTTTTAACAGTTCGTTGTCTAAAAGATTTATAACAGTCAGATAAAGCCTAAAATTCAGTATCACAGAAAAAGAAATATGGAATTTTTTGAAAATATACTTTATGTTCAGTGTTCCGTTGACTTCTGTGAGATTTCCCTTGGGATCGTTCAACTTTTCATAACCCTCATCGTATCCAAGACATAAAGACATTGGATTAAATAAAGAATAAGTTCCATCCTTTTTAGGTTTGTAAAACTTAAAATATGGATGAATATAAATACATTCATCGATAGGCACTGTTACTATGCAAATTTCTACTTTAATACGATGAAGATCAACAGGATTTTCACCGAATACAAGCATTGATGGAATCTAAAATAGATTTTCTAGTAAATATTTTTCTTAAAGAAAATAACAAACCAATAATGTGAGACAATGTTTATTGTTTCTATCAGGAAAATACGTGGGACTACTTTGTTTAGATTTTGTTTTACCATCACGCTTGTATGTGTTCTTCGGTATATACTGAGTTAAATAGCGAGCACGAAATTTTTGTGTAGGTTCAGTTTGAAATCTTATTTGTTGTTGATTTTGTTTGTTATGAGAGTTTGTTGCATCTCCTAGTTGATATTGTTCTATGGGCGTTGTATGAGATACTAAAATTTTTTTAAATAATATTGATAAAGAGATTTTTCTCAAAGTTATACTTACAATCCAAAATCGAAGAAAAATCTGTTTGAAGAAACTCTTCAGCGTTGAGTGGTGACTTATTGTTCTTACCTAAGAAGATATGTTGGTAAATATTTTGCAAAAAAACTAGTAGTCAATATACCTAATACATGTATTGTATTAGTGGAAGGAATCTGACAGGAATTTATCGACGATTGAGTACCAACTAAAAAGAAACAAATGGACGAATGTAAGAGAAACTTAATTTAATCGTTTTAGCGTGCTTGAGCATAAAAATCTTAAATGTGCTATTAGTGTCATTTGTTTGAGTCAAGATTATAGCATGTAATGAGTATATTATTTACAACTTTTCTGACATACTTTTTAAATCTTTATTTCGAGCAATCATATGACTCACTTTATGTTACATACTTCTATCAATGATTCTTCTTTTATAATAATTTTCTTCAAAGCCTAAATATACGTCAAAAAAATTCGTGTATTTTCAAGACTAATTATTTTATAATGTAGCAATACTATCTCAAATACTATTTTCATAAAGAATAATTATCGAAATGCTACTAAAATAAAGGAACAGTATAACAAACCATTATTTTTCTTCAAAATTGATGAAGCCAATATATTTGTAGTTTCGTCTATAGTTAAATCGTCGTCATTTTCTAAATTATATTTCAATAAAAAAAGCATCCAAATAACAAAATAAACTCTGCCTTACCTCCTCGTTTTCGTTTCTTTGATAAATTTTTGGTACCAGTCATGGTTATTAAGTTGGTTGGTTCAACAAACTGTTCGAAAGCTATAACAAATAGATAAAAACTAAGAACAAGATTACACTTATGCCATTGGCTTACATTTTTCATGAAGCTGCATTACAAGTTTGTCAATATCTGTCGTATTGTTGGATGATATCAATTTATAATCTATAATTAAATAAACCATCGGTGCTTCATTCTTTATTTCGAATTCATAGTTTTCTTACTAGGATACTCTTTTGAAATAAAGTCATATATAAGTTTCTTTACTTCCTCATCATTGGAATCAAAAATTGAATGTTCGTCATTTGAATTATTTCCAATACGTAGATGTAATGATTCATAATGATCATTATTAAGAATAATATAACAACATTTTTTAAATGATGTTTGATTTGAAGGAAGTTCAGAAATAGATACATATGATTGTTGAGGATCAACCCTTATAACACGAACATTTGTCTCATACAATTCAGCTACAGCTAGAATTTCTGGTTGACCACCCCATGCAGTAGTTTTTTCCATCTTATCACAATATTGGTCAACAGTTTTCTTGGTTGTATTTAATAACCAATCTTCATCAATTTTACCCGGTTGACGATTAAAATCAGCAACTTGCTTACGTAAATCTTTAATGGTAATTTTATCGGCAATATCCAATACGTTGCAAAGAGATGAAAAAAGGCAATCACCGCCACCAAGAGCATCTTTTCGAACAAATTTTTGTGTTATTCCCAATGAATCTCTTGATGTTTCTGTTGGTATGTGATCGTCTATTTTAGAAGCAGAATTAAAAATAAATAAAAACTTGTTATGTTTTTTTTCCAAAAAAGTAATCCTTGTTTGGAATTTGCTCTGCTAATATTATTATTTCATATGAGAAAACCATTAAACTAAGACTTATCTCTTATTTGCTTTAGAGGCCAACATGATTATATTCATTTTATATCTTTTAGATGAGTAATTAAGAAAGAACAAAGTAATCAAATAAGTTAACAATCACACAATATATTTTAATTGTATGTTTATATATTAACTAGTGTAAAAGACTCAAAATTACATTCATTAAAAATTAAAACAAGTTACAACGAATCTAATTTAGTTAGGAAAACGAAATTTTGTGTATGTGAAATATTAAAATGTATAAAAACATTTAGCAAACCTGTATTTGTATTCGATACTGATGATGAAAAGATCTTTGTTGCATTTGTTATAGACGAACTCTCGCCGTCCTCTATTTAATACATTATAGAGAATAAAGTTCAAAACGAAATCAATTTAAAATTGTTTTTCTGTACCTGATGCTTGTTCTGTATTCATAATACTATTATCAGCAGATAAATCAGATGGAATATCATCTTCCACTAAAATTCACAAAAAGATAAAAATATCAAACAGAAAATATTTTACTTACTGTTTTCGTTTGATATTATTTCAGGTCGATTGATGACACTTGTATCTTCGAAATCAACATAGTCATTATCTATATTTAAAGAAAACAGAATGATTCTGTCTTTTGTCAGTTCAATTTTTTCCTTACATTTAAGTTCTTCTTGAATAAAGTTTCGAACAAGAAGTCTCATCCTATTGTCTTTATATTTAAAATTGCTTTTTTCTTCTTCCTCATTCCTTTTATTGTATAAATATAAAGGTCTATAATGACCAACTATACCATCATAATATATAAAAACACATTTCTTGTACGATGAAATGTCGTCAACATATTTTAACACATCTATAACAACTTTTTCAGGTCCACATTCGGTTCTTGAAATAATACAGAGTAAATATTTTGGATACAAAGATGCCAAAACTTGAAGTATTGGTGAGCCATCCAATGTAGCACCTTGTTTGATTTTATCCCAATATTCTTCTTGAGTTTTATATTGTGCTTCAGATAAGAAACTATCAACGTTTACATATTTTGATTGAAGTATATGACTAGCCACCTTTTCATGTAAAGTTTCAGGAGAAATAAAATCCACACGATCAGATCCATTGAGAACAGACGAATACAAACTTAATCCATCTTTACGATTAACTTCTGCAAGACGAAACTCATATAATGGTTCAAATGCATTGTTGTTGATGTTCCTTAACTTTTGATTTACTAAAACAGATAGTACATGTATTTTTTCTATAAAACAGAAACATGAACTTTCTATTCTAACGATTTTGTTTGCTCTATGCCGATCATCTTTTTGGTGTCTATTATAAAAAGACTAAGAACTTCAAATAAAAACTTTTTCAGAAGTCAATCGACGCTGAACAACACTAAAGTAAAAACTTCGATGCACATTATAGTGCTGTCATTATGATGATGGTGGTGTTCTGACGACAAGTTTTCAGCCGCAATGAATGTATCTGATAAACATACAATTATGATATAGTAGATGTTGAATTTAATGAAAATCTTTTTATTCGAGAAAAACTTATGGTATTGCACTCTCAATAACCTATATAAAATTTAAAAATTGAATTTAACTCGCATAAAATTAAATCAATGTGATACAATTATTTTCATTTCGAACAAGAAAAGTAACTCCATTTTAATTTCAGTCACTGAAATCAATCTTATGAATTTCTAGAATATTGAATTTTAGTAAAATTTCTATTTCTTTTCATATCATCTTTGCTATGTGAAAATGAAAAACTTCGAAAAACAACAAAATTCGTAGTTTTATTTTACCTAATTGGTGGTTGTTTTTTATTTGAAGTAATTCATTCAATGCTTGATCGTATGCAACTAAAATTATTGCAAAAACAAAACTCATCTAACAGAAGAATTGTATTTAATAATTTTTTCACCTTGATTTTCAAGTGATAGTCCATTTAATAAATGTTTAACAAATTGACTTTCTTCTATTGTTGGAGACAAATCTAATTGTGACAAATCATCAAGATTATCTCCGTTTAGAAACTCGTCATCTTCTGTGAATATATCTTCCATGATATTTGACAACAATTGAATGTTAACAATCAAACAGCACGGAAATTTATAGAAAGAGAAAAGAAAGCTGATTTTTTTCAACAAGAAAAAAGTCAACTTTACTTTCAATACGATTGGTGATTTACAGAACCAATTGTTTGATCTCTGGTAACCTCTATCATTTACACTCAATAGCAAAGTGCCACAAGATCATGCTTAGAATCGGTTTTGTATATTGAAAAATATTTCGACAAATTCATTTCTCAAAATTCGTATAGATTAATGACGAACGGCTACTTTTTCTCATTCGTCATCATACATAACAAGAAACGAAATTCCTTTAAGAACTGTTTAAACATCATATGATCAGGAGCCTCCTCATTAGAAAACTTTTTTTTTTACTCATAGTAATCTTTGAAGTATGAATTGTTTGACGAATGAGAAAATGATTTGTTTTGTTTATTCTAAAAATCAGGCTAGATGCGTATCATCTAGTCCAAAGTGATTCTTGGTTCAATGGAGAATCAAATGACTCGACTAGTTAAAGTCTTTACCAATCTAGAGTGAAATCAATACCAACTTAGTCTACGTTCTTCTCCATGTTCAGCTTTATTAAATTGAATTGTTGTTTTTTCTTATGCTTGTACTCTTTATTTGATAACTTAAGCGCTCATAAATGACACTATGCTATGATAAAGACTTCGTTTTTTCATGTACTTTGTACAAATTTAGTCATGTCATCGTCTGCGTTAATCATTTTCTTTCTTCTTCAACTTAAGTCATTCTCGAATAGCTCCTTGAATTGGTTTCAGCTCAAAAAAAGTACATTGAAGATAAATATAAATGATTAGAGAGTTCATGTCTTAAGAATTATTTCAACAAACAATTTCTAATCTGAATACATATAAGTATTGATTCTCGGCGAGATTACAAACATATAAATAATTGAAAATGTAAGAATATTCAAATGTTAGAATAAACAAATCTTGAAAATTTATGATTTAATCGACTTTAAATTCATCTTTTCATCATCTGTTTTGTTGAGCAACAATTGATTTCTTTTCTTTCTTGTTTCAAATCATATTGTTTTAAACATACCATCTCTTGAACAAAATTAACAGATCGCCAAGTTATAAATCTCAATTTCGATAAAGAAAATTCGGAACTTAGTTATTTAACGTTTGAATACATATTTGGTCCATTTTTTTATTCAGCTATATTTTGCTTTATTAGCACTTTTAGTGAAAATTATTAATAATGTAGTTGCTTTGCTACTTCAATCTCACTTATAGTCGTATTAAGATCCTCGAGCTCATTATTCATGGTTGAGTCTCATTGAGTTTAACATTTTACTATTATGATGAGAAAAAATTCCTTCTTTATCTCATAACTTACTTTATCTGGGGGAAATTGTTTATTCAAACTTCTTTTAGTAATACAGTCTGTTCAATTCAGTTTGAAAATGCCTTAAATTCAAGCGAATATGTACTGTTAATAGTTTCTAAGCTCTCTAGTATATTATGATTACAGTAGCATAATGAAGATGCAGTAATTGGTGAAAAGAGTTGATTTTGAAGTGATAATCAAACTTGTAAAAGCTTGAATGTAGTAAACTATAACAACTTGGAAATATTTAGAAACCTAGAATTTGTTCGAGTAAGTTGTAAAATTTCGATCTTTTATGTGCCACTTCGCAATACTTGACAACTCTGAGCGATGCATTGTTGTGTGTAAGCATCCATTTTATATGCGGTTTACCATGACGATGCCACTACTGATGACATGTGCTTGGGTTGGTCGCAATATTTCGATGAATTCCACATACAGACTAGTTTTTGTGAGGAAAACGAGAAGTGTACATCGATAGACAATGATTTTCTCTATCGATTAGTGTTAATCATAGATGGTCACCAAAAGTGAATCAAAGTTAATAGAATCACTTCGTATAGAAGGTATGAGTCAATCAAATACTAGTCTATGCTTTATATGATATGAAAAAAAGCACTTTGCTTCTTTGTAACATTATAATTTAGAAGTTGATCATGTTTGTCTTTTTATGATTAGTTAAATAAGTTAGCCAGGCAAGACTAGCTTGTAATGTATAATGTACATATCATAATTGAGTACTCTGTCTGTCAGGTGTTCATAAAAAAAACAAACGAAAAGAATCACCACCAAAGCAAAAACACTGATATAGGTCAGCGAAAGAAAAATGGCGATTTTCATATTGATGATATTTATTCCGATGAATCTTCTTCTCTATAATGCTCATTATGGCAATGAGATACATAGTATTATTCATGTAACAATCATTTCCATAAAAATCACTTCAAGGTTATTGTTAACGAATCCGATTCTTTTCAGAAATCCGTTGACAAAATTCTTGTTCCTAGCATGTTTCGTGTTACAATGATGTTTACTTATTACTATGAACAAAATAAAAAGCACAAAAAAATAATATTGCATTCATATTGATTATAAAAGAATAACTGAACCGGTATATCTATTTTCTTTTTTGCTTTGAATTAAAACAGAACACAAACAAAAATCTGTTTATATATATATATATGTTTATTGTTGATTTTCCGTAAGACAAAGTTGCGGTTGCCCAGTTGAGATCTCACTAATATACTGAAGATGAACAAGCCGTTTGTATTCTTCGTTGTCATCTTGTTTTATCCATAACGTGATAGCAAAACGAAGATCATATAAATGAAACTTCTTTTTCATAACATCTGATTTATTGTATATTGTTGTATCAGCTATGCCGTCTAATAAAACAACTTAGAAAAAAAATGAGTTAAAACTTTCCTTCACATACTCGATTCTAATGATTCGAAAGGTTGTAATGGCTTTCCTAGTTTTTCTAGATCGTTGTTAAGAATATGTATGACCGCCAGATAGAGACTAAAATTTAGTGTAAGAGAAAAAGAAATATGAATTATTTTTAAAACATACTCCATATTCAGTATTCCATTGATTTCTGTCAGATTTCCGTTGATATTGGTCAGGTTTTCATAATCCGTATCATATCCAAGATGTATAAATATTGGATTAGACACAGAGTATTCTCGACCTTTTTCAGGTTTGTAAAATTTATAATATGGATGAATATAAATACATCTATTGATAGTTCGTGTCACAATGCAAATTTCTACTTTGACACGATGAAGATCAATTGGATCTTGACCGAATACAAGCATTTTCGGTATCTAAAATAGATATTCTAATAAATAAGTTTTGTTTTTATTTGAATAACAAACCAATAATGTGAGAGAATGCCTTTTGTTATTATCGTTCTCATCGTGTCGATCAGCAAAATAAGTCGGACATCTTCGTTGAGATTTCGTTTTACCATCACGTTTATATTCATTCTTTGGTTCATAATCACTTAGAGTACGAGTACGAAAGTGTTTTGCAGGATGAATTTTAAATTGTATTTGAGGAAAATCTGTTTGAAAAAGTTCTTTAATGTTGTATAGCAAATTATTATTTGCATCTAAGAAGATTTAATATATCTTGTGAACTATTTTCAAAGTAAATAATGATCAACTTACCTAATACATGTATGCTATCACTTAGCGGAATTAGACAAGACTCTGTCGACGATTGAATATTGACTATAAAAAAGAAAGCCAAATAAATTTAAGAGTAATTGTATTTAACCGTTTTAATATGTTGAAAAAGAAAATATTTGAATCTGTAATTTATTCTTCTAGTCAAGTCTATATCATTGAATGAAAATGAAATAAATTTTTTTAAAAATGTTTCTTAAATTTTTATTTCAACGATTGATATAACTGTCTGTTTCTATGAATATTTCAATGGATGAATTTGTTTTTATATTATACAATCTCAAATTTTATTCTCCTAATGAACTATTGTCGAAATGTTAGTAGAATATACGATAAGTGTAACCAACCTTCATTTGTGCTCAAACTTGATGATGACAATTTCTTTGTAGTTTTTGCTATGGACGAATTGCCGTCATCTTCTATTTCATATAAAAGAAAGATATCAAACCAATTAAATGAAATCGTTTTTACTTGGTAACTTTCGTTTCTTTGTTAATTTTTTTGTATCATACGCTCTAATTAAATTGACTGATTCAGGAAGTTTGTCGAAAGCTAAAACAAATACATAAATATTAGAAACAAGATTACATTCAGATCATTTATTAACATTGTTCGACTGGTTGTACTGAAAGTTCATCACCATTTATTTTATTGTCGCATGATTCCAATTTATACTCTATAATTAAATAAAAAATAATTGCTTTATTTCTTCGATAAAATTCATAGTTATCTTACTAGGAAACTCTTTTTCAATAAAATCACATATAAGTTCTTTTATTTTCTTATCATTAGAATTAAAAATAACACGTTCGCCATTTGAATTATTTCCATTACGTAAATGTAATGATTCATAATGTTTATTTTGACGAATAATATAACAACATCTGTCAAATGACGTTTTCTTTGAAGGAAATTCACTAATAGATACACGTGGTGGTTGAGAATGAACGTCTACAACACGAATTATTGTTTCATAAGATTCAGCTATGGCTTCAATTTCCGGATGACCACCCCATGCGTTGGTATCTCTAATTGCAGTACAATATTGATCGCGAGACTTTCCAGTTTCATACAATAAACATTGTTCGTCAATCTTATGCGATTGACTAATAACTTCGGCAGCTTTGTTACGTAAATCTTCAATGGTAATCTTCTTGGAACAATCTAGTACATTGCTAAGAGATGAAAATAGACAATTACCATCAGCAGGAACAGGTTTTCGAAAAAACTCTTGTGTTGTTTCTGATGTACTCATCAACGTTACTGTTGATGAGAGATTGCCTATTATATAAATAAAATTAAGATTAACTTGAAACTTGTTATGTATCTTGCATAAACGCATGGTATTCGTTGAAGATTTACTCTACTGATATGATTTCATGTGAAAAACAAGAGAACTAAGACTATTATCTCTCATTTGTTTTAGGGCTTTAAATAATAATATTTATTTTTTATCGATTAGATGAATAATTGACGAACAAGAAATTAATAAAATTAATTAATAATTACATGATATATTTTTTATTCCTATGTAAAATAATACAAGACCATCCATAAGAATGTCTGGTTAAAAAATACGTCTTATGATCTGTTGCTCTTTCTCTTGAACTTTTAAGTTAAAAACATTTTTGTAGAGAAGAAATTTTTACTTCTTTAAGTATATGGTTATTTTCTATTCATCTGCACTTCGGTTAAAGTGTATAAAAAGAGGTGAAAATACTACTAAATTCTACATTATTGTTGTTAATCAATATCGATGCTTTCAGGCACAAAGAAAATAATAGACAGTTCCGAATTCTGTCTATCCCAATAAGTTTCTCTCTAGCGTCTCAGAGCCAAGAAGTTTGACAGGCTAAAAACCAAATCGATTTAGGAAGTATTCAATTTCGTTAGGAAAATAAAATTTTGTTTATAAGGAATATTGAAATGCATGATAGTGCTTAACAAACCTGCATTTGTATTCGATATTGATGATGGACATATCTTGGTAGTATTACTCATAGACGGGTTCTCGTCATTTTCTATTTAATATATAAATTGCATACAGTTTAAAAAAAAAGAAATTAATTTGAGAATTTTTTTTTCGGTACCTAATACTTGTTCTGTATCCATAACATCATTGTGAGCAATTGAATTAGATATATTATCATCTTCAAATAAATTTCACAAAAAATAAAAATATTAAACACAAAATATTTTAATTACTATATTCGTTCGATGTTACAGCAGATTGATCGATTATACTTATATCTTCAAAATCAACATAGCCCTCATCTTTATGTAAAGAAAGCAGTAAAATTCTTTTGGTTTTGGCAAATGAAGTTTTTTTCCTTACATTTAATTTTTTCTTTAATAAATTTGAAAAGGAGAATTTTCATTGTATTATTATCATATTTAAAATTGCTTTTTTCTCCTTCTTCAATCATTTTGTTATATAAATATAGAGGACTATAATGACCAACTATACCATCATGGAATATAAAAATACATTTCTTATACGATGAAATATCTTTGACATATGTAGCAACATTTATAAAGATATCCCCATTGTCATTTGTAGTTTTTGAAATAACACAAAATAAGTACTTTGGATACAAAGATGCCAAAGCATTAAGTTCTGCTAGACCATTTAATATGGCACCTTGTTTGATATCATTACAATATTCTTCACGAGTTTTACATTTGACTTGAGATAATGCACAATCAATATTGATATCTTTTGATTGAAGAATACAACTAGCTACATTGTTACGTAAATGTCGAGCAGAAATAAAGTCTACACAGTCAGGTCCACACAGAAGAGACAAATATAAACTTAACGCTTCATGATGATCGACCTCACCAAGACGAAACTCATATGGAATTTCAGATGTATTGTTTTTTGTTATCCATGACTTTTGTTTCACTAAAATATACATTGCATATAGTTTTTTTTTCATAAAACTAAAACATCGATTTTCTATTTCGATCATCTACTTGGTGTCGATTATGAAGAAATTGAGAACTTAAAAGAAATAATTTTTGAAAAATCAATCGATGTGAAACAACACTCAACGGGGAAAATCTAAAACACCTATTATAGCGCTGCTATTTTCGTATCGCTGCCGCCGTGAAAGTGACGATGTTCTGACGGTAATTTTTCAGCTGCAAAAACTGTATCTGGTAAATATACGATATTGCTGCAGCAGATATTGAATTCGACGGAAAATTTCTGAGCAGAGAAAAACGTTGAGCAATACACTTTCATATAATCTTATAAAATATAAAAATTGAATTTAACTAATGTAGAATTAAGTCAACATGATGGAATTATTATCATTGAGAAGAAGAAAATATCACTGATTTTTAGTTTCAATTACTAATAATAATCTTATAGATTTCTTAAATTTATAATTTTGATAAATTTGCTATGTTTCATGTCATCATCTTTCCATTGTGAATATTAAAAAATTAGACAGACAACAACAATTTATATATTTATTTTACCTAACTTGTCGTCCTTTGTTATATTAACTAAATCATTCAGTATTTGATCGTATGGATCTAAAATTATTGAACAAAACAAAATTAATCTAACAAAAGAATTGTATTCAATAATGCTTTCACCTTGACAATCAGGCAATAATTCATTCGATATATTTTTTGTACATCGATTTTCTGCTACTGTAGTAGACAAATATAACTGTGAAATATCATCTGCAGCATTTCTCTTTGGAAATTCATCAGCTTCTTTGGATGTATAGTCCATTATATGTGCCAATTATGGAAAGTTTATAATGAAACTACATGTGTATTTATACCCAGTAAAAAACCAAGTCGATGTTTTTTTAAGGAAAGCAAAAACCAAGTTCGCTTCATTGATCTTTTTTCATAACCAATCTCATGATGTCTACCAATGACCTCTTTTTTTTTCACTCAATGTCGAAGTTACAGAGAATCACGTTAGTCACTGAGTTTTATGTCTAAAAATATTGCAACAATTTCTTTTCTTTATATAAATATACAGTTATGACGATTTTTTTTGCTTTCTCATCATAATGGGAAATAAAAGCCCTTGAAGAGTTGTTTAGAAACCACATAATCACACTTGTTTTTTACTACACAGCTAATTTCTTTTCTCCTAGAATTTTGTGAAGTAAGAGTTGTTCGACAAATGAGTAAATAAATTGCTATATCTTGAGATAATATCAAATATTAATTACCAAGCAAAAATGTGCAATTTTTTCCTTTATTGCATTGTATGTATTTCATAGTAAAAAAAAAAGGAAATTTTTCGATCTTATTCTATCATTTTCAACCAAATATTGAAATAATTAACTGATGGCAATCGACAAACTTCTTCTTTATAATAATAAATACATAAAATGATCATAATGTAATATCATGAACTAAATTCATCGATACTACAAACATTGACTTTATTATTTATGTATAAAATAAAACAATAAATAGATTCGCAAGATTTCATAGAAGTTATTTTGATTTTCTAGATCTTGATGATTAAAAGATTTTGTTTTATCAATTGATTTTATTAAACAACTGTGATATGAGAACTATTGATTTAGTAGTATAAATTAACATACTCGAATAATCAACATGTATATATATTAAACAAAATCAATAAAAGTAATTACCAAAACAGAACAAAAGCTTGTTAGTATAGTCTCTTTGGAGCTGAACGGCGAAGCTCGCACTGGTTCTTTAGCATAATTAAGTTAACAAAAGATAAGTAAAGTGAAAAAACTTTCGTAGACTATAGTTGTTGTCAAAAATAATCGATCATTAAAGTAAAAAATCTGTCTTATTGATTTCTGCATTTCGAACTGGTTTCTTTCTTTTATGGATACTCCATTTTTGTTTGCATTGTTGGTATTTGCTCATCATTTTTCTAAATAGTTCCTTCTGATATCTGAAATTTAGTTTACATCGATGAAAATGTTTTCTTTCAACTAGTTTTAATAATATAGTCTATTCAATTTCGTTTGTAAATACTTTAGATTCAAGAAAACTCCGTACTATATAGCAATTAAAATATCATAACGATCATGCAGTAATTAGTGAAAAGAGTTAATTTTGAAATGATAATCAAACTCATAGAAGCTTGAATTTAGTAAAATATAACAACTCGGAAATAATTCGAAAAATTTAGAAAATAATTGAGTAAATTGTAAAATTTCGATCTTTTACATACCATTTCGCAATACTTGACAACCCTGAATGATTCATTATTGTATCTAAGCAGCCATGTTATTTTTCGTTTGCAATAGCGATACCCCTATTGATGAAATATGTTTGGATTGGACACAATGTCTCGGCAGTTTCTTCATAAAAAAAAGTGTTTTCGAGGAAAACGAGAAGCGTACATCGATAGACAATAAATTTAATTTATCGATTAGAGCCAATTGCAGATGGTCGATAGATATGGGTCAAGGAAATCAAAGAAAGTTGTTAATAGGTAGGATTACTTTATCATAAAGAACTTATGGACCAATCAAATGAAAGTTCTATGTTTTTATAGTACTTCAAACGATATTTTCAATGTTCTGAACATTATGTGTCTCAAGAAAAATCAAACTATCTAAGGTAATCACAATTTTGAAAAAGTATCGTGTTTTGTTCTTTACTGGAAAAAACCTAGCATCTTAATTGTACTTTGTACAAAAAGCACTTTGCTAATTTGTAACACCATAATAGAAGTCGCTCATCTTTATCTTGTTATCATTAATTAAATAAGTGAGCAAGTAGACAACACTAAGTTGCAATTCATAGTGGACAAATCATACTTGAGTACTCTCTCTCTCTTTATCAAATATTTACCTAAAAAGTGAATGAAAAGAATGGCTAAGAAAGCAAGAACACTGATATAGATCACAGAAAGAAACGCACCGATCTTCATACTGACGATCTCTAAGTGGTCAAATTCATTTCAACAAAGCTTCTTTTCGATAATATTCGTTGTGGCGATGAGGTATATAACTAACTTCTCGGAACAGTTACATTCTTAAAATTCACTTTAATTTTTCTGTTGAAGAAATGGGGCTTTTAGAAACTCTTTGTCGAAATTCTTTCCCAAGTATACTTCGTATTATAAAAGAATATATGAATCGACATTGTACTTTATCAATAACCGTCTCAAGTACATTAAGATTTAATTGTTGTCTTGAAGAAAAATCTTTTTCAACCAATCAGCTGAAATAATGTATAATATTTATTCGAATATTTTCGAAAAAAAAAATAATATCATTATATTTTGTTCATTGATCACTCGGAGAAACTGGAAATAAAACAAACTAAAAGCATATTTAATTGCTTTGAAAAGAATTATTGTTCTGGTGTGTCTTTTTGTTTGACTTTGGCCTAAAACGAGAAAACAAAAGAAACTGATTATATATATTTGTCGTTGACTGTCAGTAGACCTTTTCTCTTTTTTGTCCAGTTGATTTTTTGCTAATATACTGAAGATCAACACGTCGTCTGTATTCTTCTTCGCCATCTTCTTTTATCCACAGCGTAAAAGCAAAACGAAGATCCTGTAAATGAAACTTATCTATCATTATATCGAGTTTTTTGTATATTGTTGTATCAGGTATTCCCTCTAATAAAACAGCATATTTGAAGAATAACATGAGTTAAAAATTTTCTTCACATACTTGATTCTAATGATTCGAAAAGTTGTATTGGCTTTCCTAGACTAACTAGTTCGCCGCCTTTAACCTTTATGACAGCCAGATAGAGCCTAAAATTCAGTATTATAGAAGAAGAAATATAAAATATTTTTAAAACATACTTCATGTGTATTATTCCCTCTTTGATTTCTATCAGATTTCCATCGGGATCCGTCCACGTTTTACGATCCTCATCGTATTTAAGATATATAAATATTAGATTTGATAAAGGGTATTTTTCATCGTCTTCAGGTTTGTAAAATTTATAATATGGATTAATATATATACATTTATTGATAGTATCTGTTACTATGCAAATTTCTACTTTAATACGATCGAGAGCAACAGGATTTTTACCGAATACAAGCGTCGTTGGAATCTACAATAGATATTGTTACAAATTCTTTTTTAAAATTAAGTAACAAACCAATAATGTGAGACTATGCCTTGCATTCTTTTTGTTCTTATCGTTCCGATTAGCAAAATAAGTTGGACGTCCTCGTTTGGCTCTTGCACCATTATGATTATATTCTTTCTGTGGTACAATATCACTTTCATAACGAAATTTAAATTTTTTTACAGGTTCAATTTCAAGTCTTATTTTTTGTTGATTTTGTAGTTTATAAGAAATCGTTGTATCTACTGGTGAAATATTTGCAGTAGAAGAATCTTCTACTTGTTGTAGTTCCATTTGTTGTCCAGAAGAACCTAAAATTGTTCATAACATTTGATAAAAAGATATTTTCCAAAGTTAGACTTACAACCAAAATAACGAGAAAAATCTGTTTGAAGAACCTGTTCAATGCTGTCCGGTGAACTATTGTTCTGATCTAAGAAGATATTGTATATGTTGTTAAATATTTTGAAAATAAATAATGATCACTTTACCTAATTCGTATGTAATATCACTTGAAGGAATATGACGGGAATGTGTTAATGATTGACTATTGACTATAGAAAGAACAATTGAACAAATTTAGGAGAAATTTAACTTAATCGTTTAAACATGCTCGAATATAAAAGCCTTAAGTGTACGATTACTAGAAATTGTTTTAGTCAAGATTATAGCACTCAATGAAAATACAATCAAAAAAATTTCTGTACATACTTTTAAAGTTTGTAGTTCCATGAATGATATGACTCACTTTATGTTAAATACTTCTATCGATGAGTCTTTTTTATAACAATCTTCCTCAACGCCTAAATATACGTCAAAAAAATTCGTGTATTTTCAAGACTAATTATTTTATAATGTAGCAATACTATCTCAAATCCTATTTTCATAAAGAATAATTATCGAAATGCTACTAAAATAAAGGAACAGTATAACAAACCACTATGTTTCTTCAAAATTGATGAAGCCAATATATTTGTAGTTTCGCCCATAGATAAATCGTCGTCATTTTCTAAATTATATTTCAATAAAAAAAGCATCCAAATAACAAAATAAACTCTGCCTTACCTCCTCGTTTTCGTTTCTTTGATAAATTTTTGGTACCAGTCATGGTTATTAAGTTGGTTGGTTCAACAAACTGTTCGAAAGCTATAACAAATAGATAAAAACTAAAAACAAGATTACACTTATGTCATTGGCTTACATTTTTCATAAAGCTCTATTACAAGTTTGTCAGTATCTGTCTTACTATTGCAAGGTATCAATTCATAATCTGTAATTAAATAAGGAATAATTGCTTTCTTCTTTCTTTCAAATTCAGATTTTTCTTACTACAATACTCTTTTGCAATAAAGTCACGTATACGTTTCTTTATCTCCTCATCGTTGGAATCAAAAATTGAACGTTCGTCATTTAAATTATTGTCAGTACGTAGATGTAATGACTCATAATGATCATTATTAAGAATAATATAACAACATCGGTCAAATGATGTTTGATTTGTAGGAAATTCGGAAACTGATACATAGCATTTTTCAGAATTAACATTTAAAACCCGAATAATTATTTTATATAATTCAGCTATAGCTCGAATTTCTGGTTCACCACCCCATGCAGTGGTGTTTTCCATCTCATCACAATATTGGTCAACAGTTTTCCAGGTTGTATTTAATAACCAATCTTCATCAATTTTACCCGGTTGACGATTAAAATCAGCAACTTGCTTACGTAAATCTTTAATGGTAATTTTATCGGCAATACCCAATACGTTGCAAAGAGATGAAAAAAGGCAATCACCGCCACCAAAAGCATCTTTTCGAACAAATTTTTGTATTATTTCACGTGCACCTGTCGACGCTTGTATTGATATGAGATTGTCTATTATAGAAACACAATTAAAATTAAATTGAAACTTGTTGCATATTTTTCCTGAAAGAGTGATCATTGTTAGAGCTTTGTTCTGTTGATATCATTTCATGTGATACACAACAAAACTAACGAGGGAGCATTCTCAACTGTCACATCGCTTTTAAGCTGAACGTATGCGCATTATGTAGACCCTCACGATCTATGAATTCTCTGAAAAAGTTCGTGCTGCTAGCTTATTATTGCCGAGATACAGCGTTTTTACTGTATGTTTAAGAAAAAAAAAGCCGTGGTACCCCTCAGGAACATCGGAAAACTGAATTTCGAATTTCGTCTTGAAACTTTGCATAGATATAGGCCTCAATGAGAATACTTTATTGTGAAAGTTTCAGCTCTTTTCGCTGTTCATATCCTAAGATATAGCTATCGTAAAATTGTTCATATACACCAGCAGATCCGATGTTCTTATCTCAGACTAGGAGCAACCAAAAAAATCTGAAACCTTCACAATAAACGATTCTCATTGAGACTTGTCTACATGCAAAGTTTCAGGTGGAAACTCAAAAGTCACTTTTCCTGATGTTTCTGAGGGGGATCACGGCTTTTTCCTTAAACACACAGTAAAAATGCTATATCTCAGCAATAAGAAGCTAGCAGCACGAACATTTTTCAGGACATTCATAGGTCATTAGTGTAACGACAAACTGGATTGAATAGCTTTTCGCCATTCTCGGCAATGATGTTTATTCAGCTATTTTACATATCCAGAGTGTAACAACTTCATACATAATACGCATATTTATAGGAGAGAGATAGAAGAGAGACAGGAGAGAGATATATTAGAACAACGGCAAGAGAACAGACAGAGAAGAAAGGAGAATCATCGAACCGTGTCATCAATATCAGCACAGACAGGAGAGTGATATATTAGAACAACGGAAAGAGAACAGACAGAGAAGAAAGGAGAATCATCGAGCCGTGTCATCAATATCGGCACAATTAGGGCCTACATAATGTCCATACGCTCGACTCAAAAGCGATGTGACAGCTGGGAATGTTCCCTCGTAAGACTATTATCTCTTGTTTGTTTTAAGTGCTTAAATGATAATATTCATTTGATATCTTTCAGTTGAGTATCTAACGAAGAATAAAAGGATCAAATTAATTAACCCTTATATGGTATATTTTAATCCTATGTATATATTTACTGCTATAAAAAAGTAAGTGATCATCTACAAAGACGTCTCCTGAAAAGTATTTTTCTTAGACAGGAAGTTTTTTCTGTTCAACTAATACTAGTATTATTAGTCAAACAATGGCTACTATAAACTTTATAAAAAGAGGAAATAAAATACGAATGCATCCTGTCTGTATTCTACACAATTCTTTTTACTCGATTTTGATTCTTTCATACTGTTGAAATTCATTATAGAGATAATTGCTGATAGTCTCGAATTATGCTCGATTCTGTAAATTTCTCTATAATATCTGATGCAGTGGCGTAGCCAGGGGTAGGGCCATTGGGCAATTGCCCATAGGTCCAAAAGTTATTACCCATGGATTTATTGAGCTCTGCAGTGCTTGAACAATTATTGCCCATAGTTATTTTTGAAATCATAACGGTTGCCCTGAGCTGCCCGTAACTCAAAATAGTTCGGCTGATGAATTACCCATGACTCGAAAATTTCTGGCTACGCCACTGATCTGATGAAATTCGTTTCTCAGATTCTTTGTTCCGATAGTCTATCAGATAAATATCCAAAATACAAATTTTATGAATAAAAAGCAACAATACAATTCATTTCAAAATTTATATTTTTTATTTAAAAATCTCCCGTATGATAATGAACATGATATCGAAAGAATAAGATTTGCTGTAGGAAGGTCAAAAATAAAAATGTATGGCAAACCAAAGAAAAGCTTAAAAAACACTAAATTCGGTTGAAGATTAGATAATAAGAAGGTGATTGGTTCTTCTATGCCTATTTTCTGCATTACAGTCAACCTCATAGTTGAGGACGATGCTGTTCTACACAATCTACTACTTTTTGTGTCGCTTAAGCATATATTTTTACTCTGTTGTTCGAACTTGTCCGAAGGTTGGTCGAGAGATTTTTTCCTGCTTTATCTGTACGCCCTTTACGAGTAGCAGGAAACAGTCTTATGAATTAAGAGTTAAATCAAGTTAAGAAGAATTCGATTTAGCTAGGAAAACAATGCGTTTATGAGAAGTATTGAAATGTATGACAGTGTTGAACAAACCTGGATTTATATTCGATATTGATGATGGAAGTGTTCTTGTAGCATTACTCATCCACGAATTTGCGTACTTCCCTACTTAATATATAAATTGCATAAGAATTAACAAATGAAATCAACTGAAAAGATTTTTCTGTACCTAGTGATTTTTCTGTATCAGCAACATCACGATGAGCAATTGAATCATATATATAATCATGTTCCACTGAAATTCACAAAAGATAAAAATATCGAACACAAATTATTTTACTTACTGAATCCGTTTACTGTTATATCAGCTTCAACATTTACCTGAGTATCTTCGGAATTAACATAGTTGTCATCTATATGTAAAGAAAACAGAAATTTTTTTTATTTTTGGCAAGCTAATTGTTTTTCGTACATTTAAGCTTTTCTTTAATAAATTTTGTAAGAAGAATTTTCATTGTATTATTATCATATTTAAAATTGCTTTTTTCTTCTTCTTCATTCGTTTTGTTATATAAAAATACAGCGTTATAATGATCAATCATACCATCGTAGAATATAAAAACACATTTTTTATACGATGAAATATCTTTGACATATGTAGCAACATTTATAGAGATGCGTCCATCTGTACGACTAGTTTTTGAAATGGTACAAAATAAGTACTTTGGATATAAAGATGCCAAAGCATGAAGTACTGTTGGAACACCTAATATAGTACCTTGTTTGACTTTATCAGAATATGTTTCAAGAGTTTCACGGTTTATTTCACATAAGATATTATCAATCTTGATATACCGTGATTCAAGAATATGATTAGCCACGTTGTTACGTAAAGTTCGAGCAGGAACGACATCCTCACGGTCAAACCCACAGAGAAGAGACAAAAAAAAACTCAATCCATCATCACTATCAACTTCTGCAAGACGAAGCTCGATTGATGTTTCAGTTGTATTTTGCTCTGGTGTCAATAAGTTTTGATACTCTAAAATAGACATTAAAGAGAATTTCTTTTTATAAAACATAAACATGAGCTTTCTATTTTAACTGTCATGGTTTTTCTATTTCAATCATTTTGCTCAATTTCTATTTCGAAGAGATTGAAAAATGCATGAAAAAAGGTTTTTTTCAAGGAACTAATTGACATAAGAAAATATTCAAGTAAAACTTTGAGAAATATCATTGATGCCTATCATATCGTTGCCACCATGATGACGATGATATCTGAACAACAAGTTTTCAGTTGCGATGGATATGTCTAGTGAATATACAATATCATTATAGCAGATATCGAATTTCATGAAACGCTCGTGATCAAAGAAAAATTCAGTCATCAGTTCATATAAAATATAAAAATTGAATTTAACTAATATAGAAATAAATCAATATGATATAATTATTCTCATTTGGAAGAGAAGAGAAGAATGTCGTTTTATTTTAATTTCAATCACTGATATCAATCTTATAGACATGTTAAATATTTTATTTCGATAAATTTTCTATTTTCCATTTCATCGTCTTTATCATATGAAAACAAAAAACTTAGAAAGGCAACAAACGTTATATTTATTTTACCTGATGAGTTTTTTTCTTTGATTTCATCCGAATCATTAAACAGGTCATTAAATCCATCTAAAATCAATAAGAACAGAAGATTAATCCAACCAAAGAATACCATTTAATAACTAGTTTACCTTGACCAAAAGGCGATTTTGCTTCGGATGCATCTAAATTTCGATGGAATTCTGATAATGTGGACGAAGATGAACATGAGACATCATCAAGAGTCTCTTTCAATTGAACTTCATCAGCTTTTGCGAATGTATTATCCATGATAATCGATAAGAGCTATATGTTTAAAATAAAAAATCAGCATACATATATATACATAGAGAGAAAAAAATCATGTTCTTTTTTTTTTTTTTGAAGGAAAAAAAAAAAGTTTTACAAACTTTTATTTAATTGTTTTTTTTATAATGATCAACAAACCAAAACCAAAATTTGCAGTTGCTCCTTATTAACATAATGATAAAAAATCATCTTGGCAATATTTTTTTTTTTTTATATTGAAAAATATTTCGATGATTTCTTTTCATGATATTCATATAGAGTAATGACAAATTTTGGTTTTTGTTTGCTGATCATATTAAGAAATTAAATTTCTTTTTGGACTGTTGCGACATTACATGGTGATACAATTTTTCAAACATAGCTGAGTTTTCTCTCAGAGTATTTTGTGAAGTATGAGTTGTCTGATGAATGAGTAAATGAGTTTTTTTTTGTTGTTTGTAGAAAGCAAGCTAGGTGCTCAACATCAAAATGAATATCTGTATCTTGATATAAAGTCAAATATCCATTGACACGAGATAATATTTTGTTTTCTTTTTATTTATTTCATTTTATATACTTTATAATAAAAAAAAATACATACGAATTCTTTCGATCTTAATCAGTCATTTTCAAGCAAAAAATAAAACTATTAACTAATGGTAATCGACGAATTTCTTCTTTATAATAATAAATACATAAAATGATGATAATTTAACATCATTAACTAAACGTAAATATTAATCTAGAATAATATCCTAATCTAAAAGTAACGAAAATACAGAAACTGATCTTCATGTGGATTATTTATTTTGCAGTTGGGCTGGAATTAAAAGAAAAATTCACTATAATCAAAGTTATAAGTTAATATATCCGTAGATTGTTTCCTGAAAGCTCATTAATAGTTTTGACTTTATGATGACGATTGAAGCTTTTTTTCACGCGATCCTTTAATCCAGAAAGTTATTGCAAAAGAGAAGATGATTCAAATGATAAAAATATTTAGATTCAGCACAACTACAAATAACCATTTCACTATTTATCTATAAAATAAAACAATAAATAGATTCACAAGTTTTAATAGAAGTTATAAAATTAAAATAGAGAAAACAGCTAAAATTGTAATTGTGATATTTCGGTATTTATTACACAGATACCATTATCAGACAGATAACCACCAACATGAACTATACATTTTTTTATATCAGATCTATACGAACTAATATAATATATGTAAGAGAATGTATCAGCACATTAAAAAAAAATGTATATAAATTAACTCATTGATCATAAAAAGAAAAGAACAATAAATTAACTTGAATAAAAACGTCCATTTATTTTTATTCTCAATATAATACTTATACAGCAATAAAATGGATGTCTTATTTAAGTTAATTTATTGTTCTTTTCTTTTTATGATCAGTGAGTTAATTTATATATATATATTTTAAATGTGCAGCTATATTCTCTTACATATATTATATTAATTAGTATAGATCTGATATAAATAAATGTATAGTTTATGTTGATGGTTATCTGTCTGATGATGGTACCTGTGCAATAGATACCGAAATAACACAATTACAATTTTAGCTGTTTTCTCTATTTTAATTTTATATGTTATACAATTGTCCATTTATTTTTATTCTTAATAGAAGTTATTTTGATTTCCTGAATCTCGAGGATTAAAAGAATTGTTATTAATTGATCTATTTTATCAATTCATTTTATTAGACATGATGAATATAAGACGAAGTGTAAAATTGAAACGTATTTTTAATTGTTCTAAAGATATAGTCATTGTCACACAAATTCGTAAGTATTTCAAGACTAAATCTATCTATCACCAACAAAAGTATTGCGAATCATATTTTTGATATAAAAGATATAATTTATGGATAAAACAATTCTTTGAAGATAGATACGAACAGTTCAAGAATAGGCTCTTCCATTATAATTAAAACTTTGAAATGAAGATATAAAGTGTTGAAACTGCGTATATTTTTTTTAAATACGTTTGTTGAATAACACTTGTTTATAAGTAATTGTATGCTTCATCCGCCGTATTCTGTAGTCCATCTTTTTTTGTTTCCAGATCCTTTATTTTAATTTTCTGTTTGATAATGTTCTGTACTAGCTCAACAGTGTTATGATCAGTACTATAGCTTGACCATTCACATACTTCCACGTCATATTCTTAACTAGATGATGTGCCAATAAAGCATGTGATGATTTACACATAAATATTATTCAAAAATATATTGAAAAAAAACAAGTGATATATCAACACTTTGTATATTCATTTTAAACTTCTAATAATAATATAAATGCTATTCTTGCACTATTGATATCCATCTTCATAATATTTATTGTTCCAATCATAAACTCTATATTTTACATGAAAAATATGATTCGCAATACTTTTGTCATTCTTAGTATATCATATGGGAACTTGTCAAATGTCTATCAACATCAAAAAGAAAGAATTAAAATTTGAACTTACACAGAAAGATATAGCTCATTGGAATGGTATTGGGCCCATTCAGTTATGGGTCTGAAAACTTTCTGTTAAACAGGTTCGAATTCGAGTCCGGAAACTTTGGAATCGATGGACTCTACCGTTCACATTTCTCAGATGCACTGCTCAACGAATTCAAAAAGCCGAAAACATGTATCTCGTATTTTTGTGGTGGCTATCCGATTTCGATTAGAAAGTGTCATTTAAAGTGTCAAAATACGGTTCGACCGGATTCAAATTCGAAAACTTTAGACCCGATTGGCTCAGCTGACAAGTAACAATCGTAATGAGAAAAATATCAATTTAATAGTGCAGATTAGCATAGTTATTCGAATAATCAATATAAATACATAATGAACAAAACGAATTGAAGTCACTATCAAAACAGAAAGAAGAAGCTTGTTGGCGTAGCCTCTTTGGGACAGAACTGTGGAACTAAAATATGTTCTTTAGCCCAATTAAGTTAATACAAAAAACGTAAAATGAAAAATCTTTCGTAGATTATACTTGTTGTCAAAGATAACTGGTTACGAGAATAATAATCTGTCTTATTGATTTATGCATTTCAAAGAGAATTCTTTTTTTTATGACACGCTATCTTTATTTGCATCGTTGATAATCGCTCATCAGTTTTCAATTTCGTGTTTGATTGTTTTTACTAACTTAGCGTTGTTATTATTATTAGTATTGAATCAAATGACAATTGAAGCTTTTGTAAATATGTATTATTACTGCAACAGTGGATTTTGTGGCACTATTCTATATCTCAAACAACTTATAAACACTGTTATTGATTATTTTTCCAATTTATAATTTGATCAATTCATGCTTTTTACGTTGATCATATCTTGAATATAAAAGTTTTAACTGTATAAAAATAAAAAACTGCACTCTTTATAATATTCACAAACGTATTCAAGTCATACAAATAATAATTGTCATCTCAAAAAAAGAAAATCTTGCTTCGTTTTAATATTAATTACTGAAATTAATGTTATATATTTCTAAAATATATATAATTTTGATAGTCTTTCTATAGCTTCTTCCACTATCTTTGCCATATGAAAATTAAAAACTTAGAGATAAAATAAAAGCTTACATTTGTTTTATCTAATACGTTTTCTTTTTTCAATTTATTCAAGTCTATTAAATCTATCTAAAATTATTACAAAAAGAAAATTAATATCATAAAAAAATTGCATGTAATAATTTTCATCATTTAAGACAGTAATCGTTCTAATATATACGAATAATTTTGATCTTGTTCTACTGATGTAGACAAATTTGAACCAGAATTGTCATCGGAATATGCCGCTTTTGATATTCATCATTTTTTTTTGTAGAATACATCCCTCATAATAATTGTTAGTCTTTCATTAGTCAGAATTAAATATTATAAGAATAGTTCAAATAAAAAAAGTAAGAAAAATGTGTGTTCAGCTTGATTTGTATAAGCAATCGTTCGATGTATGTTAACTTCTTTTGTTTTTATTCAGTAACACAATGATCTTTGGTTTTGTTCAGAATCGTTTTTTTATTTTAGAATTCAAAATAGTCCAACGAATTCATTTCTCGAAATGATTAAGATATTATGTGATTACACGATATTTTTGCTATAAAGCTAATTTTGATGAAGGAACAAATGATTTGTTTTGTCCATTCTTAAAATCAAGTTTGATGCTTATCATCTGGTCCAAAGTGATTCTCAATTCAATGAAAAATCGAACGACAAGGTTAATCAAAACTTCAACCAATTAAGAAAGAAATTAATAAAGACATAGTTTATATTATCCTTCTTTAAGTTCAGCTTCCTTCTAATTGAATTATTATTTTTCCTAGATTTTATTTACAAATCTTTGATTGATGATCACCATAGTTCAGTTTATTCTCTCATCATTTATTGAATTATTGATCTTCAATTTAAAAATCAAACATATAATTGAATAATGAAAAAGATTTAGGTTGAAAACACTAAAGTTGAACGTGATGACATGGGCAGTTTATTGTTTATACTTTTTGTTTGATGACTTAAGTGCTCATAAATTATACTTTGCTGTAATAAAGATTTTGCTTTTTCATGTGTGTTCTACAGATTTAATTATGTCATCGTCTGCGTAAAGTCTTTCTCTCTCTTCAACTAAAATGCTTTTCTAACAGTCCTCTGAATTGATTTCAATTCAAAAAAGTAGATCAAGGGTAAATAGTAATGATCAGAGAGTTCAAATTCTTAAGAATTATTTCAACATAAGATTTCTAATTTGAATACATCATTATCAATCCTCCGAGAGATTACAGACATCCAAAAAGCAAACGAACAGAATGACGAGCAAAGCCAAAAGACTGATGTAGATCATAGAGAGAAATACAGTAATCTTCATACTGATGATCTCTATATTCCTCAAATTCCTTTCAGCACAACTACTTTTCGATTATCTTCTTTGTGACAATGTGATACATAATCCATGTACTGAAATAATTATATCTTTAAAAGTCAATCTATATTTTCTGTTGAAGAACTAGATGTTTTTAGAAATCATTTGAGAAATTCTTTATTATAATATGTTTGGTGTTACCGAAGAATATATCAGTCGATATTGAACTTCGCCAATAATCGTCAAATATATATTCACAATTAAACTTTGTGTTCAAGACAAATTCTTTTTATCCGATCTGCTGAAATAATGTATAATATCTATATGAATATTTTCAAAAGAAAAACAATATCATTAGATCTTGTTTATTTAGTATTACGAAAAAAATGAAAAAATCAAACTAAAATCATAGTCATGTTGCTTTTGAAAGAATCAATGCATCGGTATTGGCTATGTTTTTGACTTGAACTAAAAAACGAAAATCAAAAAAGAAAAATTGCTTGTATATATTTATCATAGATTTTCAGTAAAACTTTACCTTTGCTATGTTGGTGGAGATATCGCTAATATACTGAAGATCAGCACGTCGACTGTATTCCTCTTCGCCAACATTTTTTATCCATAACGTTACGGCCAAACGAAGATCATTTAGCTGAGACTTCTCTTTCAATACATCAAGTTTATTGTCTATTGTTATATCAGCTATTCTTTCTAATAAAACAACATGTCTTATATAATAAAATAAGTTCACAAGTTTTTTCATATACTCGAATCTATTGATTGAAAAGGTTGTACTATTGCTTTTTCTAGTTCGTTATTTAGAATCTGTATGACAGCTAGATGGAGCCTGAGATTCAGTATTAAAGAAAACGAAATCTAAAATATTTTTAAAATATACTTCATATTCAGTATTCCATTGATTTCTGTCAGATTTCCCTTGATATTGGTCAGATGTTCATAATCTGTATCATATCCAAGATGTATAAATATTGGATTAGACACAGAGTATTCTCGACCTTTTTCAGGTTTGTAAAATTTATAATATGGATGAATATAAATACATCTATTGATAGTTCGTGTCACAATGCAAATTTCTACTTTGACACGATGAAGATCAATTGGATCTTGACCGAATAAAAGCATTTTCGGTATCTAAAATAGATATTCTAATAAATAAGTTTTGTTTTTATTTGAATAACAAACCAATAATGTGAGAGAATGCCTTTTGTTATTATTGTTTTCATCGTGTCGATCAGCAAAATAAGTCGGACATCTTCGTTGAGATTTCGTTTTACCATCACGTTTATATGCATTCTTTGGTTCATAATCAGTTAAATAACGTGCACGAAATCGTTTTGCAAGTTCAACTTTAAATCTTATTTGAGAAACATCTGACTGAGGATGCTCTTTAATATTGCCCGATGAATTATTGTTCTTCTCTAGGAAGATATAATATATTTTGATAAATATTTTAAAAAATAAATAATGATCCAGTAACCTAACACATATAGTCTTTTACTTGTCGGAATTGAACAAGAATATGTTAACGTTGGAACATCGACTAAAAAAACAGAAATAGTATAAATTGAAGAGTAATTTAGTTCAATTATTTTTACATATTCAAATATTAAAAATTTAAATGTGTGATTAATAAATTTGTCTTAGTCAAGATTGTAATATTTGATGAATATACAATCCAAACAAAAGTATTTAGTAGCTTTTTAAATTTTTATTTTATTTTTTTATTAGTGCTTTATTTTTACTAAATTTGTATGATTACAGAAACTAGACGCTAAGTCTCAGTTTCTAATCGCTTTCAGATTGTTAGAAGTAATCACAGAATATTAAATTCGATAAAGAATCGAGTCGATTAATAAATAATTTGCATGAAGTAATGAATCAGCGGTGTGATGCGAAGATCATCAGCTCTATCATTGAGGACACATAGAATAGTGCTCAGACAGAGTATCAAAGCTCTAGAATCTGACTCAAGAGTCAGATGGCAATGTTATTCAGCCAGCCTAGGCTAAATTTTTATTTTGATTCACTGAATTTTGAATAGTTCTATTGATGAATCATTCTTTTATAATAATCTCCGTCAAAGCCTCAATATATTTTTTAAATCCGTATATCCTTTATTTTAGAGATACAATTTCAAATATTATTTTCATAACAAATTATTATTGTAATATTAGTAAAAGAAACGATTAGTGTAACAAACCTTCATTTGTATTCACAATGGATGATGCTAATTTCTTTGTAGTTACTTCCATTGATGTATGCTTGTCATGTTCTGTTTCATATTTAAATAAAAAAAACACCAAAACAATAAAATTGAGTCTTTTTTACCTTGAAACTTTCGTTTATTTGATAAACTGGTAGAAATCATGTCGATTAAATTAGCTGCAGCAATAAGTTGATCAATAGCTATAAAAAAATATATAAAAGTTAAAAAATATGATTACATTTATGTAATTTGTTTACAATTTCTGACAGGTTGCACTAAATGTTCATTACTATCTGTCTTATTGTTGGATGATATCACTTTATAATCTATAATTAAATAAACCATCGGTGCTTCATTCTTTATTTCGAATTCATAGTTTTCTTACTAGGATACTCTTTTGAAATAAAATCATATATAAGTTTCTTTACTTCCTCATCATTGGAATCAAAAATTGAATGTTCGTCATTTGAATTATTTCCAATACGTAGATGTAATGATTCATAATGATTATTATTAAGAATAATATAACAGCATTTTTTAAATGATGTTTGATTTGAAGGAAATTCAGAAATAGATACACATGATTGTTGAGGATCAATCCTTATAACACGAACACTTGTCTCATATAATTCAGCTATAGCTAGAATTTCTGGTTCACCACCCCATACATCGGTATTTTCAATCTCATCACAATATTGTTCAAGATTTTTCTTGGTTTCGTAAAATAAACATTGTTCGTCAATTTTACCCGATTGACGATTATAATCGGCAGCTTGTTTACGTAAATCTTTCATGGTAATTTTATCGGCAATACTCAGTGCGTTGCGAAGAGATGAAAAAAGGCAGTGACCATCATGAGGAACAGGTCTTTGAACGAATTTTCGTGTTGTTTCAAGTGTACCTTTCCAAGTTCGTTTTAAGAAGGTATTGATTAGAAACACAATAAAATTGAAATTAAATGGAAGTTTAACAGGTAGTATTCCTAAAAAGACGACTTTTCATGGATATGTGTTTTACTAAAATTATTTCATGCGAAAAACGATAAAACTAGAAGTTTTATCTCTTTTTTTCGTTTCAAGGGCTAAAATAATAATACTGATTTCATATCTTTCAAGTAAATGATTAACGAAGAATAAAATAATAATATTAATAAATAACCATATGATATATTTTAATCCTACGAATTTATAAACAAGTGTAAAAACATTAAGTAATCATCCACAAGGACATTTCATCAAAAAATATTTTTCTTATAGAAAAGAAGTTTTGTTTTTGTAATGTTTAACTAGTATTGTTATTTTCTATTAAACAACAATGTGTGTGTAAAGTGCATATAAAGAAGAAATAAAATATGAATGAATCCTGTCAGAAATCTGCACAATTCTATTTACTCGATTTTGACACTTTCAGACATTAAAAAAAAATCATTGACAGTTCTGAATTCTGTCCGATCCGATAAGTTTCTTTATAGTGTCTGATAGAATTCGATCATTGGATCGTTCATTTCGACTATCTACCAAATACATATGCGAAACACACATCTTATGCATAAAAGAAAACAATTTCTTACAAGAAATTCACAAAAAATTATGAATGATAAAGAAAAGAATAGTTAGAAAAAACACGAGATTTGGTTAAAGTTTAAACAATGAAAATGCAATTGGTTCTACTATACGTAAATCATCACATAAGTGTCAATTTCGTAATTCAAAACGATTTCGTGCTGCGCAATATTTTACATTTTGTTGTCAAGAAAATGTGTATTTGACTCTTTTGTTCGAACTTATGACTTGTACGAGTTTTGACTGACGTCTTTCTAACTGCTTTATCTTTACGTTATTTAAGAGTAATACCAAAGATTTTATTAATCATGAACTAAATCAATTTAATGAGAATTCGATTTACTTAAGAAAATAAAATATTGTTTATTCGTAACATTGAAATGTATAAAAACGTTTAACAAAGCTGTAATTGCATTTGATGTTGATGATGGTAATTTTTTGAGAAGTGTCACTTGCCAATGAACTCTTACGCAATTCTACTTAATATATAACTTATATAAAAATTTAAAAAAAAGAAATCCACTGAGAAATTTTTTACACCTAATTCTTCTTCTATATTTGCATCGTTAACGCAGAAGTATACATAAAACCAAATTTCATCTGCTAACAGAATTCACAAAAAATAAAAATATCAAACAGAAAATATTTTACTTACTATATCGATTTGATTGTATAGTAGGCTGAACAATGATACTTGTATCTTCGAAAGAAACATAGCTTTCATCTATTTGTAAAGAAAACAGAATAAATACTTTATTTTTTGGCAAGTCATATTTTTTTCTTACACTTAAGTTGTTCGTCATTAAAATTGCGCAAGATAGCTTCCGCTATAACATTATCGTATTTAAGATTACTTTCTTCTTCTTCATGAATTTTATTGTATAAATATACAAGATTGTGATGACCTACTGTACTATCATAGGGTACAAAAACACATTTTTCATACGATAAAATAACTTTGTCTTCTTTCTCAACAAGTATACGAACGTGCTTATTTTTACTTTCAGTTTTTAAAATAATACACTGTACGATATATGGATACAAACGTGAAAAACGACTAAATTGTGCTTCGCTGCTTAATATACAATAGTGGTCGTTTTCATAAGAATGTTGTTTACGAGTTTTACATTTCATTTTAGATAAGGTACGATCAATGTTGAAATCTTTTGATTTAAGAATATGACCAGTTACATTATTACGTAAACATCGAACACGAATGACGTTCCCACGATCAGATTCACAGAGATGAAACCAATATAAACTTAACCTATCATGACCATCAACTTCTGCAAGAGGAAACTCATATGCTGTTTGAGATGTATTGTTCTTTGTTATCCATAACGTGCGATAGTCTAAAATAGACATTACAGGTAGTTTTTTTTTATAAAACAGAAACATGAGCTTTTTTTTCTATCTGTCTTGTTTGTTCTATTTCAATCATTTTGGCTTGACATATATTATGAAGAGATTGAAAGCTTTAAAGAAAAACTCAAGAAATCAATCGATGTGAAACAACACTAAGGTCATATCTTTAATGCTCATCACAGCACTGTTATCTTCACACCACTACCGCCGTAAACGTGGCGGTGTTCTGGCGGCAAGTTTTCAGTCGGGATACATGCCGCTAGGAAATATACAATATTATTGTAGCAGATATTGAATTCAAAATAAAATAAAACTCAGAGTCATACACTTTTCGTAAGCTCAAATAAAATATAAAAATTGAATTTAACTAAAAAGGAATTAAATCAATGTGATATAATTATTCTCATTTGGGAAAAGAAAATGTCACTTTATTTTAATTTCAATTACTGAAATCAATCTTATAGATCTGTGAAACATATAATTTTGATAAATTTTCTATTTCTCATTCCATTATCTTTGCTATATGAAAATAAACAACTTAGAAACACAACAAAAATTATATTTTACCCAATGGATTTTCTTCTTTGAATTTAAGCGTATTATTCAATAATTCATTAAATGTATCTAAAATCATTACAAAAAGAAGATTAATCTAACAAAAAGAGGTCCATTTAATAACTGGCTTACTTTGATCATAATGCGATGATTCTCTTAATGTCTTTAAAATTTGATTTCGTTTTGATAGTAGAAGCAGAGATGACCATGTAATATCATCAAAACTGTCTCCCTGTAGAATTTCATCAGGCTGTGTGGATATATCGTTCATGGTAAATGACAATCGTTGAGTATTCAAAATGAAAACAAAGAATATATGATATTTAGTGAGAAAAAATGTCACATTTTTCTTTTTTACGAAAGAAAAAAGGAAATTCCAAGTTTGTTTTATTGGTCGTTTTTATAACAAATCATTTTATATCTGCTTTCCTCTTTCGTGGATGCTCAACAACAAAATCATAGAAAGCATGTTGGCAATGTTTTCTTTTATATTGAAAAATCTTTTGATGATTTCTTTTCTTGATATTCATAAAAAGTGATGACGAATTTTGGTTTTTGTTTGTTCATCATAATAAGAAATGAAATTTCTTTTAGGACTATTGAAACATAACATGATCATACGTTTTTTTCAAATATAGCTGAGTTTTTTCTCAGAGTATTTTATGAAGTATGAGTTGTCTGATGAATGAGTAAATGAGTTTTTCTTTTGTTGATTGTATAAAGCAAGCTAGATGCTCAACATGAAAATGAATTTCTGTATCTTGATATAAAGTCAACTATCCATTAACAATAGATAATATTTTGTTTTTATTTATTTATTTCATTTTATAGACTTCATAATAAAAAAAAGTACAAAGGAAATTTGTCGACCTTAATCAGTCATTTTCAAGCAAAAAATAAAACTACTAACTGATGGTAAACGATGAACTTATATTGTATAATAATAAATACATCAAACCATAATAATTTAACATAATCAACTAAACATAAACGTTAATCTATAATAATATCATATCTGACTGTAATCCAGATATACAGATTCATTTTTCATGTTGATTATATTTTTTTAGACGTATATAATTTTTTGATATTTTCGATGAAAATTATTCATTTTGCATTTTGAGTTGAGCCAACAAAAAAAATGTCAATTATAATCAAAATTGTAAGCCAATATATCTGCGTCTCTTCCGTTGAAACTTCACAAATAATTTTCAGTTTATCATGACGACAGAAACGTTTTCAACACGATCCTTTAATTCACAAAGTTATTGCAAAGAGAAGATCATTTAAATGGTAAACCTTTTCTCAGCCAGTGAATTTCCAGGCATCTGGCACTGTATTCAGGTATGCGGCGATGAAGAGGAGAAACATAACCCCTTTATTATTCAATTCTAGAAAAGGGGTGAGTGTGACTGTTACGCTTCTTTTTATCCACATCGATACCCTTTGTTTGAATTCCAAAAGTTAAAAGCAGTTAACATGTGAATAGTCCATGGATCCATATAATATTTGTAAATTTAACATTTGTATTTTCTCTCTATTACAAGTAGATGAATATGATCAATTCATATATATTTAAAGACCATGTATTATTTTTTAATGTAAAAAGTACATTAGAAAGTAAATTTCATAATATAAAGTTACTCATCAATGCTTGATATTAATGAACTCGAGAACAATGAAAACATCGCTTGCCTATATATATATATATATGAATAAAAATAAATATAAAATAGAATTTTGTTTTTTTGACACATGCATTGAAAATTGAAGTTTTTTGTTGTGATAATCTTAAAAATTGCAATTCAGCAAATGTTCGTTCCAATCGAAAAATAATATTTCAAGATCAAACTAATGAAATGTTGATTTAAGAATATATGTATGTTGTCTATGCAAGTTTTCTTCTCTTCACTCACACCCACTAAACAGCATATCATATAGAAAAAAGTATATTTGAATGAAAGTAACAAGTTTATGTTATCTTAATTCTAAAAGATTGATTCATTTTCATAGTCTAATATTAAAAGAAGCATATCAATTTTTTCCAAAGCACAAAATTTGTAAGAGGAACAAATGTTTAACAAAATACAATATTCAATAGAAATTGACATTGACCAGTACTCAACGTTTTACCCGATTCACCAATAGGCATTAGAAGACCTGATGCATGATCGCTCACATATTGTTTACGTTGAACCTCTTCAAGTGCTATCCAACATTCTTCATCGGAATAATTATTGAATGGATCAAGATTATATCGAAGGGTTCCACTAAATAAAAAAGGTTGTTGAGGAATAACACTCAAATAAGATCAAAGATAATTAAGTGTGATGCGGCTTATGTCAACACTATCAATAAAAATTTGACCATCAACACATGATTGATTAACAAAGCGAAGAATGCCTTTGAAGAGTGAGGATTTTCCAGCACGTATACATATGAAAGATTAGAGAAAAATCTATCATTTCAGTATTCATACAAATCAGTCCGACCAATAATTCCAATCTTCTGTCCAGACTCTATGTCCAAGTTAATATTTCTAATAGCATAGGGTAAGTTCAGTCGATGACGTAATGAATAATTTCTAAATTCGATTTTTCCATGAGTTGGCCATTTTGGTGAAGTTTGTACACGAGCTTTATGACCACCTTTATTCTCTTCACATGGCAAATGTGAATACTCATCGATACGTTCGCCACTTATCATCATTATATTAACTTCGGACAATTGTCGAACGGCCCAGTTGAACAATAATGCTATATAAAGTGTATATGTTAAACTGAGTGCAGCAGCTGGCGATTTTGTATGATCGCGAACATTTACTAGTTGAATAGAAGTGGTTAATATTATAAACGAACAAACAACACTCATTATTACTAAAAACTTGTAATGAACGAATTGTTGGTAGGCCATTCAACGATGATGAAAAGAGTGCATAGACAGGACTACGAGTGATACTTTCAAGTCGTTTAAATCGACGTGAACATCTTAGGAAAAAACTAATTATCAACCAAACCACTGGTGCTAATAAGATAAGTACAAGAAAAACATATGGATTAATAAAACTAATCATGAATAATGAACCTGCTACCAGTAAAAATCCCTCGAATCCTTCAAGCAACGTTATTGGAAGTAACTTGTCGATAACATACTGATCTTTACTTGCTCGATTCAGAAATTTTCCAGTTGGATTGCTTTCAAAAAACTGTATTGATGTATATAAAAGTCCTTTTAACATTTTATTATGTAATTTACTTGAACCATTTAAAACAACAGGAAAATAATAGTTTGTACGAACTAAATCTGCAATGACTAAAGCAGTTAGCAAACCGAAATAAATATAAACAGATTTCGTTGAAATTGGCTGATCTACGCCATATTGTTTTAAACATATGCTCAGCCAATAGTTAACAGCATCATTTAATCCTTGACTCAACAAAAGTACAACAATAAGTAAGCAGAAGCCAATTCTACCAAATAGACCCTCTGGTATCATCATTTAGTAGTTTTTCATCTACTATGATGGATTGATTGTCATTCATCGATTTATCATCGTCATCAAACAGAGTAGCTAATTTTGATTTTTCATGATTGTTTGCATAATTTTTCTCTAATGTTATTTTCATTCAAACAGCTTTGCTTATCAATATGACCATGAGAAAGAAATATTATTTGATTTGATTCACTAAGAAACTGAGCTTGATGAGTAGTTAATAGACGAGTTTTATTTTTTAACAATTCACATGGACCAATGCATCGTTCATAGATTTGTTGAGCTACTCTATGATCAACAACAGATAATGGATCATCAAGTAGATAAATGGCTACATTAGCATGCAAGGTACAAGCAAATGATACTCTTGCTTTTTGTCCACTACTTAAAATAATTCCATTTTCTCCAATCATTATAAAATCACCAATAGATTCAAATCCACTAATATTATCATCGAGACAACAAGCATGTATTACATTTTTATATTGTTGTTAATCAAATGACCAATTTACAAGAATATTGTTACGAAATGTATCTTCAAATATCCATAGTGATTGAACAGCAAAAGAGAATGAACTATGATTTGTATTTAGATGACTGTCAGTAAGATTCATTTCTTCAACACAATGATAGACAAGGCATCTCGTTATGCCACGAAAAGATGCATTAGAAATCATGCTTCCTTTTTGTTATTCATTGATAAAAGACGTAGATAATAAAGATTGGTTGTCTTGTTTCATAGCGAGACGCATGAATAAATCGATTCTTCTTGATGCAGATTTGACTACATGTATCTTTACTAGTGCCAGTGACAGTTAATACATAAAATTGATGCGCATTAAGGAAAATAATGACAGAGTTGGGAAAATATTAGCTATATTCAATGGATAGCCTAAAAGGCACGCATTGCCCAACGTAGCGAGTGCAAAAAGTAATGCTGTGACAATAACCAGAGTCATACTGACTGCACGAAAGCGCGACGCACGTCGAATAGTCGCTAATTCATGTTTTCGCATTTCAACTAGACGATCTCCAAATGTGTTTTTTTAGTTATACATTTTAACGATATGATATCCATGAATGAACTCACTAAAAGCCTGTATATGTTTATTGCTATGCATGACTCTTGTTTCACAATATTGATCATATTTTTGACTAAAATAAAACTCGATAAGAATAAATATAGACAATAAAGCGAAACTACATAATGCTGGTATTGTTTGCATGATCCAACAAAGTAAGCCAAATATGATGATAGTCTCGAGAACTCCTTCAACAAGATCGCTTAAAATTTGAACACACTTCTTCATATATGGACACATCGTTAGTGAACAAGTTCATAACTTGATCTGGATCCATTTCTGCTAATGATGCCGACTTTAGAGACAATGCATGTGTGTAAATGATCATAGTAAGTGCATTCAAAATTCGTATACCAACACGAGCCGCACGAAAAATATTTTGTCGATGTGTGAGTGCTTGTAAAATGATCGAAACAAACAGTAATATGGCATATATATAGCTAATAGTATGTGATCGATATTCATTCATCACATTCAAAAGCGTTTGACGAAAAAGTAATGGTTGAGCGATACATGTTATAAAATAAGGAATCAAGAATAGACTGGCAAATATGTAATCTTTTCCAAACTCTTTCCAAACAATATTCAATGTTGTTGTTGATGACCAGTCATAAGAAGATAATCTATCGAATAATATCAATTCTTTATCAACATGAGGTATATCATCAAGATCATTTACTGTCAATTGTCGTTTATATCCAACATAAAGCGTTGGTTTCATCCATTATCAACATAGTAGATGTAAAAATCGAGTCCAAGACGATTCTGTCCATTCAAGACGAGATGAATGATGTTGATGATGGTCATCAGCAGCAGCATATGAGACATTTTTTTATCATTGAGTAGCATTTTTCTTTCTTCGTTTTCTTGTATTGTTATTACCTTTGCTATCGAAATGAATATGATTGTTGATTATAATGTTTTTTTTCTTTGCGAGCATTCATCCAGCACGAATAAAAATGTTGATAGTTGCATGCAGGCTTGTTACTCTTATTGTTGAGTAGATCTAATCATAAACACTGAAAATAAAAAAAAAACATGTGTTAACAAGTAAGTTATGCAAAAACAACAGATCAAGCAGTGAACTGAAAAGCAAAAAATGGTCAAGAGAGAGTCAATCATTACGAAAATAATTGATGAGAATAGAACGAAATTTTTTTCAAATAAGAAGTTCAACGCATATTGAATAAAATAATTTCACACAAAGAAAAAGACGGAAGAAGCTATCAATAAACTAAATATTATTATAAATAAGTATATGTGTATTTGATATATACAGAACGTAAACTAGCAGTAGCATAGTTAGGAGTTTTTTAGTCATGGGTCATTTTTCTCAGCTAAAATATTTCGGAGAAGTCAATAGCAAAGAACAATTAAAAAAATCAGTGATCTACAATTTTTTAGGAAGTAGATGTGGGTATGAATTTCTTATTCATTTTTCAACCAAATCAATAATTCGTAGTTTTTTTTGAATAGTATCGATTTGTTTTATTTTGAAAGCGTATAATTAATTTTCATCAAATCTGATGAATGAACAGTATAATTGCGTTTAAATTGATTTCATCGCCTAGATTAAATGATTCATCAATTTAGTGGCATGATTTTGTACAAATTTCATCGACGATCATCTTTAAGCAATATTGAAAATTGAGATATCATGGGTTACTTTCATGAAAGTTCGAAGAAAATTGCACTTTGTATTTCTTTCATCAGTGATCAGAAAAGAAAAATATTAAAGGATTCTGTATGTGAAAAAAAATATATGTCATTATAATGAATCACTTCCAAAAGATTTATTGCATTTTGCTAATTTGAAAAAGAACATCATAAGTTTCATTTTACAAGACATTGAAAAATATAGAACAATAGCGTTTTAACATGTAGTTTTAGAGATGTATTCAAACGTAAATAATGAAAACACAATATCGCATCATGAAATTTGACTGCAAGGTGGTAAAAATTTTAAACTTACATTTCTTTCCCACTTCTTTTGAATCAAATTTCTTTCGAATTCATAGAAATAGTGAAATAAACATCATTTTAGAATTTTCTTCTGATAGTTTCTTTTCTAATAATAGCAAAATAAAAAAAAAATATTCATCCAATAATTCTTATTTTATATAACTACTATATTTAATAGGGAAAAATTTTGAATTAAAATGCTCAATAAAAATATTTAAATTCATAATAGAAAAATGCCACCATTCACGTAGAACTAAAATATGGTGCTTGTTCAATAATTAATAAAATACATTCAAATATGAAAAACTTCTTACTTTGAAGTAAAATAAATAAATTGCCAAACCATAACATTGATTATTCACGCATTTATTATATAATATATAATTATATTATCTATCAAAATAACAAGTAATAAGCCAATTTAATAACATTTATCAGAGCATTAGTTTTATACAATGACAATACTCAATATAAAGAAACTAAAAAATAGAAAGATGTAACAAACATTCGACACGTTTTTGTGTATTAATGTATATTTTTTTTGATGAATTCGAAAAAAAAAAACAAATTTTCGAAGACTAGATAATCTTAGAGGATCTATTACTTTTGAATGTTTTTTGATGAGACCTACGGTAATCATAGATTTTTCTTTTGCAAAATCCTTCATAAGAAAAATAAATACTGTAGATTGACCTTGTTTTTCATCCTCTACTCAATGATATGATCAATATGTTTATCGATTATTTCAGACAGTGTCACAAAAGTACGAATCATACCTTTATGATGTTATATAAAATAATCGATAGACGTAATTATCATATTATTGAGTAGAGAATGAAAAAAAAAGAAAAACTTATAATAATAATAATTGTTCATCAAAACCTTCCAATAATCCTAAAAATACAAAAAAAAAACGTTTCATTTAAATGATATTTTTTAAATTTTCATACAGAAAATTCATGGTTTTAATTATGTCAAAAACATCAAGATCATTCCATTACTTTCATGATGTTGACATCATTCTTATTTCATGAATCCAGTTATTTTAAGAAAAATTGAACTAAATACATTCGTTTCAGTAATTTGATATCATTTTGTATTATGTGATGTTAGTTATTTCTAAAAACTTAAAATCACTATCTTAGTTTCGTTTTTTCTACACCATTTGCATTACATAATTTTCATACTTCTGAAAAAATGAAATCATTTCATTAGTTTTATTGATTTTGCATCATTTACATCCCATTATTTTGATGACTAAGCAAAACTAAAATCTTTATATTAGTTTCATTTTCTTCAATAAGAATACAAAATTGTGTTAGTAATATTCATCAAGTTATGGATTTCATTTATCAAATTGCTGTTAGTTTTATGTCGAAAAATAAATTTCGTTTTGAACACACTCTTTTTAGATACAAATCTTAGTGAATGCTGTACAACAGACGACAACTGGTAAAGCTTTCACATTGTACCAATGTGAAAACAGAAATACTTTTGTGGCATGCAATACTCGACTTACTTTTGTTGACGAGCATCATTAGGCTTATCATCAGTCCGAATTCTTTTCATGAGAATTAACTGTAATGACCAGTTTTTATATCATAAACTGAATTAGTTAACGTTTGATTACTCTCCTAGTTCTAAGTATTCTACTATTCCAGTAGACTTATGTAGTTTAGTTAAATAACTTGAAAAGAGATAAAATCAAATATTGATTGGACTCAACTTTAGTTTAATTTCAAGAGAAATAAATGGTATATTGTACAAAACAAACAAAATCTTATGTGTTATTGACTCATTTTTGATAAAGTAATATTTGCCTCAAAAAAGAACTAAGCTGGAACCAACTTTAATTTCTATCAAGAGAAAAAACTTCAATGTACAATGAAATTTAATTTTTTTTTTGAAATTTTCATTGCATTTCAATTACATGAACTTATGATTAAAGCCAAAATAGAATAATAATTATACTCATACATGAAATTACTTTTTGAACATGATGCTTGAATAAAATATCTTCATAATGAAAAAGTAGAAGGTAGAAATGGTATTATTTTTAATTACAACATATTTTTCTACTATGTTAAATGTTTAGTTTAGATCCAAATAGTAACTTTATTAGCTAATGGAGTTTTTTTTTTATTATTAAGACTTTATAGATGAACTATGATAGTAAAGGTTCTAAAAAAGAACTAGATACAGTAGTTTTTTGATTCTTGAAACTGGCATTGTTAAAAGATAATATCTGACTTCTAAAAGTTATCATCGTCCTTGATAAAAGAAAACTCTATTAGTTATTAAGATTATTATCTTGATTTGAGCGAAATCACTTAACATTACAGAAAGAAACATACACTGATATTAAAATTTGTCTCTATCAATTCATATTTATCTTTAGATTTTGAAAGTTTATTTGTTACTGTGCAAGATAAACATTCGTTCTTTTTTTGTTTCGCAAACTAGGATCTAATGTTATTTTTTCTTCCTTGATTTATGCACTCCACGCAAACGAAAAAAAGAAACCTTGGCCTGGTTTTTTTTAATCTAAAGACGTAATAGCAATGTATTCTTTAGTTTTGTTTTAAATGACTATTTAAAGAAGACAAGAAAAAAAAAATAGATAATGGTTATTGATACAAGGTTAAATTCTCAAATATTATTTATGAGTTCAAAGTAACATATTTCATATTGTTAAGAAATAAATTGTCTAACTAATTTTCTTATTTAATTATAAACATACTTTTTTTCTTTTTGAGAAGCAGTTAAATAATTTTTAAAAATTATTCTGTTAAAATTCTATTTGACACTCTTTTATATGTCTTCCGAGATGTTAGAACTCAATAAAATTAATCATTTTCTTTGATATTAAAATTTTGAATAAAAATCTAAAGTATAATTTATTTATTTATTATTAATATTCATATACTCATCATACAATAAAAAAAAAGAAAACCGAACGTAAAACAAAAACTATACCATCATTGTTCACTATTCATAAGAGCAGTAGAATACGAAAGAAATTTAATAAAAATCCTGGTTTTCATGATTATCACGGGCTACAAGCATATAATAGAAAAAAAAATGTATATGATATAGATACGTTGAAATACAGTCAAAAAAAATAGTCTTGTTCTTTTCTTTTTGTCCATTAAAACCGGTGTCTATAAAGTTCATAAATAGAAATCATCATTAGCTAAATTTAAAGCTGAAAATAAAATAATGCAAATTTATAATCATAATTCGTATCCATTTAAATTTATTGTGTCAAACAATTGTGTAAGTGGATTTATTTCTGAATCATCAGCTTGATACGATGAATTTAATGAACGTAATGTTGGTGATGTTGTTAAATAAAAATTTCCATGTGTTTGTGATTGACGAACAGGATTACCATGAAGTGGTTGTTTTTCAATAACATATGTTCGTGATGAATTAAGTACAGGTAATAGAATTTTTTGCATATTTCTTATTGTTAAATCATCACGTTTTAATGTTGATGAACGAAACTGCTCATTTTCTGTTGTAAATTCAGGAGTTGGTTCATAAACATAATGTCGTTCAAATGGAACTGTAAATTCATTATCAGGTGATTGTGAAATAATATTTTCTGTTCCAATATTAAGTACTAGTGATGTGTTTGTTAATGGTATTTGTTGTTCTTGAGCATGATGAAGTTTTGATTCCGTATTTTTTATTCTATCATCAAAATAAACATTGTCTTGTGATATTGGTAATTGGAGATGACGACGTACACTTTGTGATGCATCAGGGTGTGTAACAAGTGTTGATGGCAATAAAATAGAAGTATCATTTGGTAATTCATCAATATAGGGTGGATAGGATTCGTCATCAAGAAATTGCATAATTATTTCTTGTTCTTCTTCATCTAATTTTTCTTTAGATGCAAGTTTTTGATAGTTAATTTCTAAACTAGTTGTTGTTCCAAATTCTCTCGTTGATAATGGTTCTGGTTGAGCACCTCGATGATGTGGATATTTCATACCATCAAGGCTAGTATCAGTTTCAATCGTAGTCATTGGTGGTCGATTTTTTATTTTACGTGGACGATTTGGTATTGGTAATAATGGTATGAGATATTTATTGTTCGGTGAAATAACTTCTGGTTTCTCTCCTTCAGTTGAATAATGATATTCTGATGGTGATGAAAGTACCTGAAGTGGAATTACTGTTTGTGGACTACGTTGTGGTGAAAAAAAATATGGTGGACGATAAGTTGAACATGAAGGACTTCTATGTCGTGATGAATGTCGATCATAATCGGAACATTTCTTTGGTCGTAATAGTATTGGTGGTTGTAATTGATTTTTTTCTTCACTATCAACTGATAATGAACGTTGATTAGTGTAATTTTTATTGGGTTTTGAATAATCTTGTCTTTGTGGTTGAGAGATTGTTCCATTAGAATATTTTCCGTCTTGTGGTCTTGAATTATTTTGTATCAAGGCCAAAGTTTGAGTTGATGATGATTGTGGTTGAACATCATTACCAAAATTAGATGTTTGAACAGGCTCAGACATTGTACCAACATTTCGTGTTGATTTTTGTTCTGATTGAGTGCCATAATTTTTAAAAGTTTTTGATTCGGCTGTGTTCGTAGTTGGAAAATTACGATTTTGTTCTGGATATTTAGACATTATATCGGAATCGTCTTCGTCGTCTTCGTTATTATCACGCGAATCACCTAAATACGTATCTGGTGTACGACGAAATTTATGTGGTTTATCAAATGGTGTTCTCTCAGTTATTTCATCAGTTATATCAGTTGTTGATGCTGAATTCGGTCTAGGCGGTATGATACCAGGTGTATACAAATGCCGTCCGTCAGTAGTCCGAACATTTATCTCAGTTGGTTTTTTACCTTTAATTAAATAAATACAAAAAAAATGAAGTCTTTTACAAATAGATATGTATCTTTTTTATTGTACATGTTGATAAGAGTGCTTTCTATTCAAACATTTCATATCGCCCACGCACATGCATTCTAGTGCTTTATCAAACATATCTTATTCTTTTTCTATTGACTGTTGGTCACAATAAAGTATAGACCTTGGTTTCATTTTTTGATATTCTTTTTATATAACTCTTGACCTTCAATACCAGACAAAATAAAACAACATATCATAAAGCATGAAAAATTAGTACAATCCGAAATAGAAAAAAAAAAGCTAAGAAATTAACAGTATGGTTAAATAGAATTAATCACAGATATATGAAAAAAAAAAATTAAACAGTATGTTGTAATTAAATATTAACGTTTTGATTTTCCTTTCGAACGTGATTTTGTTTTCTTTTTTGATGATTTTTTGTCAGTATCTTTGTCTTTTTTTCCGCAAAGAGAACTGAAAAACCCTTGCTTCTTTTTTTTCTTTTTACCATCGATATTCTGTTGTGATTCTGCTGTGTCTTCCGATAGTGAAGTATATTGTGACGGTTCAACCAATGGATTCTTTTTTACCAAATTGTCAATTGTTCGTTGATCATTATGAAGATGATCATTTTCATCATCATCATCGTCCTCTGGAAATTCACGACCAGTATTTTGATATGGATTATGACGAATTTTGTCTCCATCATCATCATCATCATCATCATCAGTGCGATTAATTTTGTTTTGCGGTCGTCTCAAATTTCCAATATCATGATTGTTTTTGTTATAAGAATCAGTTGCATCTTCACGTCCAGAATGACTTGCTTGAGAACTTGAATCTTCAATATTTTTTTTTTCATCATTATAACTATTCGTTTTAGAATCGACATTAGTTGTAGGTGCCTTATTAGTAAGCATAGTTATTGGTGGCTCTTCTTCAGAATCTTGAGATTTTCCTGATAATGATTGATTTCTACTTGATGGACGTTGTTGATTTTGTTTTAATGTATTACCAGTAGTTGTTCCAGCATCACTTTGTTGTTTGAATTGAAGATTCGAAGAATTATCATTATCAGGATATTGAGAATATGTTGTAGGTGAAAAATCAAGATTACGTTTTATATTTGTATTTGTAAGAGGTCTAGCTTGTGAATCATGACCAAATGTTTCACATTCTGTTTCGTCATTTTCATCATCGGATAATTTCCTTTCAATATTTGCACCAAAAAAATATTTTGATTTCTTGTCCGATAATCTTGCTAGTGATGGAGATGGTGATGCTGATAATTGAGAACTATGTATATTATCGGCTTGTTTCGAAGGGATTTTCTCGTAAGTATTTGCTGGTGTATAATTTTCGGATGAATAATTACGTGCTTGATGAAGATCTTCATCATCATCACGAGGGTTTATTTTAGTTGTAGTTTGTTGTCCTGGTGTTAGTAGCTGGGATGGAGATGAATATTTTTCTTTATTTTGATTGTAACCTTCATATAAAGGATTTATGTTATTTGAAGAAATTGGACGATTATCCATTGGTGTTGAATTTATAGGAGTTTTATTATCAGTTGTTGCATGAATATATGCATATGTTGGATTTTGTGCATCAGAACCTTCCAAAGTAGCTTTGAATATTAATTCCATTTGAGTATTTTTAGGTTCATAAGTATATAAATTATTATTGGGTTGACTTCCTCGTAATTCAAAACTAGCCGAAGTAATTTTTTGTGGTTTATTAAACGATTCTGTATGATCTTGATCAGTATTTCGTATAGGTCGTTGATTTTGTTGTTGTTGTTGCTGTATTTTTTTATCATTGTTTGAATCCAATCGTGAATACGAAGATGATTGTGCCGGATTATTATATGGTGATATATCTGCTGAAAATTTCTCCGATCCCTTTGGCTGTTGAAATTCATTTCGATGGTTATAGTGTGATTGCTTATCTCGCGGTAATGAGTCTCGATTTTGAAGATCACGTTGTTTTCCATGTTGTGATGATGCTCGTGGCGATAATTCATTTTTTTGTTGTGTTAAATCTAGAATATAATCATATTGTGATGGTGATAATCGCGAATCTGATTGATTATCTCGTTGTATCGAGTCTCGATTTTGTAGACTATTCTGTTGTCCAAATTGTGATGATGGCTGTGGTAAGGATTTGTTTTCCTGTGGTGTCGTGACTCTGATATATGAGTCTTGATCTTGTGGATAGTTTTTTTGTTCGTATGGCCTTGGTGGTTGTTGCAATCTATCTGGTTGTTTATTTTCTTTGCGTAATTCTGGTTCTGAACGAACTTTATTTCCATTATTACGTAGTCTATTAATACGTTCTTGTTGCAATCGAAATTTCGTTGGTATAATAATTCTCTCACCATAACCAAGCGGTTCATGGATGCTTGACCCATATTGATTATTAGTAGTAGCTAATGGAGAAGAATTTGATATTAATGAAGAATTTAGTGGACGATATTGCGTTGGTATTAGAATTTTATCTCCATTTGTCTTAGAATTAGTATACTCCAAATTATCATTACTAGTATTCGTTGAATGATCATAATAATCAATATTTGATGTTTGTGTATAATGATTAGGTTTATATCTTTTTTCTTGATCAGAATTAGAATGTGATTCGCCTACTATATGTAACATGTTAGGTGATCGAATAAAAGAAGATAAATCTTTAATTGATTTTAGTGATGATAAATATGAATCTTTGTTATCAGTTTCGTATACTCTAGTAATTAATATACGTTCGTCTTTTTTACTACCAGTTATTTTTGGTGTTCTTTGAGAAAGTGTTGTGCTTTTGTTATCAGTTGTAGTTACGTTGAAAATATGAGCTGTTGACGAACGGTAAAGATGCTCGTCTGCTGCTGTGTTTAGCTTAGATAAATAGGATAAGATAGGACCTATAGAATAGAAGTAAAAAAAAAAAAAGAAAAGAAAAGCAACGTGAAAAGAAAACGAAATAAACGTTGACTTTGAATTAAAAAAAAAATCGAGATAAATAAGCAGCAACTTGTATCTATTTTGTTTTGCTACATATAAGCTTTACTTGAGAATCATTAAAAGAATTATTCGATTTAAAAGTAACAATGAAACAAGGTAAATATATATACAGAGTGTATTTGTCTGTAAATTTAATACGAAAAATAACGCTTGAAAAGAGTAACAAGACACCAAAGGAATTTATAAAGATGTATATGATTAATTGATCATTATATATACATGCATAAAAAAAAAGAACGTAATAATCATAGCAACAACAGCAGCAGTAGCGAGCATTCTTTTTTGGTATTATTTATGATCTATTAAAATCAAAATATATGAGAAAACAAGAAAAAAAACGATGATGATAGGGTCAATCATCGATAAACAACCACTTTTTCAATAAAAAATAAAAGAGAATTTATACAATTCACACAAGCATATGCTGTAAAATGTCAGCATAATCAAACTTACAACGTATTTCTGTTTTTATTGTATTTCGTTTTGTAAAAAAAAGAATGAATATGCGATAAAACAAAATGTGAATATTGTACGATAAGAAAATGAAATGATATTACTAATGGAAAAAAAATGTGCGTAGGCGGGCGATATTTTTTTTTTAATGCGCATATGATAGTCCCAAAGAGGGAGCGAGAGAAAGATATCTTTTGTTGCTTTTGAGCAAATAAAGAAGAACATAATCAGTAGAAGTTATTTTAATCAGAATAAAATAACCAATTAATAATGTATTAATACAAAATAATAACTTACCAACAACAATTTCTTGCCAAGGTGTATGAATGTCGGGTGATTCAAGGCTAACAACTCGAATTTTATATCGACCAGCTGAATAAAATAACAAAAAAAAAAAAAGAACGAGTGTTAAATTGGTGTTGATCAATATTGAATCTGTAAATCGTTTATAGATGATATATTCTTTTGAAATAATATTTTATTAACACTTTTTACAGAGAAGTAAAAATAAAAGAATGTTTCAATTCTTTACTTACGATATTTAAATGTATAATCAGGAAAGTCTACCAATGAACGACCTTGAATCGGTTCAAGATCTCTCATAAGCATAGTTGTTGCTTGAGGACTGGTTTCAACTAAATAAATGATGTTATTTATTTATTTTAGAGAATATTAATATATATATATATATGTACGTTTTTCTTCTAATTTAACTCGATCGGTAACTCCTTCGTCACCAATAACACTGAAAGTTTGTAATTTTTCACCGGCAATAACAGTTGTTTGTGGTGGATTAAACCATTGAAGAAAAGTCAATCGAGGTGCTTAAATAGAAAAAAAAAAAGAATTTTCAAAGAAAAATAATATTTGTTTTTTGCTGTATTACTTACATCTCAATGTATCTATTAAACGTATAAATTGAAAATGATCATTCACATGTAAATATTTATCCTACGAAAATAAAAATATATAGAATATATTTGTATAATAATGATTATTAACCAAATAATTAATTCATAATATGATGACGTCACATACGATGAAAAATTCGTTTCCTATTTCTTTTCAATTAAAAAGGTACTGCAAGAAAACTGTTTTTTTTTTACCAAAGAATAGAACTATTTCTCTACTACAGAGTAATGTACGATTTATATTCTTCATGCATTGGTAAGTGAAGCGAGACGAGAAAAAAAAGAGAAACTTTCGTGAAAAATAATTTGTAATTTTAATATGAATTCATCAAAAGTATCTTGTAGATGACAGCTAATTATAATTAACTATCATTTTTTTATAGAATATTTTTAACAATTTCATAAATATCAAAGTAAACACTAGTTCAGAAGATCATTTTTATCAGTCAACAAAATTGGAATTAATTATTATTATCTAACAAGATGCTTTTAATGAGTTCATATCAATATTATAAATTTATAGTGTGAAATCGACATTTTGTACCATTACTTTTCCATTGTATGTTAGTTTGACCTAAAAAAATTGAACAACATTCACATTCCGAGAGTTTTTACTTTCCAAGTAGTTCCACATTCAACATTCAGAAAGCATGAAAACTAACTACTTTCATCATAAAAAGTGTGTGACAATACTTAAAAATGCTATATTTTTATCTTGAAAACGTGTAAAAAGTTTTTATTTCCCATATTTTATGATGTGTTTTATAGATAAGAATGACTTTTTTCATACATGTTCTATGTTTAAAACAAAAAAAAAAAGAAGGGAGAAAATTTTTTGGATGTTTTCCAGATGCAAAGTATTGCTTTTTTTTTTCTAAGCATTTTCACGCACCTTTTCTCGTGAAAATTAGTTATCTGTAGTGTTTCTAAATTGACATTAAAATACTCGAACAGGAATATCTTTCAAAATAAAAAATAAATAAATTATATAGAATGCAACAAGTTCTGGAAACTTCATGTGATTTGAATGTATCTGGTTAAGAATAGATTTTATTATGCATGGGAAAGGTGAAGACATAAGTCATAATAACTTGGAAACAAAATTTCTAAATCTAAGCCTGTTTTTAACTTTATAAATTTCATTAAAATCTACTTTAGTTAATGATTCTAATTCATTATTGGCTCTCGTATGTATGAATAATGAAAATTCTATAAATAATCAATGAGATTAGACTATGCAACTGTTTAAATGTCGATTACTCAACGATTTAAAATTTGAAAAATGATTCGAAAGTCTCCTTAGATCATAGAGATCTTAATGAATTATTGATACCATGAAAAGAGTTTGAGTCCTTAGCTTATTGCTACGAACATTTTGTGTTTTGACGATATTTCGTTCCAGTCAATTCCGTAATCACCTTCTAACACTTCACGATGTTAACAAGAATTTTTTTTTTTGTTCATAATACAACGAAAAATATGTATTTTATTTTAAAAGTTCCTATAATTTACTTACAGACGAATTTAAAATTTCATCACGTTTTTCATTTAATGTTTCTTGATCATTAATACCCTATAATAAAAAAAAATGACTTTTTTTGTCTCTATTGATTTAATTTCTTACATTAGCTAAAAGTGTATTAAGACTTTTTTCTAAATTATATTGTCGAAGTAAATCAACTAAACGCATATCAATACCAAAAAAGCCAATAAGTTTTATTTGAATATCTACACCACCATAATTATCCAAAATAAAAACTCGAACATAACGAGTTTTTAATGGTGGAAAAATGAAATCATTTTTATTTCCAGCTACAATAAAATAAATAAAAAGAAGTTTATCTTTTATCGAATTAAAATCTTTGTTTTTTTTGTCTTCTTACCAGATAATATACAAGCAAAATCTATAATTTTAAGCCAAGGACCATTAAAAGAATTTGACACATCAAGATGACCACTTCTTGGTGCCGAATGATTTTCACTTAAAGAAAAAAAAAAACAAACAACAAGATCAACATTGAATAATTTTTATTTTTCATTTTATTCTCTCTTTCGTTTTGTTTTTTTTACCATCCAATTATTCTCATGCCAGTTATATTATATTCATGTTTTAAATCAAAAATAATCCATGCATTTTTAGATTGTGTACAACGCCAATAGGCTTCAGTCGAAACTAGAAAAGTAATAATTCTTTTTTAATTTCAAATAAACAATAAAAAAAGCATTAATTTACAATCAAGTAAATTTTGTATAGATGAATCTTCAGCTGTCGGACTTCGAAATTTATCACTATCTAATGTCCAATTTGAATGACTGCGAATTAATGGATAAATATGTGATATAGCATTTCCTAAATACAACAAAAAAAAACAAAAATTTTAATTAATTATTGAAAATAGAAAGCTAACAGAGATATCAATCATGACACAACCATCATAACAATTACAAGAGATTTTTTTCCAATAAAAATCGCAATGAGTGAAAATTTTTTTCTTGAGAGTACGAATAATACCTTTATCATGTTTCAATATGAAATTCGAAACATCTTTTTCCATCGTCCATTGCAACAAGGTTTCCTCCATCTAATATCAATATTCACAAAAAAAAATTATACTATATATCCAAGGGTTATAATTACTTATTATGGATACTAGTGTTCTGCAATCAGATTAGTTACTTGGCACTAAATCTGAATATCAATGAAATTCTACCATTTCAAAAAATGTTTACTTTTTCAAATTACTAATGTATATAAAAGTATAGCAATGAAAACTGGTTTGATTATGATTGAACAAATTTATTGTCATCAAAGTAATAAGCGATAATTCTTTACTAAAAGAATTTATTTTTAATGAAAACTTATCTACAGATAATGATGAACCATTTAATAAAAAAGAAAAAGAATACATCGAGAGGAAAATGAATTTAACAATTGTGTACTCTATTCTAGTATCAAGCAAAGTTATATTGAATTGATTTAATTTTAGAAGCAGAAAGATATTAAGTGAATTCGATGTCACTTGCTTTTTTTTTAATGAAATTTTGATTGGTCTCTTTCATTTTTATTGCTGTTTATTATAGAAACTGAATAATATAGTTTTTTTTTAATACAAAAATAAAAGTTTAAAAGTATCAGTCGAATGTCGATTACTTCCAATCTGGTTGCGAAAAGTCATATCGGTGTAGAACACTAATTCATACTCGATTATAAATAATAAAAATTAGATATGCGTTTAGTATTCATTGATTTAGTTTTCTTTTCATTATCTGAAAATTACCTGATGTGTATGTAACAAAGTCCGGTGATGTTCTTTGTGGTGTACCTAAATTAATAAAGAATATGTTAATTAGATTATTTAGTTAAATTCTCTCAATCAAGGAAGAGGAAGAAGAAGATGATGATGATGATGATAAACAAAAAAAAAGCGAATTCACTCCTTAAATGTTTTCACACCTCCATTGGATATGATTTTTGTAGTTGACTTTGTATTTCTTAGAGGTATTGAAGTTAAATTTTTTCTATGTCTATTTTCATTCGATTGAAATGCTATAGATATAATAAATAATGGATGAATGGAATTTCATAAAAATACTTAGACAAAAATATTCAATTAATTCATATAAATATACTTACGTAAAAGAGCATCAATAAAATTTTGTTTTTGATCTGGTTGTAAACGCTCAGCTATAGCAAAAGCTGTTTCACCTCGATTATTTGCTATATTTTGATTAGCACCTTTTGCAAGCAACAGTCGAACTGTGGATAATCTTAATGAACGGACTCTGAAAGAAAAGAAGAAAAAAAACAAAATTCTCAAAGATTTCTTTTGGTTCTGTTTTTTCTTCTTCACATACGCCACATGAAGTGGTGTAACATTTGTTTGATCGGTTATATTTGGATCCATATTATAATTAAGTAATATTTCTAAACATTTATCATGACCTAAGAAGAATAAATATTTGAATATTAAAAAAAAAAAAAAAGAAAAATCATGAAATTTACCAAGACGAGAAGCAATTATAGCTGCTCGATAAGCACGTTTGACTAAAGTTCGATCATAAGAAAGTAAAATATCAACCATTGCTAATCAAGAGAAAAATTCAAATAATGAATTTCGTAGTTTTTACAGTATTCGTCAGAAGTTCCGGGACATGTGAAAATCCAGGTAAAGTTAAATCGTTTTCCAACAAATTTTTACCAGAGATAGAGCTCGAAAAATTGTGATCGCAAGCACCAACTCGCCCTTAGTCCACTATAATACGGGAGAGTTCTTAGTCGAACACTGATTCCACCAACGATTGCTATTATCTCAGCTATGCAAACACTTTCAATGCTGCAGAACCTATCATTCGAAAGCTCTATATCTCAGCTTTCTTCGATATCATTTTTGTTAGAAAAGTCTTTTCAGTTGCTAAGATATGATCCTCTAAAGGTATGTTAATGGCATCTCAACTTCAGTGATTTTCAAGTCGTTACTGCATAAATCGAATTTTGATTAGCCGATTTCCTTGAAACTTTTTTTTTTACAGTACTCTCAGATGTCTATTGGTGTATTCTGAAACTTGCAGAGTCATAGCTCGTACTAAACTGGTATCACCGCGCTGCAATGTCATCGTTAGTACACAGCTCACTAAGCATTTGTACCACAGTGAATCGAGCTGTTCTTTCTCCATAAGATAGTACATAACTGGGGCTATAACTATCGCTAAAAATATATCGAATAAAGCTGAGATATTGAGCTTTCGAATGATAGATTCTGCTGCATTGAAAGTGTTTCCATAGCTGAGACAACAGCAATCGTTGGTGGAATCAGTGTTCAACTAAGAACTCCCATATACTACAGTGGACTGAGACCGGGTTGGTGCTTGCGATCAGTTTTTTGAGCTCTATCTGTCGTAGAAATTTCGTGGAAAACGGTTCAACTTTTCTTGGATTTTCACATATCCCGGGACTTTTGACGGGTACTGTATATTATATACTTGGCCTATTAGCAATAACAGCTTCATCTAGTGGTAGTCGTTGATTTCGATCTTCAATATTTGGATCAGCTCCAGCCTAAATAAATATTTAGATAACAATGAAAGGCAAAATTCGATTTTTTTTTTCTAATAGACTTGAATAAATTATTGAATTTAAATTGGCTCGATGCAAAGTTTTCTTAAGATTTTATTAAATATCATTCATTAAGTAGTTTTTAAACTATGAATTTGTACAAAAAAAAATATCTCTTTAAAAATTTCTCAAGTCGATTAATATACGATACGCATTGATAATAATAACTTCATAAAGAAATATGAATTTAGAGTTTTTCTAATAATCGAGTTAGCCTTTATTTTCAATGTTCGTAAAATCAAAATCGAATAAATTTATTTCTTATCGTTCCCACGAGCTTTGATTAATAACTTATGACAAATAAAAGGAGAAGAATAGATGATCGACACATTATCTATGCACTAGATGTGAATGTATACATATTTGAATGGGCTTGATAAAATATTTAAAAAAAAACAAGCGATCTAATGAGAGAAGTCTTCCAAATGAACTATGAATACCCTAAAAAGAATTTGTGTCCTTCGCCTTTTGCTACTGAGATATATAATGGAAACCTGCGATTTTATTCAATCAAGACAGAAGACTTGGGTTAATGGAAATATATCAAATTCGATAAATCACCTCGACGTAGTTGCTTTTCTAGGCGATCACACCTCAATTGGTTGAAATCGGGTGGGTTACAGAAAATGTCTTATAACTCTTGAATGAAACAAACTAGAAATGTTGGGCTTGTATGGATCAAAAGAGAGGAATATTTTTTCTATCGATCAGTCTTATTAAAAATCCAAATCGAAAGAAAAGTAGCTTTAGAATATCGTTTTCGAAAAATTTTATCAAGAATTCATCTGATTAGTCAATGGATGACAAATGAAGTTTCGATAAACTTCTATGGTTTCGGTTCGAATCTTCTCTCTTGAGTGGTAAAAACCACAAGGTTGTATTATATTTCTATTAAAAGTTATTCCAAGAGCAACAGTCGAGGAAATTATAAAAAAAGAACACAAATTTCTGATTATAAACCAATATTTTATAGTTTCTGTTAATTATTATAATCGATTCATTCATTATATCAATTACGTTAATGATTATTCTAATTAAAGAAACTTACATTAAGTAATGTTCGAATATGACCAGCATTTTCATTACCATATGACATAACAGCACGATGTAATGCTGTTTTACCCGATTGATTATATACATTTGGATTAGCATTATATTGAAGAAGTAACTCAACAATAAGATATTTTTGACGATAAACAGCTAAATTTAATGCTGTATCACTAGAAAAAAAAAATTTTTTTAAATATATATTTTTATATAGATAATTATTTTTTTTTTTGACATACCCTGTTGCGCATTGTCTATTTGGATCGGCACCATGAACAAGAAGAATTTTTACTTTTTCATACGAACCTATAAATTAATTTTTTTTTTTTTTTTTACAAATTATAATAAATAAAACTAAAAAATACTAGTACAAATCTATTTAACCTTTTCCTGTGGCAATCATTAATGGTGTAACATTATATTTTGTACCTGTACAATTAATAAAATCAATTTGATCATCAATAACACCTTTATATTGAATAACATTAGTCAAATTTTGAAAAGGTTTTCGATGAAATTTTTGTAAAAATTCCTATTCAAACAAAACAAAAAGTCAATTTTTATCAAAAATTCTCTATTCCATTTAATTCAAACTGTAAACTTACAAAAAGTCGTTCTGGTGTACCTCGGTCTACGATGGTCAACAGCTCCTCACTATGCTGTTGATCGTCGTACCGATGAGCCATGTATTTTTTTCTTTTTTTTTAATCTAAAATAAAAATAATAATTCTTGATTCACTATAAATATTCTTCTATTAAAAAATGCATCTAAAATAAATGTATTCGATAGTATAAAAATCATTTACATTTATTATATCACTTGAAAAAACGTAAAGTTTAATCGTGTTCAACATTAACACTATATTCATATGAATACTCAACAATAAATCGATGGTTAGTAACATTAATAATGTTCTCCTTGGTGATAGAAACATATCAAAAAATCATAGTAATAGAAAAAAAAAAGAAGCTTAGTCACCTGTTTGTTTTTTCCTTGTATAGAAATCGATGTTTATGTTAAACACTCTAAGATATATTTGTTTGTTTTTTTATTTCGGGAAGAAAAAAAAGAAGAGTTTTTGTTTCTTTTTTTTAAATTCTATAACATAAAAACAAATAGAAAATGTTTTGATTTCATAACTTGTGGTTTTTTTTTTCGTTGTGTATGTTTCTGTTGACCAACTTTTTAGATTTCTGAAGATCTCTTCAGTTTAAGTGTATTCTTTTTTTCTTCGTACATATGAACCAAAATATATAAAATATAAATAACACTTAAAACATTATTATTTTAACTTGTTAATTGAAAAGTATAATTTCATTAACTTAAATGAATATTTAAAATCATTAGTAAATCATAAGTAAGACTGACAGATTGCAGAAACATTTATTACAGCATTTCATATTATGTTTCATGGATTCTAATCAAAATTCAAAATGTACCTTATTTGAAGAGTCAGAAACCATCGATATTTATCAGATGTCATGTAAATTCTTCTTAACTACCATTATATATTCTTTCGATGACTTTTTATATAGTAGACGATAGTTTTTTCTTATAAAGTAAAGATTCTGTTTTACAACTTTAAAGTTACTTCGATGAAGTATCATAAAAAATATAATATATATTTAATGATAGATCAACAAAGATAAGAGAACTGCGGTTTCTTTTTCTTCTCTGAAAATGCGAAAATTCTTTTGTTTTTCTTAAAAAAAAAAAAACATTTATAAAAATGTTTTTCTATGTCGGAAATAGTCTATGATAAAAGAAAAAACTAAATCTTATATAATGAATACTACCTTAATTATCATAAATCATCTCGAATGATTGAAATTCTTCATAGAATTTTTTCAATTAATCTCAATCAAACAATATTATATCATTTTTATTGATTAACATAATATTTCATTAAATTAATATTATTATTAAACGTTCGAAACTGTGATTAATGTTAATATGACAACGTAGTTGAATACTTCTTGTTTTTTTAATTGAACATAATGCCATCCAACAAAAAACAAAAATCGATAAGTGCAATTTTAATAATGATTACATTTAGAGATTTAATCTATACGACTAATATGATTGTTTCTTTTTCTGTATTACTATTATATAAAATTGAATAGAATTAAAGTTAATAAAGTCATATATAAACAATTGATGCGTACATGAAATATTAATATAATCCGAATAATATGAACGAACTGACCGTATAATTTGTTATAATATCACAAATAGATATTGATAATAATGAAAATTGAATATTTGTTATTTTTCTTTTTTGATAGTACAACTATTCTTTTATATTTATTTCATCTTGTCAAGACAGATGAAGATTTTCAAGGTTGCTTGATTTCAACTACTTCTTTTTTACTCTCTGTTTCTCTCTCTCTCTCTCTCTATTCCAGTAGTATGTATAATTTGTGGTTTGTCTCTTATCAAATTTTTTTCCGCACACTCGCATTTCATATTGCTTTAAGCAGGAAAAAAAGTAAAGCCATGTCACCTTTCCTTTTGCATCTTTATTACCATCTTTTTCTTTTTTCTTTTTAACTGTCACCTCATTCTCTCTCTCTTATCAATAATGATGATGGCATTGAAATATAAAAAAAAAAAAAAAGAAAAAAAAAAGAAAGAAAGAAACTCAAGTGAATTTCAAGTTCTCCGATTTGGTAACGAGTGATTTTGACTGTTTGGCTCACAGCAATTGAAATGAAGAACGATAAAGTAACGATGCTGGATAAACATCAAACGAACATATTACTTGATACAGAAAGTCAGTATATCTTACAGTAGTACATGAAAGGAAGAATGAAGTCCTACATAGACTCTTCAACTTTACAAGAAAATGTAAAAAGAAAAATGAAAGAGAAAGTTCAGTTTCTTTTTTTTTTCTCTCTCTCTCTCTTTCGGTGTCAATTTACAATCACACATTCATTCAATCACGAAAGTGACAATCACAATCTTTCTTTTCCTATCAGAATTCGATAATAATAAAAAACAGAAAACGAATCAATATATATATCTTTCATAAAACCCTATTCAAGAATATATATTTAATCCTTATGTTGTTCTACAAATCCTTTATTCACACTTTTAATCACATACTAAAATATATTTTAGGCTTATTTTTGAGACAAATATATTATACAAAACATTCAGCTTATGATTATTTTATATTTTAAAGAACAATTTTCTATTTTCATTTAAGTATATTGAATGAATGATCGAATACGAATAAATAAAATTAATTATCATTCATAAATCTTTTTTTTTTTGCATTTATTTACTTCATATGGTTTCTTTTTTTACACTCAAGATATTAGTGCAATATACAATATTCCAAAAAAAAAAAAAAGAACAACACTTTGTGCATAAATAATAACTCTTTTATGTATTCAATCCATATTTCGCTTGGGTCTTAGCCAATTTTTCTTTTTCTTTATCCAAATTCATTTTATCAAATGCTTTCGTTGCTTGATAATAAAGCACAACTAAATAACGATTACAAACATTAAAACCAGATAAATGATCACATGCATTTTTGGCATCAAATATATCTTCATAAACAACAAATGCTGTACCTATTTATATCAAAAGAAAAACAAAAAAGATAATTACATGATTATTTGATAATGTATAAAAAACAAAATTCTTTTCTTACCTCGTGTATCAGGTGTATTACCAACACGAATTTGTCGAATAGCTCCATATTTACCAAAAATATCATACATTTCTTCAGCAGTTATTTTATACGGAAGATTTCGTACGTATAAAACTCGATTAATTTCTGGTGGTAAACGAAGATTAGCACGTTTTTGCATCGCCATTTTTTTTGTGTTAATTTATATCAAAAGAATATTAATCTAACAAAAAAAAAAACATAATTTTCAAATTTGATTTATTTTCTATTATGAATTTAATCTATTACAAAAAAAAATACTGTTCTCAACAAAATGAAATATAAAATATTAATCAAGATATTATTAAAATAATCAATAGTATACAATTAAGATTTATATAAGTCTATTGTATTATTTTTTGAAGTTTTACTTTCTAATTTAATAACTGATCTATTTTTTAAAAGGTTGATTTTCACAAATTGAACATATTTTTTGAAATTCATGAATATTCAAATCTAGAATTCTCTTATATTTCAAGATCTCAATTAGTTTTAAAGAATATTGTGAATTTCATTGCGTACGATAATATACTCGTAAAAGCATTTCGATTATTTAACTGATGTCATGATCAAGTTATATAAGCATGTTCATAGGTGAAACAAGATGTATTTTCGAGAAAAAAAAACGAGTGTCAGCTGAAGGCTTTTTACAATCATAACCAAGGATTCTTTTTATTCGCTGATGATTAACACGAGTGCAATTGCCTTCGGCAAAGAAAAATCGAGAAGTAACTCATTAAAACTATCTACTATCTCAATTATAACTAATTTACAAAAAAAAATATCATTTTTTTACCTATTAAATAAATCTCTAGTGAAATATTTCGAAAAATCAAATAAATATAATAATAATAATAAATACTTTCATCAACCAATAAAAATCTTCTTTTTTTTCTTTTTTTTTTTATTCTCCAATCAATTTATTCGACATCTATTCTAAAGTTTTTTTGTGGGTATTCAATTATTTATTTTATAAACAAAACCAAATAAATAAAGAAAAATTCTTAACTCATATTATTTTTTTTATTAATTTTTGTTTTTTTGATTTGTTATTTTATTCACCAATTCAAATTGTACAGAACAAGAAAGAAAAACAAAATGGCGATTAATATATTAAAAAGAAAAAAACTAGATATATGTATATGTATTCCGAAATATTAATCATAAAAATAAAACAAGAAATATGATTATTTTTTTCTTTTAATCATTCTATCTAATGAAGTTCTTATTTATTAAATATATTTTTTCTTTTTCAATCTATTCATTCAATAATAATAATAATGGCTCGAACAGAAACATCAAATTTTAGCCATTCAACACCAATAAATACTTTAACATCTTCAGTTACAACACGTTCATATAATAATTCAACAAATATAACAAAAGATCAAATACAACGTAGTGATATTGTTAAAACAGAATTTACAGCACGTGAAGGTACATATAAAATATCTTCAATTATTGATAACCTTGGAAAGTTCGGTACAAATACATGTTTAAATGAACCAATTAAAATAACATTAATGACTCGAATACAAACAAATGTTGATTCGAATAGTCAAACAAGTTCAAGACGTTCATCAACATTAAATAATACAATTAATAATCATAATTCAATAATATCTAATCAAGATAATCAATCAAATGAAAATACAATTGAAACAAGACCTTCATCAACATTAAATGGAATTGAAATAAATCAACAAAATGGAAATTTAATTGTAACAGAAATATTAGCATTTAATGTTGGACGAGAATTAATTATTTATGAATTTTCTGAACCAACACAGGTTTGTTTTATAAGATAAAAATGAAAAATCCAACGAATTTTCATTATTCAAACTCTACTATTCTTTATTATCTTCTAAAATCATTCAATTTGTACTTGATATTATATATATATCGTATAAAACAAAGCTTTTCAATTTCAATTAATGTTCCTGAAAATCGAGCTAGTAACTTAATAAGAAGATCGGGAGTATTAGGGAAGGTGCTCGACGACATAAGGAGTGCTTAATACTATATAGGGTCAATGATGACTTATATTATGTTTCTCTTTCTTTTAATGATAGGGCAATACGCCCGACCTTGATTAAACCACTAGACATATTTATCACTTTCTAAATAAAGACACAATCAACAGTATGCAAAGTTCAGATTGTAGAAAGTTTGATGGCTAACAAAGGAGTTTTTTTAGATTGATTAATCGCTTTCATTGCTATCAGTATACTACAGTTTAATAGTAATTTTTAAATGAATACCGTTGTCCTTATCAAGAAATTTTCAACTTAAAACTTGGTATAGAGAAAAAATTAAGATCTTATGATTGTTCCTATTCTAAGATACACATATGATAAAAGTGTGTCTTTTATATCGTTCATATACATTGATAAATTTGATGTTCTTATTTCGGGATAGAAGCTATTCAAAACAAACTACTTTTATTTACAGTTCGACAGTTCTAAAAAACTGAAAATAGAATCGTTAAATTACTAGATAGATACAGAATTCTTAAATCTATGTTGAGAAATCTTCATTTTTGTTTTCATTCTTGAGATGGAACATTTCACTTTATATTTATAATATTGGTTTCTTTAAATATTGAAATATTCAACATCTCTAATCTTAACAACTCAACAGTAAAAATTGCTCACAATAAATTAAAAATTTTCGTATCTATCTGATAATTTAACGGATCCAATTCCGGATACTTGTTGAAACTATCCAACTCTACTCTCATTAAAACCTGTAGGTATACAAAGTTTCAAGTCAAAAATAAATTTTTCTAGTATTCCTGAGGGTAGAAGCCCGTCGGGTTTGTTTTTTTTTTGATCCGGTCTGAAAGTTCCTGTACATTGGGTCCAAAAATTTCGAACTCGATGGGCTTTAATTATCTGATAAATATGTACGATATGTTACTCATCGAATTCAAAAGAACTGTTAAAAAAAATTTCTCGTATCTTCAAGGCAATTATTCAGTTCTCAGTGAAAACATATCATTGAGAGTGTCAAAGTACGACTCGACCGGGTCCTGAATCCAGGAATTCCGGACTCGGTGAACTTTACCTGAGGGTCTTCATTTAAACAATGCCCTATTTCAATAGCAATAAACTAAGAACTTGAACTCTTTTCAGGATATTCATCGCTTATTTGAGTCTACATAATACACATAGTCCCAATTCAACAGCAATTAATCCCTTGAAGGACTTCCTTCCTAAGATTTAAAAATGTTATTTTGTATGAGAATAGTTTTTCGAAATTTATTGAACAATTGTTCTATTGGATCATACACAACAACAAAAAAAAAACAAGACTTTTTTTTTTTGAATTTGAAAAATTCTAGTCGAATTTCGGTGAACCAATCGATCATCGTATTTATAAACAAAATCATCAACCAACTTGTCATGATATAATGCAACAGCCTGATACAAATATTTTACATATACTTGTCGGTTTTTCTAAAGGACAAATACAATATATAAATACACATACCAAAGAACAAAAAGTATTCAATGAAGGAGTAAGTTTAACAAAAAAAACAAGAAAAATAAAATGAAAAAAAAAAAAAACAAATGATTTTCTTAGAGTTATTTAGATAAAGCAAAAGTAACATGTATTAAATGGTTATCATCACCAAAAACATATTTTGCTGCATCGTATTCAAGTGGTTATTTGTATATATTTGATGAACAACTTAATCATCAACGTGATACAACTGTTCAACCAACATATACAACAATAAAAGATGATGAAAAAAATTTTTCCATATCTTATTTGAAGGTTTAAATTTTTAATAAGAAATATATGAAATTATTTAAATAGATGTTTTTTTTTTTTTTTGTTTTGAAAATTTTTTTAGAATAAAACAAAACAAGCACGTAATCCTGTATCACGTTGGTCAATTGGTAGTGGAAGTATTAATGAATTTGCTTTTTCACCTGATCATATTTTACTAGCTGTTGTATCACAAGATGGATTTCTACGAATATTTAATTATGAAAAAAAAGAATTAATTGCTTATATGAGAAGTTATTTTGGTGGTCTTCTTTGTGTATGTATATTTCAATTTAAAAATAGTAACATGAAACATTTCATGTTGAGACTTTTAGTTAGACTAATTATTATAGAAAGACTATAGAGAACATCAAAAAAAAAGAAAGTAGGATTTATATCTCTTTGTTCCGTGTATATTTATAAAACGATTGATCTTAACCTTTTGGATTTACGAGTATTATTCTGCTTAAAGACAAATTATACCTAGTGAAAAGTATTTTTTTTTGATAGTCCATAATCCAGATTTTCCTTTTATAGAAACTCAAATCTAAAAATGTTCAAATTGCTATTAGATAAAGAAATGTTGGTAGACGTCTATCTGTGTAATACTTATTAAGTTCAAAGAAATTTTTCAGTAATATTTACAATTGAATATGTTTTTCGTTGTCGATTTCTAGAACCTGTCATAGCAACATAAGTTCAATTTATACCAAAATGTAACTCAAAGAGAGTCGCTAATTATATAAGGAGTATATTTTGGTGTAATGTGAGCTTAAGTTACTGCAAAGAATTGTAGAAATATACAACGAACAAAATGCTCATCTGCAAACATTCATGAAAAACTTCTTCAAACTTAATGATAATCACAGCGAGATTGTTTTATTCTGTCTGTCTTTTGAGACACATTTCTTCACCATCCTTGTTTTTTTATTCTCTTGAAGTGCGACAAAGAAATATTTCATATATTTTAACAAGATATTATTGATATATAATCTTCGATCATATATCATACACTTATATGACAGAGAGTAAATACTTTGCTAAGGCGTCTGTGTGAAATGATAGTGCTATATTTCATAACAAGAATAGTAAAGTTTGGTTTTTTTTTTTGTCGATTTTTTTATTTATGTTCAACCGTTCGAATGTGAATTTTTATTCAATAGATTAGCGATACGCATCTTTATAAATTACATCTTTATTATTATTTAAATGTATGAGAGTTTTCTGAGATTGTTTAACATTAATTTCAAAATTTTTTGAAGTTTTCTTTTTGATATGTCAGTTTGTAATTGATTGAGATTTGTATTAAGACACGTTGACAATCAATAAATTATGCCATTTTTGAATCCATTTATTATATAAAACGTTATTATTATTATTATTAAACATGCGTGAATCATAGACTGTCAATGTGTTTTAAGATGAATGTCAATCATTTTAAAATTGAAATATTACAATGAAAACTTAAGAATTTTTGAAATTTCTTTTTACAAAATGATTTCAAAGAGCTCTTTTTTTTTATTTCAATGAAGCGAATATATCATTTAGCATAAAAAAAATTCCAGTTCGTGTGTTTATGGCGCATTGATTCAAAATATATCATGATAAAGAATCATTCTATAGCTAACCAAGGTCATTCGTAAAATGTTAAAAATTAATACCGTAATACACTAGTACCAACGGTCATAATGATCACTTATGAAAATTATATCCTTTTTTCATTTATAAAAATATTATTCTCTATATCTTATTAATTTCTAATTAACATTCGTATGAATAACTTCTTAATTTTCTTTTTTCTTTTTCATAAAAATAAAATTTCTTCAAAGATATTTTTCAATTTTTTATTTAAGGTATGTTGGTCACCCGATGGTAAATATCTTGCAACTGGTGGTGAAGATGATTTTATAACATTATTTTCTATTGATCCTGAAGAACATTCACCACGTGTTTTATGTCGTGGATATGGTCATACCTCATGGATAAGTGCAATATCATTTGATCCATATATGAATGCTAAAACATATTATTCATCATTTATACAAAAAACATCATCATCATTAAATGATGATAATGATAATTGTTATGAAAGATTATCGAAAACAAATTCATATACAAAAAGTAATTCATCATTTTTTGATACAAATATTCCATCATTATTTTATCGTATTGGTTCAGTTGGACAAGATAATCGTTTATGTTTTTGGGATATAACAGAAGATATACTTAAAATAAATAAAATTCATTTAACAAATAATACTAAAAGAAATTCATCTATTCATCCATTAATATCATCAATATCAAATGGTTATTCATCACATTTATCTGATACAACAGCATTAACATCAACAAATCCATTAGGTACAACAAGAAAATCATCATTTTCATCTTTAACATCACGTTTAACATTTGCACGTAATTCAAATAAAGTTCATAAATCTATTGATGATACACCTGATAGTTCATTAGTAACACTAACAAATGGTTCATTAAAAGGAACACGTAAAACACCATTATTACCACATATATCAAATGGTTCAAAATCTACAATATCAAATGATACTGGTCAAGGATCATTATCAACATTAACAAATAATAGTTTATCATTACGTCGAACAAATTTTGATTTAACTAAAAGTACGTTTGGAACAAATCTATGTCCAAGATTAGATGATATACAAATTATTGAACCAATTGTTACTGAATTTATTTCTCATGAACGTTTAAATGGAATTTATTTTTGTGAAAATTGTTTATTTACATCATCACAAGATGGTGTTATTACAATTTGGGAAAAACCACAAACTATTCTACAGACTAATTCCGTATGTATAAAAAAATGAAATTTTTAATTAATATTTTGAAAATAAATTTATTTAAAATTATAAAAGAACATCTTCAATTATTATTCTAGACTTTTCTATTACTCATCAAATAAATATCGTCTTCCTCGAAAAGTTATTTGACACCTGAAAAAATTTATCTGTTAGTCTAATCCGCTAATATTTCTCTAATGGAAATATTATTGAGATATTAGATAGAAAAAAATTTGTTGTTTTAAGAAAATAAAAATGTTGAGATACAAGATAATATAAGTAGAAAAAGATGAAAGAAATGAGAAAATCTCTTTTCGAAGTAAAGGATTCTATGTCTTCTATCGTGATCAATCTATTGTTATAACTTCTTTTCAAAAAAAAAAGGAAAGCAATTTTACAGATGCAAAAAAAAGTGATGTTTAGAACTTCAAAACAAAACTCTGAAAACTACGCATATTTGAATGTAAAGTTCGAATTTTTCGAGAAACAAATTACTTAAAGAAGTTCTGTTATTGCAATAGTATTCATCTCTTTTGGTCGCGTGACTATAAAAAAAATCTCTTCATCAAAATAATATCTCTTAGGAAGTCTTATTTATCATTGTCTTTTTGTTCACTTCAAAGAAATCCAATTCATAACTAATTTCAATCATGTTTTCAACTGTTTTATAAAGCCTTTGAGTTTCTTGAAAAAAAATGAATCGCATTTCGATGCTTTATATAAGAAGAAAAAAAACGCTTACAAGCAAAGTCTTCCAACTAATAAAAGTCGAAACTACGTGCATGATATAATCCCTAATGAGCTATGAATTTGTTAAGAACAGTTTCTGTCATTAGTCTATAACTGCCAAAATTAGAAGTATAAGTCGATGTCGATGATCAAGGCATTGGCTTAATCTCCAGCCGAGATAGTGCGTTTTTATCGTACCTTTTTTAAATGCATGCCGTGGTTTACTCAAGAAAAATAATTTTCGGAATTTCGCCTTGAAATTTTGCATAGGTGCAGACTTTAACGAGAATAGTTTCTCGTAGAAGTTTCAAATATTTTCATCGTTTCTATCCTAAGATGCAGCTGTGGTAATAGCGTGTCTTTTACATCGCTTATACATATACCATCAGATTCGATGTTCTTCTTCCGGATTGAAATTCGAATATCAATTTTTCTGTTATCATAATATTCATTTAAAAAATTCAATACCTTCGTAGTAATAATTTAAAGACACGAACTTATTTTAAGATATTCACAACTGATTTGAATATACATTATGCGCATAGTCTCAACTCGATAGACGACTTATCAGTCATAGAACATCCTTCGTCAATTCTACATATTCATCGAATAAATTTCTTCTGAATCTATAGATTTGATTTTAATATTTATCTTTTCTTATTTCTTTTAGACTGACGATCAAACAACAAGTTTATCTACTTTAATCAACAGTAATTCTCATCATTCGGCCATTTCTCATTAACTATAATATTTTTCTACACTTGACAATGTATAAATATTAACAAGTGTTCTTCAATTATAAATATTCTTTTATAAAAATTTATCAATAGACTTTCTTTTCATCACACACACACACACACACATACGTACAGAAACACTCTCAAATATCCGGTGACCTTGATCCTTTATCTTTTCTTAAAGACAAAAAGGTTCCTAATTTCTGTTCGATTATTTACCTAATTTAAAAAAACCAAAAGTTGTTTTTTTTTCTTTTGTAAATAAGTGTGTGATTTTAGTACTGCCTTGTTCATGTTATGTATATCTTGTTACTACTAATATCTTTCTCAAATATATCCGTGTGGTTGTTGTTAAAAACACAAAAAGAAAAATTTTGATTTCAAGATAAATTTCCAATATATTTAAATGTCTTTAAAAAAAATGTTTCCTTTTAAAATTTCGTATTATGAAATAACAAAAAAATAAAAATAAAAAAATTTGACTCGTAGATGAAAATAGTATTCAGTTAAGCACTAAAAGATCTGTAACGATAGATAAGAAATTATTAACAACCATTTTAACAAAAAACTAATTGATTAGTTATGTAGAAATGTTTAGAAATAATCGAAATGATGTATTTTTTAAAAAGAATATGTTTTTTTTTTTCATTCAAATAAAATAAAATTTTTCTATCATATCGATAGTTTAATTCGAAAATCTTAACTTTTTAAGATGATTTTATCCCTATAAATGGGTTATTAGTTATTAAAGCGATGGTTACTACTAATCATATCAATATTCGTACGTCATATTATTGTCGGTCGTTCATGTTCCACAAATACCACAAGTTGTGCCTGATACTTGGTTGGATCAAATTTTTCTTCTGTAAAAATTTCTCTTGAGAATATTGATTACTGTACATGAAAACCAATATCAATACGTATAAAACAATATTAACAACGTCTTAGTGCTCTAGGTGATGTGAAAAACAAAAAATTTGAAAGTGTATGACCTACTGAAAATGAAATACAAACAGGAGAATTCCACGATAAGAAAGAAAATAAGACAATGTAAGATTTGCGGTATAGTAGTGTATGAAATAGAGGAGAAATCATAATGAGTGAACCAAAAATTCTTCTATTGAAACTAAAAATCAATTTTAATCCAAAGCATACGAAAACATATCTTCAAATAACGAAAATGACTAAAGTGTCGATTGGAGCTATTTATAGATTTTTATAGGATTTCAAAAGTGCCATCAGGAATCATCAATTAAAATATCGTTATTAAGAATATAAAAGCATTTTGAAACATGCTACTGTCGTATTAATGACAAAAAAAAGAAAATAAAAATAACAGCCTTTCTTAATGCAAAAGAAATAAATCTTGACATGCGAATGTCATAATGGTAAATCCCATTGGAACTACTCATTTGGATTCATTTCCTTAAAAAAAAAACATCCAGAAACAAAAAGCATCTTCCGATATAAGGCAGCGATTAAAGTCAAAATTTAATGTGTAAATATTTAATTTGGATAAACATATAAATATTTAAAAGATGATCATGTTACTTTAAAACTATAAACTATTTATTCAAATAATTTGATCTTTTCAATGTTCGATTATCTTTGTAAAATATATAAATCATAAATGTTTTTTTTTAGCATATTTAGCTATGATTTCAATAATAAATTTCGTAATGAAACAACGAATGTTGCATATGTGAAAGCTTTGATATGTTCATTCAATTAAATGATGAGGAACTATTTTCATTTTAGATGACTTATTTATTTGTAATTTGGTTAGGTGAAAAACCTATTGAAAAAGTTTTTACATCATTAAGAATAATTCTTTGGTCAAATGTCTTGAATAAAATTTTCTATCAATCGAAAAATTCATTTCTTATGATGTTTGATAGTGATTTAAATCGTTTATTTATTAATCTTATTCAAAATTTAAATTTAATTAATGATAAAGAAAAATATTTTCTTGAAATATCATCAAATGATCAACAACAAACTATTGAAAATCTTCTTAAAAATTCAAAATTTATTTCTTATGATAATGATAATCGATTAATAGTTAATATTGAACATGTTGATAATGATTATCTATTAAAATCTTCAAAAGAGACTTCTAGTAACTAATAAATATATTTATAATTGATTCTAATAATATTTTTGTTTAGTTCGAATATCAGATGACAATCGTTTATTTGATAAATTATACACATTTGGAAAAGTATTAGACAACTACAAGGGTAAATTAAAGTCTATATAAATTCTATCTTCAATATTATCTTTAGATGAAATTCAAATTATTCATATATGTGATTTTCAATCTCAATATCAATGTGAATTATTTGTTATTCTATCGAAAATAATTTATATGAATTATTCTCATTTAAAACAAGTTTGTATTGATTATTTTTCTTTTGTCTATATAAAGATTTTTCTTATAGTATTTTCTCACATTAGCACCTGCTGTTATTGGTGATGATCGACCATCAATGAAATATGATGAATTATCTGTTGATAATTATATCAAGTAGGTAATCATGATAAAAATAATTGTTCATTTCCAATATAGTTCAATAGTATATGTTGGAATTCATATGTTTGAGAGAAGTGTTGGCAAAGATTGTTAATGAACGTGCTGGTGCAAGTTCTTTCATTTCAATGGCTGTATTTAAATTACAATTGATGTGTCGAAAAGCAAATTCAATTGTAAGAAAAGAGAAAAAAAGAAAATGATTTTTTTTATTTTATGAATTTGAAATAAGATATTTATCTTTTAGGTCCATTTACGATCGAATCTTGAAACAAATCATGATACTTTATTTTTATTATATACAGGTGCTCGTTTAATGTCAATTCTGAATAATTATAATGAAAAATATCAAAATGGTATTTTGTTTAAAAAAAAATGTTTCTCTGCAGAAACCAAAGAATAACTGATTTCTTTTTTCTGTAGGTTTTTATCCAATTCGAGAATATTTCAATGATAAACTCGATGAGAAATTGATGAGTAAAGTAAAATATTAAAATTTTTTAAAAAACAAAAAATAACTTATTTTCAATATTAAATAGAATGAACAAGAATTCCTTAAATGGGTTGATGCATTTGAATCTCGTTTTCTTGTTATTACATTTAATCATGGAAATAAAATTCAAATTAATCTTGATAAGGTATAGTCTTATGATGTTATTTAAGATACATCATCAGTAATAGTAATGAATAAGAGAATTAATCAAATGTTTTATTCTATTGTAATAATAATAAAATCATTATTGATTAAAAATTCTAGCAGAAGTTTCCCTAGGTCGACAGAATTCGGTGAAAGATGAAGGCAGCTCTAACCTGCTTTCCGGCTTTAATGATTTTCTTCACCTATAGGTACTACATAGTCCTGTAATAAAAACTCTAAAAGGATTTGAATTCCTGTTGAGACTTGCCTAAACTATTGAATTAGGTGTATTTTCTAGAAGTCTCAAATCTTCGGAAAACTCATACTTTCAAATTTTGCTTTGAAACTTTACACATATTTAGATTCAAATTAGACTAGCTTCTATTAAAATAATATTGAAGTTTTGAACGAAGTCTCGTCGAAATATACAACTTATAAGATATAGACCTTTCACATAGATAGTGAATGCAACATTCATTTTTTTTTGAACGTAACCTATCTCGAAGAGACGTAATGCAAAACTTCTGAATTTTCTATGTTGAGTTCTCCGTATGTTCAAAGTTTCAGATCAAAATTCGAAAAATATGAGGATTGAAGAGGTCAGCCCTTAGTCTTACCTTATTTAATTGAATTATTTTATCTATTTTATAATTTCTTTTCGATATCATCCCATGAACCCTATCCAAACATCTCAAGTGAATGTATGACTATATACTTGCAATAATGTTGTTTTACTTTCTTATTTTACCAGTTCTATCGTTAGGGAGCTGCAGATTTATGTTTTTGTAGATCTATCAATTCTTCATGTGTCGCATTATTGCATATTCAGATATTCTCTATTCTATATAGTATTGAATTATTTAAGCGAAATAATAACTTACAGGAAATCTCTAAAAATGAATACATTGTGCAAAGATAAAAAAAAATCAAGAAAATTTAATTTTGTATTTAGATTTTTCAAGAATTTATTTTATTTTGTCGACGTTTGAGTCCATATTATTCAAAAGTTCGAATATTAACTGTAAGAAATAAGATATTTCTTGTTAAATAATATCTACATATTTTCTGTTTTTTTGTTCAAATAGGAAAATCAAAGTCATTTATTACCAATAATGTTTGCGCGTTTGGAATTGATCGATCGAATTGTAATTCTTTTACGAAGAACCTTGTCACTCTTAGAAATTTCTTTAATTGAACGAATGTGAAATAAAATATTTAAAACTCGATTGTGTTTTTTTTTTCTTTTTATAAAAAAAAAAAGATTAATAAAAATATTCGTAAATAATTGGGACAGAATATATAAATAAAATATTTCTTTATTCTCTTAAATTACTTGTAATCTATTTGAAAATTTTAGTCGGCAAAATAAACCTATTGCATTTTTTTCTTGGATAACAGGCATCTTTGCACTTGATATTATCCAACAAACAACAAAGAATATTACATCTCTATATGGCATTGTACACAGATGATTTGTTATAAAGTAAAAATACCTAGAAACAATACATTTCTTTTCTGTCGATTTCTCTCATGCCTTCGACTGTTTATGTATATATATCTATATATAATAGTGTCGACTAAATATTTGTTTTCATTCGTCAACATCGTTTAACAAACAAACAACAGCATTTGTTTATATATCACAAGTTTGTTTTGATACCTAATTGTTCGAATTTTTTTTTGAAGCAACAAGTTATAATATTAATGAATTCATTTGGTACGTCACGAAAACGATCATTAGGATTTGATAAAGAAAATGTTTGGTCATCAGTTTTAGGCATAGAAGTGTAAGTTTAAATTCTATTTTATAAAATTGATAGAAATTTATTTTATGTTATTAGCAATGATTTGAATGTAACAGTAAAACACCCACGACTTGCATTTGAATCAGCAACAATTGATAATAATCTATTCAATTCAAGTAAGATATTCAATAATTAGAATATTCTGCATTGTTCGAGTTCAAATATATTAGAAATATGTTTCTGAGGAGTTTTCTTATGTCTGAATGCTTTGTTAAAGTCAAATCTTTTCTTTCATATGATTAGATTTTTTAGGAGAAAAATAGATATGTGACGATAAAATGAACGTAGAATGTAGGTTGTGTGAAAAGAGGTGTGTTTTCAAATGACTAATATCCACCCAAAAAGATAGTGGTCATGGGTATATTTGCAATAACTCAAGAATAGAAAGAGCTAATGAACTGCGGTTTTCAGCACTCGAAAGAGAAGACCTGGAACTGTCAAAATAATATAAAAGTCTGATTGGTCGGCAATTACCTAATCAGGCGAGTTCATGGTGAAGACTTTCGAAAACGATATTCTACAGCTATTTCACTTTCAATTTAAACTTTTATTAGAACTATTCATTTTCGTTCGAAAGTTATAAGACTTTCTGAGACTCTTGGTTTCATCCGACTGAAATTGTGATCACTCAGAAAACAAACAGGTAGGGGTTATTCAATGTATGAAATAGTCATATTTGTTATTAGACTCGAAATGATCAGATAATATCATCTCAATATTTCTGAAATTTCATGATAAAGTTGACGTTTCAAAAATGTTGAGATTAACAATCAGATCATTGCGACCATAAAGAGAAATATTACCACTCGACACAACATGGTGAATCACTGTTGTCAAGCTACTTATCTGGACGATCTCAGGTCAATCGATGGAAATCAGGGATTTCAAAAAAAGTCTGATGACTTTTAAACAGAACAAGCTAGGAGTGTGAGCCTTGCGTAAATGGAAAGAAAAAAAAATTTTGCTATTGACACATTATAATAAAAGCCTAAATTGAAAGTGGAATAGCTTCAGAATATGGTTTTCAAAAATCTCCATCAAGAACTCCCCCCAATTTACCAACTAATGATCAATCAAATTTCGATATACTTTGATGAACTCGAGTCTTCTGTCTTGAATGGTAAAAACTGCAGCTCTTTAGTTCTTTCTGTTTTTGATTTATTACAAAAATACCCAAGGTCATTATATTTTTTGGGTAGAGGCTTTTAGTTTATCTACTTTATGTCAATATTCCGAAACTATAAATAATGCATTAAGCTATGACAAGTCTCAAACTTTGGTAACACAGGACACTTCAGTAGTGATATCGGAGCAATTATAATCATTAAAAAGGTGTGGTGAAATGCATTAGAAATAGTGACAACTCATTTAACATATTTTTTTTTGTGTTGAAAAATCAGCACAAAGAATACATAGTGGATATTTTATTCTTTCTATTTTAGTTCCATATTCACCTCCAGATAATTTTTTAATCAAACCAGTGGATAGTAAGTATTAAGAAGCAATGTTTGTCTCTTTATCAAGTAATATACTTTAATTTCTAGCTTGGTCTTCACTTGATTTGGACCGTATTCTTCTGACTCCAACACAAGAATCTCAAAAAAATGGTAACAAAAAAAATAATAATTCAACAAATTTTTGCATTGTTTTTTTTTTATTTTTATTTAGTTTTAACTAATTCAGAAACTCGTTATAAAAATGGTTCATTTCGTCAAGTATTAAAATGGATTCGTTCATTAGGACAATATGGTGATGGAAATAATGCATTTCGTGAACCGAATAGTGTTGCATGGCTTGAATGTGGAAAATTAGCTGTTGTTGATACAAACGCTCATTGTATTAAAGTATTTGATAGTGAAACAGGTCAATTTGAATATTCATTTGGTCGTGGTCGAACATTAGGTTGTCAAAATTTACTTTATCCATATCGTATAGCTGTTGTACCTGGTGGTGATGATCAATTAGTTGTTATTCAACGTCATCCTCGACCACAAATTCATATATTTAGTTGTAAAGGTGAATTTATTCGTCGATTTGGTCAACATATAGAAAGACCACGTGCATTAACTGTTGATCAATTACATCGTATTCTTGTTATTGAATCTCAATTACAAAAATTACACATATTTTCATTAGATGGAAAAATTTTGTCTGTATTTAATTTAAATCAACAATTACAATTTCCAACATCAATATGTTCAAATAATTATGAAATATTTATATCCGATAATCATCTTCATACAATAAAAGTTTTTTCATATAATGGACAATTAATACGTGAAATAAAAGAAATAAATTATATAACATATCCAACAAATATTAAATTAAATTCAAAAGGACAATTAATAACAATTGATAATCATCAAGGTTTAAATATAACTATTTATGATGAATATCAACAAAAAAAACGTTTAGGTGCATATACAGCTCGTAATTGTCATTCACAAATTCTTGATGTTACTATTCAACCAAAACAAAATATTCTTCATTTAACTTCAAAAGACTATCGAATTTATACATATCAACTTCCGTTGTAGATAAATAAAATTTATCAAATATTATTAATGATTTTTTTTTTTTTCGTTTAATTTATCGTTCGGTAATTGTTCAATTTTATGTAGTTGATGTTGAATTCATTCGTTTTTTTTTGTCTTACACTTTTTATGCTTAAATATATTTATATTATTTCATAATTGATAAGATAAAAGCGTCCTCTGTATATTTTGACATGATAGTATGATTGGTTACAAGCTCGTTCGATGATGATTGGTCAAGATGTTTATAATCATTCAATCGTGTCTACTATCTAATCGGCTATTAAAATCATATTATTATCACATGTGATTTACAAATACGAGAGAGACAATTGTTTTCTTATTCAACGATTAATAATCATATAGGAATTTACTTATTTTTAGATGCATCAATTTTATTCTAATAAGCATCTATATTTATTTACTTTCATTCTAATTATTTTAATTCATCATTCGATATCGAGTAAGGACAGATAAAATATTAATAATTTTATTCTAAATATTTCTTATATGATCTATAACAAAAATAAATCTATGATATAATTTGAAAATTTTCTAATGTTCATTGAAATAATAGAAATGATCAAACGACGTTTTTTGTATTACTATTTCATATCAAAAGTTAAATTCAAGTTTTAAAACTACTATTATAAAGATTTTTTTTCTTAGTTAATACAGATGTCAAATCTGAACAATCTGATGATAAAGATAAAACTGAGTCCACATCAGTAAGATTTATAAATATTTACATATTTAATCTGTAAAGAATTGTTTCTTTCATTCTTCAGTCAGAAGTCTCAATTGATCAATCGACTGATAAAATAACTGAACAAATAAAGTCTGATGTTGATAATAAACCAACAAATGAAATCAATCCTTCTGAATCAAAATCAATAAAAATTGATGAATCAATTAAACCAAAACAGAATTTAATAATTAAATATCATATTGAAAAGCAAAATCCTAATTCTGATTTACAAGAAGAAAATCTTAATTTATTAAAAAATCAACAGAATCTTCCTGTTACATTCGAAGAATCGCAATCAAATTCAAATGAAAACGATAGTGATATTCAAGAAGAAAATTCTGATTATGATAATGATGATGACAATAATGAAATTTCTTTAACACCTGAAATGGAACAAGCTGATACAATTTACCATCAAGCTATGAAACTTATTAATGTAACAACTAATCGACAATATCAAACGTAAAAATAAAATACTTTATTTCTTATCGAATATATGTTTTATATTTTATTTAGTGCTTATAAATTATTTAAACAAGCTGCTAATTTAGGTCATATTGGAGCAAAAGAAGAACTTGCTTTTGGACATATTATTGGTATATATTTACCAATGGATTTTAATCTTGCTAAAACATATTTTGAAGAAGGTGTTAAAATTGGTTCACCACAATCTCATTATGTAAATTAATATTTTGTTTTTAGTTAATAATTCTTTTTCTTTCTTTATCAAGGGACTTTATTTTATGAACAGTGTTGGACTTATTCCAAATGCAAGCATTTCAAAAGTAAATTTATTTTCTATTGAGATTGTAAACATGTTTTTATTGATTTATTTAGGCATTAGTTCATTTAACGTTTGCTGCTACTGATGGTTATCATTTAGCTCAAATGGCACTTGTAAGTATTGTAAAAACATATATATATAATACATGAAGTTGTATGGGGTTAATCTACCCTTCACATCTTCAGTGATGAATAATCTACTTTTATATAAGAATTTTAGTTCCCATATATTCGTCAGATGATGTTAAGTATGTTGTCATTGAGTTTTCTAACAAATATTATAATTCGAAAAATTGGAGTTAATAACGAAAATTTAAATCGAGTAAATCATTAAATGTAATAGAGATAAAACTGATCTATTACAAAGGATCGGTCGAAGGTATAAAAAAAACGTCGTTTAAAACTATAGATAGCCATGGGTTCGGTGGTCTATTCTTGAATGGAGAATTAATCGAAAATCGACTTATCATACTTTACCTTGTTTTTTTTTCTTGAACAAAACTCAGTTTTATGGAGATTTAGAATAATAATTTTTGTGCCTTTTTATCGAAAACTATTGTTTCTAATTTGTAACATTGATTATATCATAATATCTGAACGTGAAAAAACTAAATTTAATTACAGTACAAACGATTTTCTTATTAATTAAATCTATACAAGCGACCGACGAAAAGTTTGCGATAGACGTTCAAGGTCTATATCTAGAAGAAAAGAAACATATTGGTTTCACACTGTAAAAAATTCAATTAAGTCTATCGAGATACAATTAATATCCGGGCAATATTTTCTTTTTTTTTCTCTAAATTTAGGCTAATCGATATTGGCGTTCGATAAATGTTGGTCACAGCTGTGAATTAGCTTTAATGTTTTATCAACAAGCTGCTACATATGGTAGAATACCTTTTTTGTCTTTTTTTTTTAAATATAATGAAAAACAAATGTTTATTTATATATTTATATTAGTTGCTTCAAAAATAACAACAGCCAGTGGTTTAATGGTTCAACGTATTCGTTTATATGATGATGAAGAACATCCAATACAAAATAATATTCTAATTGATCATAATCTTTTACAATATTATCAATTATTAGCTGATCGTGGTGATCCACAAGCTCAAGTATAATTTTCAAAAGAGTCACTTTTTCTAATCAAATAAAATATTTTATTTAGTATGGTATTGGTCAATTATATTATTTTCGTGATATAGCATATGATAAGGCATTATACTATTTTCGTTTAGCAGCTGAAAATGGTAATGTAAATGCTTTAGCATATTTAGGAAAATTATATTCGGAAAAAAATGATTTTATTCAACAAAATAATCAAACAGCTTTACAATTCTTTCAAAGTGCAGCTGATAAAGGTAATCCAATAGGTCAAGCTGGTCTTGGTCTAGCCTATTATCATGGTGCTGGTGTTGAAAAAAATTATGACAAAGCTTTTAGATTATTTCATTTATCAGCTGATCAATCTTATGCTGAAGGACAACTCATGCTTGGTGTTATGTATTATAATGGTCAAGGTATTGGACGAGATATTAAAATGGCTCTTAAATGGTTTCAAGCTGCATCTCAATCAGGACATATTCTTGCTTATTATAATTTAGCACAAATGCATGCAACTGGTACAGGTGTATTACGATCATGTCCAACGGCTACAGAACTTTTTAAAAGTGTTGCTGAACGTGGTCAATGGTCACATATGTTTACACAAGCATTTCAATTATATAATCAAGGACATATTGAACAAGCATTTATGATTTATTTATATTTAGCTGAAGTTGGTTATGAAGTTGCACAATCCAATGTTGCTTATATTATTGATCAAATGCCAATTGATATTTCAAATATATATAAAAAACAACAAGAAAGATATAAAAAAGCTTTAATTTATTGGCATAGAGCTGCTATTCAAGGTTTTCATTATGCAAGAATTAAATTAGGAGATTATTATTTTTAGTAAGTTCAAAAAAGAAAAATTTTTCATAGCATCTCTATATAATTAAAATTTGAAACACAATTAATAGAATACATAACTAATTTTAGTAATGTGTGATATAATTTGAGTTTATACAAGGTCTATTCAGTAATATTAAAAAAGTTATTTTTAAGGGTTCGAATGATTTCGGATACGTTCGAATAAGAAAGAGTTATTTCCCGTTTGAACCGTACTATCTATAAAATCAATCTTCTGTGTATATTAGGGAGCTGAAGATTCACGTTTTTGTGGTCTCTAACCGGAGAAAAACTACACTCTTGAATTCGAATTCAACGGATCCTGACACGAATCCGATCGAATTCGGTTGAATATTACACAGACCTTGTCAAGTTCAGACTATTGTTCTACAACCGGCTTCGGTATCCGACCCAATACGGAGCATGGATTCACGTGTCAGACATGAAAAGAAAATGTCGGTTTAGGTCCGGCTATGGAATTATGCTCGGAGCCGATCTCGCGATTGATGAGGTCTTACGTTTTCAAAATATCTTTATCTTTTCAAAATGCTAGTTATATCAAAGCATAGAAGTGAAAAGCGATATTGTTTTACTAAAAGAATTCGTATTTGATGGAAATTCATCTATAGATGATGAGGAACTATATGACTAAGTAACTAAATTATCAAAAAACTGAACATACATTACTATGAGGAAAAAAGGACTAATGTATGTATTCGCAATTATGATATTTGTCACCAACATTACGTTCTATTGCAGCATCAGGCAAACTTATACTTAGCGACATTAATTGAATTTTAGAAGCAAAATGAACCCTGGTTCAGTTGCTTTTACTGAAATTTGAGATGAGCTCTTTCATTTTTGTTAGTTTCTTTTTTTGAAAGAAACTAAATCATATACTTTTTCATATAAAATAAAAAGTTTGAAAACTGTTCTGTAACTATGCACGTATCTATCGACTGTCGATAAGCTCAAGTTTGAGTCCAGTTGCGAAAAATCATACTCATGCACGACACTAGTCCAGATCTAAGGTTTTTCAATATCTGGCACCTTCTGTGTACATAAGTAAAGAATCACTTGTTTTAGCTATTTATTATCAACTTTCAGAAAAAAGTCAGTGTACAGTTATTTTCTGTTGTTCAGTTTCTCATCATTCGATACTTCGTAAATTAAAAGTTTTAGCTTAGTTGAGAAGAGCATTATGTTAAACCGAAAAGGATATTGAATAAATAATCGATAAACAATGATCTATCGCTCTATAGTGTATAGAAATGATTGATATTACAATTTTATTTTATTTTGCTTTTTATTTTTGTAGTGGACATGGAACTGAACAAAATTATGAATTAGCAGCTAGTCATTATAAATCTGCAAGTGATTTAAGTAGAAATCCACAAGCAATATTTAATTTAGCATACATGCATGAAAAAGGCTTAGGATTAAAACGAGTAAATTAATTAATTATTTTTTTTCTTTTTAATTTTCATTGAATTATATCTTTTGATTTGATTTTTAATTAGGATATACATCTAGCAAAACGTTTTTATGATATGGCATTAGAAACACATGCCGAAGCTTATTTACCGGTTGCTATTGTTCTTTTTAGACTAAAGTTTCAATTGCTTTTTGAAAATTTATTTTCAAATTTTTTCTCATTTACGAACAATCAAACATCGAATACAAAAGAAAATAATTCAACTACAACTGATTTAGATTCATCATGGGATTTATATTTAATGGTACTATTACTTGGACTCATAGGTGTTTTATATACAATACGTAGACAAAGAATGGCTTTAGTACAGCAACCAGTCCAAGCTCCAATGCAGTGATATTTATTTATTGAATTTTTTTTATTTTTGCTTGTTTGAAATTTATAAAATTGTGTTATTAATTTTTTGAGGGATGTGTGTGTGTGTAAAAACAAAAGCAAGGAAGAAAAAAGCCTGTTAAATTAAGCATTCATTTATTTGTTTATATTTTATTGGTTTATATAAATACAACAAAGCTAATAATGTCAACTTTCTGTTGTCATTTTAGATAAAAGTTCTAATTCAATGATCATTCATGATCAATACTTGAAATCAATACGAGAAATATATTTATAGAGATTTAGTTCATTACTTGAAGTGATTAATCAAGAATGCAAGTATTTTATTATAAAACAAAGGTTACTGTTTGTAGAGTGAAAGAAGTCTTGTGCACTATTTCTTACTTTTAAAGTTTGATGATAATAATATCACGAAAAAATGTTTAAAATTTCTTGTACTAACCTATGAAACCAAAATCTCGGAGCAAAATATTCATTCGTTTTTCGATCACTCAAAGACAGTTGATTAGACACAAGTAGTAAATTAGAATCAGACTCTAGTGCTTGTACAAAATATTATTTTTGTTGATTTACTATTTCGATTAAAATCTATCACATTCAAAAAAATGCGAAATAGTGTTTAATGGATTAGTTTTGTGAAGCACAATATGCTACGCAAGCGTGACATATACTTTTGTATGACAGATTTCAAAATTGTAGCAATTTCGAAACAGCAATTTTTTGAACAATACCGATCTCTATAAAAATCAAGTTGTTTAGTGAAAATCTATAGATGAGATTTCGTTTATCGACTGAGCCGCTGCCCACAAAAATAAATATTTGATTTTTAAAAATTTTCTACATCCTACATCAGTTTTTAGAGATTTTACTGTCTAGTTTATCGCTAATAAGTTCTCTTAGAAATTCAACAAGTTTAGAACAGATTTGGAACCAAGAGTCTTGGAATATTATTTGTATTTGACGGTTCGGATTTGGATATGGAGTATACATTTGTTATTAAACCAAATTCACATAAGTAGTTTGTCACATAATGACTGTTATTGAAGCGCAAACTAGTTATATTTTTTTTTGTCCAAGATCAAATACAAATATTAAGGATTTAGTTCCAAGTCTCTACGGTTTTTCTAGTTGTGCAGCACCTCTAGTAAACTAGACCTTTGTTAATATCACCTTATCTTACCAAATCTAATCTTAAATTCAAACCAAATGATATCAAAGTCAAATACTTTATGTTTCTTGCACTTTTAAGTTCTCTACCGTTGTTTTTTCTCTTTTTCATTTCAAAATTTCTCAAGATTAAGAAAATTTTCTTTTGCTGCCGATTGATGCATCGATTTACACCTCTAATTATAATATTTTATTTTGCATAGAATTCATTGATCTTTAATAATGTTGAGTTGAAGCTGTTAGGATTGCATGAAAATAGCTATTTTACTTTGTACAAACATAGATATAATGAAAAATTCTGATTCTGACTCTAAGCAATTTAAATTTTAATAATCGAAACATAAGTAAATATTGTATACCAAGACCATCGTGTCATAATCTATGTGATTTATTTTAGATTATGTATAATCTTATTTGATGTTTTGTTACTTGTATTTTATATGGCACAGAAGTTTATATTAACCACAATTCTTGTTTTTTATTTTCTGTTGTCATCTGTATGGACAACAAATAATATCTCTAATTCTGTTTCATCACTTTCATCATATACTACACCATATTGTTCATTTTTTTCTAATCGTGCACCAAGTCCACAACCAGCATTGACTAATTGTACATGGTTTAAAGAGAATAGTTGTTGTCGAGATAATGAAGTGCATCTTATTTTTTCTCAGGTTAATATAAAATTAATAAAATCTATGAATTAATCAAAATTTTCAATTATGTTTTACTTTTGATTTTTTTTTTAAATTCAGGTACGTCCATTAATTGGTTCGTCTTCAGAATGTACACGTTTTCTTAATATATTAATGTGTTATGTATGTTCACCATTGCAATATGGATTTTATCGAAGTGAACGTTTACATGTATGTTTATCATATTGTGATCGAATGTATAAAGCATGTGCAACAGCATTAATGAAAGGTATACCTGTTGGCGAATTATATGCAAATGGACGTGAATTTTGTCTTTCACGTCGTTTTGAAATCAATGACATGGATAATTCATCATCATGTTTTTCTGATGATGATTTAATATTACAAACAAAAAAACAAATTAAAATAGGTGATATTAATATGAGTTCAACAAATATTGAACGGCCTAATTTTTTTAAATTATTTATTGTCATTTGTTTAGCTGCAATGCTAAGTTTTATTCTATGTTGATAGCAATATGAATGTTGTTTTTTTGCTCTATTTTTAAAATATTTTCTTATGTGTCAAATAGATTCATGTAAATATATATATTGATCAATGTTTCTGTAGTAAATTTAATATTGTTGTATAAGTATTTGATACATAATAGAATAATTGACCATACAATCAACATCTCATATGCATTCATCACAATTATTCAAGTTAATTTGACATGTTTCATAACATAATTGATCATGACATTTGTTAGTTAGACATCTCAAGAACATGTTGACATATAGAATGTAAAGAATATATTTGGATACAAACATTTTATTGCGTCTTACAAAATATGTATTATTGATGGATATTGTACAACTTTTTTGTCTAGCAATTATGAATACTGTTGTTTTTCTTTTATTGTATTTTCAATCAATAAAGTTACAAAATGACACAGAAAATATGATGAATGATAATGAGAAATATATGATGAAAATCTGCTAGAATATCTTGTCACGAATGTATATATATATATATAATTAGAATAGACAGTAGTCTTATAGTTATTATGACCCATATTTCATAAAATAGATAATGTCTAAAGAATATATAACGTTCCTATTCAGTGAAATTACCTCATTATCTACTGACACTCTATGTTTATTTGTCTGTCTACTAATTATTCTCTTCGTTTTATTTGAGATTTGATAAAGATTTTTCAAAAAAAGCTAAATAAAAACTATTGCATGCAAGCAATCTAATAAGGCTTTAATAGAAATATATACACAATGCCGAATATATATAGTTGAATATCTCTTCATTCGACAAATGCCTTTCCTATTGCAATAAGAATTCCTCAATTCCAAGTTTTAATGAAAAATTACATAGAGAGAAAAAAATTTAAAAAACCATTCGTGAATTTCTTCGATATGGGTAAGTATGTGTTATTTTAATATTAACTATCAAACCTAAGTTAAAACAGTTTTATTTTTAGATTTTCTCACTAGATTCCTGTAGTTTCTCTTCTTAATTTTTTTATTGAACTATTTCATTTTCCGAACATCAGTAAATCTAAAATAAAATAAATGCAAAAGAAAAAAAAAACAATCTATGTAATTCATTGAATTTATATGAGACATACATGAACAAAATGATGTACTATTTATTGACCAACGAGTGATCGAAGATCTTTTGGATAATATATTTTTTACTCACTTTTAACATATATCCGACGAGTCAAAAACCATAGGTCGCAATCAAAATTTGAGTTTAGATTGAAGAATATCATGTCTATTTTGTTGAACTTTTTGAGAGACTTGGAAAATTATTTTCAACTATGAGACAACAGTTTTTGTTTATCTTATTAGTTCCTTTGTGAATATGCCAAAAAAATGATTGAAGTGGACGAATACTTCTGTATAAAATGTGTTATTGAACTAAACTGTAGCTTTATTCAACTATTTTTTAAAAGAGTTCCTTTCAACGTTAATTGGTTGTCTATTCATCAAAAATGAGTATTTAAGAAAAACAAATACTGTGATATTTTGTCGAAAGACAAAATAAGACTTGAAATAGGAAATTTTGTATAGTAGCTTCTAATCTACAAGCTAATATATTAATAAAGATCGTAACTTTTATTTTCAGATCACAAGAGTAAAAATACATAAGTTTTCTATTCAAGCTAAGTTATTTCATCACTCTCAAGCAAAATTTCTAGGCTCATATTCGAAAACAGCACAAAACCATAGTTTTTGACTGATCAGATATAGGTCAAAAGTGAACAAACATCTGTTTTGGAGTCGTATAGATCATTTCTTCTATTATTGAAAGATATGAATATCTATATACTATTTTTCAATGTTGACGAGTAAATTAGTTTAATAAACTTGATATTCAATATAAACGATGTTTTATTTTTGATGCAAATTTAAAATGATGATAAGATAAATGAGCTTCTGAAAGATGAGCTATCTGACACTTGAGCTTAGTATAAAGATGCGATAAAAACATACAAGACAATAATTGAATTTGAATGAATTCATATTCAAACCAAAATTAGAACAGATTCCTTGCTTGATTGAAGTACAAGTCTCTTGTTATCAAATGAAAAAGAAGAAACTAATTATTATAATTGTTCATTCACAAGTTCATATTTCACACGTTTCATTAGTTTTATAAGTCCAGCTTGTAATTGTTCAGTCATTATCAAGTTTTCATGCTGTTCCATTTCAAACGTTTGATAGATTCATAAATTTATGAATTTTCTCATACTAAATCTTAACTAGAGACATATGAGCTATTGTAGCGAAGAAAATTCACAAGGAATTAACAGTCATATTAATATCTTGATATCAACCATCAGAAGAATGTGCGTGTCAATCAATACAAAACGAACGCTCATACGCACCCTCGAAATTAAAGAAACATATCAAATATGAGCTTTTGGAAGGGTAATTACGACAACTAATTTTTTTTAATTTGATAACAAGAAACTCATCATTCAAAACGAATAAGATGTCTATTGTATTTTTTATGCCAATGTGAATTTATTCAAATAAAGTTATTTTCTTATATTTCTTAATATCTCTTGTCTATGCCAGATACAAGCGTCGGAAGCTTTGATGTTGAGAGGCTCATCTGTCAGTATACTATTCAAAAGATAGATAATTAAGAAGACATTTTTCTCTTGCAATGATTAATACAAAAATTTTACATTTTCTGTTTGATAACTTTTCAGAAATTAAGTATATTTTTTTTCTTTATAAGCTCTGAACTTTATCTGTCAATTTCTTGGTTATCTTTAATTTATTGTCATTTTGATACATATGTTTTATTTCTGTTCTATTGAAAAAAAAAGAGATTAACAATTTCATTGAAAAAATACAACGAATTGTACTTCAAACAGCAACCAAATTTTAATAGAAAAAAGAGAAAAACACGAGATAACATGCGAGTTTTACTCGAACGTGAAATACGGTGCGAAACTTCGAATATTAATTGTTCAAAAAAAATCTATATCTCATTAAGAAAAAAACAAACCATTGTGTCTAAGACAGATCACGAAACGCTTCTCATCAAAAGATTTTTATTGAAGCCAGGTTTCGTTTTTTCGTTGTAGAAAATCATAAAATTTACATTCTGATCAAACTCAAATAAATAAACTCTGTTAAACAGATATCAACATATTTTTTAATAAAAATACTTTCAATCGATCGTTTGATTCTCTCTTAGGTTCATTATATATGATTTAATCTATTCATAGGTGTCTTCGCCATAAGCAAAGAGAATGACGATTAACTTTTTTGTTGCTGTTATCGTATTAATTATCTTTAAGCTTGGAAGAAAACTAATTTGTTTTTACAACGCTATTTATAAAACGAACGAAGAGTCCTTGGGAAGATGATAGTATCGGTTCGATCTCGAATTTTCAGCGTTTACATATGCGACATCATCGCGTATACAAAATAACAATTTTGATATGCACCTTGAGGAAGTGAAATAAAAAGGAAAGAACTCGTGAAAAACTATATGTCTGCTATGCTTCGCATTGCATTGAAAAGTTCGATTTTTAGAGTAATATATTTCACGATGGTCGACTATCAATATTGAGAATTAATTTAATTCAATCTATCCATGACGGACCATCCTATTCATAATAGACGATTGAATCCATATTTATATATATATAAATCCGAAGATTTTGTTTTCAAAATAATCCTAATTGAAATTTCCTAATAATGTATTGCAAATTATTGCCAATTTATTCTTGTTTCTGCTTCTTTGCTAGTAACTCATCATCTTGTTGTCTTGATTGATCAGTATCATTACGTTTGCGATGATTATCTAAAAAGAAAAAGAAATAAAATAAAATATTCATTTATGTTTTAATTAAATCTTTGTTTACCAGTATTCGTTGAATTTGATATACATAGATCTTGGGCTACGTTATTTTGAACAAGAATGCATCCAAGATGATATTTTTCATTTGAAAAATTTAAATTAAATGTTGTTTGTTTCGATAATAATTTTTCATCATCATGAATTAGAAGAGTATGTAATTGAGGAAATTTTCGTAAATATTCGTGTTTAAGTATCGATAAATTTCTTACATTGCAAACTTTTATGCGAAGTCTAAATAAAAATAAATAAATATATCAAAAAAAATTACATTTATTTAAAATAAAATACGAACTCAAATTTTCCATCGCGAAGTTCACTTTGAGATAATTGAACAACGTATGGATTAACTAATTCTGTAGTTAGAATGATGCCGAATTTATCTTCAGGTTTTGTGATATTATCAAATATACCTTTTGATGCATGTAAATAATGAATACTATTTGCATCTGCTTCAGTTAATATGTAAATATAAATAAACCATGAATGATGAAGTTGATCATTTGGAATTCGAAACTAAGATGACAAAATAATAAATATAATTTTCATTGTCTTATTTTATTAAACAAGATTAATTACGTGAACAGTTGGATAAAGTGTATCATTGGTTGTAGTTGCATCCGGTTTAGAAGATGCTCGAAGTAGAACACCACCAATGATTGGTCTTTTATATAAAACAAACAGATTAAAGAAATATTCAATAAAGATAAAAGTTGATACCTTGCAGAGCTTTTACGAAACATGTCACTTTCAAATTGTAATCGTTGATATTTGGCAAGATATGAATCAAAGCCAAAACCGTATGGATGATTATGTATAATAGGTAATTCACCATTAGATGTATATGATCGTAATAGTTGATCATTATTATTATATTGACTTGTTTGAGATCTGGGCAAAGTTTCTGGATTATGGATTCCTAAATAAAACTCAAAATTTGAATATGGTTACAATTTTTAATAATATTTAATCTACCTGAAAGTGAAGATGGTTCAATATGATGTTTTATAGATACATTATTTTCGTTGACAGTTAATTCTGTTCGATCATTTTCTTGTTGATAACTATATGTATCATCAGTTATTGATTCACCTAATCTATGACCTATAAATAGAAAAAAAAAGAAAAACAAACTTAAATCAAATAACTTTTTATTAGTTAACTTACGTATAGTTTCAATGGTTTTCGAAACAACTTTTAAAGTCCATTGTTTTGATGATTTTTGTGGTGCTTCGAGTGCTAAAAGTTTATATAAATTTTGTTGAAATAAATGTAATGTTTCAGAATATAAATCAACAAATCTTTCATAATCATGATCATAATATTGAATTTGATATTCATAAAAATTATTCACTTGCTGCAATTGGAAGACATTAATAATAGTTTTTTCGATTGTTGATATATCATCATCAATTTTTATTAAAACTGGTCTTCGTTGATCCTTCCAACATGCAAGCATTCTTATTGATTTATCAGTATTCATTGTTTTAATGGTCAATAATTATAACAAATCACTATTAATAATTTTACCTGATGAATAATGTTCTCTTCTCTTTTTCCCATCTGATACTTACCAACCGATTTATATATTGAGTCACTTGGAAAATTCCAATTATTAAGTCTGTGTATCTGGGAAAAAACCAAGCATTATATTCTTTTATAACGCCTACAAGAATATTTTAACCAACGAAGAACGATCAAAAAAAAAGTACTGTGCATGACTTTCTAAAAATAAATAAAACTGACGACGTATTGTTTGTAGTCAACGTACATAGATAGGTAATATCAAACTTCTCCTCTAATACAGCATAAAAATACTCATTAAAACATTTTATAAGACAAAAAAAGAAATCAACTGTTTTTTATCACATAAAACACAAGATATGAGTCATAGAAAAATAAAGGTGAATAACTAAGCAAAATAAAAGTAATATGTTGAGTCATGATGACTACCAACGCTGTCTTAAATGGATTTTTTTCGGAAGAAAGAATTGTTATTCGTTCTTTGGTTTTTCATGTTACTAAGAGAAAGAATTAATATACAAATATTCTTTTTTTTTTTATAAACAATGATGATAAAATTTCTCCATTAAAATTTTACAATATTTTTAATTTAATTATTTTGAAAATTTTTCTTATCTTTTATTACGATTCTCATTTTTTTTCATAAATTTAATATTAATTCAAAGAAATAAGCTTTTTACTTGTAAAATCTTATTTCATTTATTGCTTATTAATAAAAATAATTTTAAAAATATTATTCGCATCTGTAACAAAACTAAATGAGATAATTAAATTTACACTATAAGAAAAGAATTCATTAAAACCAAAGGGCGTTGAAAGCTCGCAATATCCTTCTTTTTTCTTTTCCGACAAGTTCATAAAGTGTAAAGATTACATTATACTACTACTACTTCCTATGTAAGAAAAGCAGTGACTGATCTAAATATTATATTTACCTTTTTTTTTTTTATAATCGATTAAATTGTTTTTTGCGCCATAATTAAAACTTTTGCATTTTTGCATGATGATGAAAAATATATATTTACTGTCTCTATAATATATTTTGTGTAATATTTTCCCGCAACTTTAATATGATTAACAAGATTAATTGAAAAATGTGATCATTTTGTCAATTGTGTGTCGTGATTGATTGATATGTGGCCCATATTGGGACCTATTATATCTAATCAGGCACTTCGATCAGCAAATATGAATAAGTAAGTTGAATGAAACAACCAAAAAAAAATTAATAATTTCTTCTTAAATTATTTTATTCTGCAAAGAGTAAACATTAATATAGTTATTTATTTTAATTAAATTAAAATTGTTTGAGTTTTATCATAGCAAAATGATCGGAAAGTTTTTAAGATAAGATGTTAGATCATTTTTTATTTATATTTCGATATGAATGAAGCGAGCTTAATTCTAAAAAATATGAATCGATCTAATCTTTGGTTTCTGATATATCAAAAACTATCAGTTAGAACAAGAATATGAGTTTAGAATTTTTGTTGAAAAGTCTTAAAAAATTAGTTTAGACGGAACTCGAGAGTTAACGTTATCAATGAACATGTTTATTTATTTTGGCCTGCGTAAAAGCATTTCACACAGGCAAAAATCTATAGGTTACATCAGAAATAGAATTTAAGCTTAACACTGTTGTATCTATTTTTGTGAAGCTCTTTGAAAGACTTAAAAGATTATTTTTAATGATAAAGCAACAGGTTTTGACTAAAGTATAGATTTTACTTCAGCATTCTTTCAAGAGCTCCTTTCAACGTAAAATACTTGTCGACTTTTCAAAAATGTGTATTTAGAAAAAAAAAAAAAGAAAAATAATAAATAAAGCTTGCAATTTTAACTTTCGAATCACAATAGGAAAATACGAAAATTTTTTATTCAAATCACTCGGAAGCAAAATTTCTAAACTCATCTTCAAAAAAAAACAAAAAATCATAGCTTTCAAAAGTAAGCGTCACATCTGGTCCAAAAACTTTCCGATGATTCGTTATGAAGGATTTATTTTTAAAATTTTTCAATATGAATTTTTTTTCTGGTAGACAAATTCAGGAAGATCGAATGGTACAAAAACTAAATGAAGTCAATTTAAAAATAAATCCATCAAAACCAGTTAAAATCGTTTCAAATATTCGATATATCGATCCAATGTCATCAACATGTCTTATATTATATAGTCTAATCCTTTTATTATTTTGTGCATTACCAATCTTAGCACTAAATATTTATTTACGACAAGCTTTCACTACTTTTCATCAAGCAAATCAATTACAAGTTGATAATTAATATTAAAAAGAAAAACAAAATCTAGAAATTGTTTATTTTTCTTTTGTTTGATCAATTTAAAATTTAATTAGTTAAAATTTTGAACACTAAAAACAAAACACGAAGAAAATTGTTTCATTAATCATAAGAAACTATATGTAGCATATGTATCTATATTATCTTGATAATAAAATAATTGTGACATGTCATCTGGTACTGTATAGGCGATATTTTCTTCGAATAGAGTTTTTTCATTGGCAGCGGACGACAAAACTATCAGTGTTGATACTCTTATGTTTCCATGCCGGAACATATACAAGTTCCTGTTGTTTCTTTTTGACTGTCCTTAAATAGATAGAAAAAGAGAAAAAGAAGAGAAACACATGCGCACACGCACACCATTGCGATTCGAGCGCGTTCAAAGATTTTTACAATATAAGAAGAAGAACACTAAAATTCAATGCGCGTATAAAAGACAATTGACATTGTTGTCTGTATTGTATATTAGTTGACTATTATTGTCAGCACTAGCTCATGCTTTTATTTGAAAGGAATAGATTTGAGCCAGTATGAAAGAACGGAAGAAAACGATTAAAGAAAAAAAGATGAGTGCTTTTACTAGTGTTATTTAGATTAATTTAGGCAAAATAGTAAAATATATATATATGTGACAGGAAAAATGTGATTGCGTTTCGGTTGACATCATTTTTCACATCAAGGGTATCTGTACTCCTATGTCAATTAGGCATATTACGGTGTGTTATATCTTAAACTGTCTCTATAAGTTGACATTTGAGGAGTAGGAGACAAAAAAAATATGTTTGCCCATTTATCTCTTAATATACACAAACAAGAATATTATCCTCTTTTTCCTATCAAGGAGTCAGCAGGACAATTACAGACAATCAACAAGAAAAACACACCACCATCATGCCACTGTTGTCGTGTTTAGAAGTATCTGTCTCATTTCCTCATCCTACTTAGTGGATATATATCCTTATTGTGCTACCTCCGATTAACACTATCAAAACGAGAAAGACAAATGTTAGTGATGACAAGGGCTAAAACAATAGTAAACTAGCTTTTTACAGGAAATGATCATCACTCATCTTCAACTACGATGACTTTTAAATAAGTAAACACATATGCACACATAGATCATGATTTAATCTCAAGCAACTCTTCAAATCCTCTTGTGATTTTGCTCATTCATACTTTTCTCTTCTTATTCGTCGTCTTCTTTTTTTTTTGTTTTTCTTCTATCTTTACTTATAGATAGATTGTTCTATTTGTTATTTAATGAAATAGACGAGTGTTCAACACACATACAGATTTCTTCGAACAACAATGATTTTCTCTTTTATATCGACAAGCTTTCATTTATGAATGCTTGTATAATGATTAGATAAAATCAAGAATATAGATATATATATATATATAAATCATGACAACAATAGCAATCACTAGTACTGATATATATTTAAGCAGAATAGCAGCAACAGCAACAACATATAAAACTGTAATAATGAATAAAAATGAATCAGCAAGTACAACTATCACGGAACTATCATCATTAGATGATCTTTGTCAAAATTTTCATGTAAGTTTACTTTAATTATCAATTTAAATAGTCTTTATTTATGAATGTTTTTTTTTTCTTGTTATTCCCAAAAGATAGTATACTTTATCAATATTAGAGAGAAAAGCGTAAAAATATAATTAATTATACTTTTGTTTTTTAGCTCATTGTCTTTCTATGTATTATATTTGTCTTAATTGTTTCGGCTAATATATCGGTTATCCTTCAGTTAAGTTGTTCAAAAAAACGTCACAGTCGAATGAGCTTCTTTTTATTGAATCTTGCTTATGCGGGTAAGTTTACTTTTTTTTTTTTTGTTTTAAATATTTTCGAAACATTTTTTATATAAACGATACTTGTCGAGTAAGTATTACCATTCACATTTGAATTATTCAATCATGAATATTATTATGCATACATTGAATATAATTACGGATATGTGAAGATAAAACAAACGTTTTTCTTTTTTATTTTTTGGAGTGCATCAAAGAAGCTAATTGTATTTGATTGATTATTCAGATGATTGAGTTGTTTTTGATGAGAACAAAAGAGATCGAAGTCAAAGATAATTATTTTCAGAGACAAGAAAAATATTCTATATACTGATTCAATTTCTTGTTTAATTCTTCTTTTTTTTTTTTTGGTTAGATTTATTTGTTGGTATTATCATTGTCACTCGTGATATAATCGAAAAAAGTTGTATTCCATTTGGTCTTGGTTCTATTGGTTGTCGATTGACAAGTTTTATACAAGTATTTGTTTTCTTTTTCTGGAATTATTAGAAATCTTATTGTTTGTCTAGAATAATAAAGATTATTTTTCATCATAGTTTATGTCATATCGAATAGATAATTGATTAAATCATTGTTCGCTACTGTATAGAAAATTGATAAAAGAATCAAACATACATTCTTATTAGTGTAATTCTATTCAGATAAACACTAAGATATTTTCTTATTTCAAATAAATGAAAAATAGAATCTTATTAATCTTCGATAGAAAAAATATCAAATCGAATTAAATTTGTTGAGATAATAAAGCAGTGAAAATTTGATAATGATAATTGTCCAAGTATTTTGTGTTATATTTATCGTTTTTAATAAGCAAAAAACAAAACTAATCATTTTTTTTTTCTATTTAGGGTACAATATCATATAATTCGAGGTAGATAATCATCATGTTCTTTTTTTTTTCGAAAATATTCACCTTCTATTCAGTTATGTACTTGTCTGTGTATCAATCGATCGTCTTTATGCAATTATTCGACCTATGGACGTACGAACAGCATCCTCAAGTAAATCTTTAATAATTTAATATTCATATTTGTATATATGTTGTACTTTTAAATATTTTTAAGCATTTCGATATTCATTAATCGCCGGTAATTTAAATAATTAGTTTTTTTTTTTATTGGATAGTTTTTCTTTTATTTTAAATGTAATAGCATCATGGGTGATAGCAATGACATTTGCTTCTGCTCAACTTTATTTACGAGATATTGAAATAATACGTGGTATGCCAGTATGTGGTAATCGATCTGATGTTGTAAATTGGAATGTTAGTTAAGCAATAATAAAAAAGACTTAGAAACGAAAAATTGAGTATTTTTTTTTTCTTTGTTTAGGCATATGTCTATTTTCTATTTATTTCTTTATATTTGGTTCCATTAATTGTTATGACTGTTTCATATATAGTTATAATCGTAATAATATGGCAAAAAAGTTCAGTTGTTAGAAAAGATGGAACATCAACTGAAACAGAAACTAAGCAATCAAAATTTCGTCGATTAATTTCATCTAAAAGATCGATGTTTAATGGTAGAGAAATATTTTTTTTCTTAATAAGAATTTACTTTTTTTATTTTTGTAATCTACAGATGATCGTCAAATGGAAACAAGTATTCGTAACGTAGGATCACTTGGTGTTATACCACGAGCAAAAATAAAAACAGTTAAAATGACATTAGTCATTGTTATTGGTTAGTATATATAAATAATTTGTTTTCTATGCTTTTAATAGAAGTAAATAAACTTCTCCACAATTATAAACAATATAAATTTTACTCATCTGGATCAAGAGTAAAATAATAAATGGAGAAAAATATAATATCAGAATATCATTCTGATAATGACTTTTCTTCTGTTTTGAATTGAATTGACCGAAAAATATCTTTTCTTTTTTAAGGGCTTTGTTTTCCTTAGGTATTTTTCAAAGACTGCAAATAAACAAAATTATGATTATAATGATATTTCAAAAAAAAAATTTTTTCATTTGTGGAATAATCTAAAGTCATTATCGGCACATGTTGATGTGTATGATAAAGTCCTGCTTCTCAAAAAGAATAAAAAACTCGATTTCCGCCAAATTTATCAACATGAAAATAAATATATGGAAGAGATAATTTGAGATTAAGTCTTTTACAAATCATGACTTTTTTATGGGCAGGTCATATTATTTTCTTCACACATGTTCAATGGTTTTCATCACGTTCCCCTTGATAAAGCTGCTATTTTCAGAAAAAGCAGGAAGTTTTTTTCGTTTTTTTAATCTATTTATGATTTTCTGATCGTGCATGACAAAATTCTCAAAGGAACGTTATTATAGTCAATTGCTTCTTTTTTTTTTCTTTGTTTAAAAAGAACATGTAAAGCTAATAGAGCTCAATTTTTGAATGAAATTCTTTTATTATTATATTAAAAAACACTTCTATCAATAGATGACCATTTTTCGAGGTATGGAACTTATCGTCCTTTTCGTTAGCACAAAAAAATGGATAACAAAAAAAAAGATACTGCTGTCAGATATGTTCTTTCAAATAAAAACAAGAGACTAAATAAACACAGCTAGGGTTTACGACGAATTTCGAATTGCTGAGTGGGCTATTTTTAATCCTTGTTTGATAAGTATATCCAGAAAATATTATGGTATAATACTAAAAAAATTTATTATAGCTTTCCTACTAGTAGTCTCAATATATCCTAAAAATTTCATGTGACTTTGATGTACCTAACTTAAAATTAATTTTTAAGAAGAGCTTAATGGATCAGAATCATTGATCGACCGTCGGATTGATAATAGAATTTACAAATATTATAAAAAAATAAGACGCAAAATAGAATTACTCATTTTAATATGAGGGTAAGAAATTGAATAATATGAATAATCGTATGATACTATTAAATGAATTTCTTTTAGTTTTCATTGAATAGTAAAATATTCTTAACGAAATTTAATAAAAAAAAAAAAAACAAACTAAGATAAGATGAAAATCTTATTTCTATTTAAGCTTTTACTGCCTGTTGGTCTCCCTATTTCCTTTTAATGATTATGAATTCACTCAATCTCATCCAAAATTATCTTCTTATTCGAGTTACATCATCATTATGCTATATGAATTCATTGGCTAATCCACTTATTTATTGGCTATTTGCAACAGATTTTTGTTATCGTTGCAGGTAATTAAGAATCTTCTTTCTCTTTTATGTTTTGAATAAAATTCCATTGAATCAGTTTGAGTTTTTCATTATCTATCTTTTGAGTAAAAGATAATCATCAACTATAACACTTTCCAAGTAAAATACTTCAAAAAATAAATGAACTGTGAATTATTCTTTCTCATTCGATATTATGATCGAACAATAGTGAAATAACTAAGAATTAAAATACACTCTATATAAAAAATCTTTACCTTTCAAAACATTAACATGATAGTCTATCATTAAAAATAAAACAGTTCTTAATTCATTAATCAAATATCTTTATGATTTTTTTTATTTTCACAAATTATCATTTATAATAAATTTATAAATTTTTATTTAATATTTAGACAAAATTGTGGTTGTAATTATTTAACAAGAAGATCATCGGATGGAATAAATGCTGGACGTTGGTCATTAACAGAATCTCGATATAGTACTGTTAGTGCAAAAAATCCACATCGTCGTTCAAATGATGATTGTCGTTTACAAAAAAATATTCGTGTATATTCAAATCGTCAATCAAATTATCGTTTACCACCAGCATCAAATCAATCAAGAACAATTAAACATATTGCCCAACATCGAAGTTCTCAATCATCACTTTTATATGGTTATCAACATCGTACTTAAGTCAAACAAAAAATAAACAAAAAACTAAATCATTCGTAAAAACAATAAATTTTTGTCTCTGTTTTGTGTCATTTCGTACATAAAAAAAAATAATAATGTCGATCCGCTATCTTAATTGATTGTCAATCACACACATAACTGCTCTATTGATATTCTATAATGTAACAGATAGAATAAAAAAAGGAGAGTATGTGCCTATTTCAATGTTTTCCAGAACAGGAAAACACATAGTAAGAGATTCCTTTGTTTAACATGAGACAAAATCATTTCTATCACAACAATATATATCAAAATGAAAAAATGATCTTACTTAGAAGCCCTATTATTTTGTAACATGTCAATATATATATATATATATATATATTGTAGTTTCCTTGTTGAGCCAAAGGACCTATCCAATGGGAATAAATAATAATTGATCTTTGTGGTGCTATGGAGTTTTGTTCCAAGTATTATTTTCTATCATTCTTTTTACATATTGTTTGACATTCGGAGTAATCAATCTCTCTCTCTCTCGCATTCGCCCTGATTACAGTGAGAGACAAAAGAGATCGGTTTGTGGTCCCAAGTCATTATTATTAATCTCTTGCTTTCTGACGTTTGTTGATGTTTCCACACGAACAACTATTGCTTCCGTCATTTATACAATTTTTGTGAACCTTGCAGCTACAATTATCTTTCTAATATAATATACATATATATATATATATATATATATATGCTTTTTACTAGATTAAATCCACACATATAGAATCATGTCGAAAACCCGAGAAACGTTACGTGAATGTGGTCGTTGGGTATGTCATTCGTTGGATATATTAAAAGCAATTATAATGAGAGTTATATTTGCACTTCATGCAACTATTGCTATTATACGTATTGTTATAACGAAAGGTGATTATTGGTATTTATTAAATATGTGTGGAGTTAATTTTCTTCTTATTGAATTGATTGTTACGATTGTTAAAAGAAAAGGTTTGATTTAATTTTGTTTGGATTTTTATTTAAATTTTTAGACGTTTTTATTTTTAGGAAAAGAACCGAAATGGTAAATATTTCATTGATAAGGAAAACAAAAAAATTTAAACAATCTGTTTTTTTAAAAGGTTTTCACCATGTTTTTTTCTTTATATTTGTACAATGATTCCACCGATATGGTTTCTTGAAATAAATCGAATCAATAGTAAACTTGGTCTCGTACCACTTAATCAAACCGAAGGAGCTGAATTAACATTAATGATTGAAAAAGGTATTATTTCAAAAGCTAATCTCAACGAAAAAACGGTATGTTCATTGGATTCTTTTTTACTATAAGAAGAAAGAACTTTATTTTAAACCGAAAAAAAAAAATTTTTTTATAGGATATGTTCATACGAAAGGTGAGAAAAAGAAACCAGGAATTTCAGTTAATAATTGCATGATGCATGATAATAAATTTGGTTTTCTATTTTAAAACCAAGAAGCAATCAAGCATCGATGATTTGATTAATTGCTTTCCTTGGTTATGAATGAATAAACGAGCCATGATTATTCGTCTTCTTTTTTTTTCTTATTAATTAACAGAATGGAAATACATCATTTTGTAATGTACTAAAGAATAATAAAAATAGATCAAGTTTTATTGTTCTATATTAAGAGTTTAGAATTTGAATAATGAAATAGCTGGAAAAATGATTTCCGAGTTCGAAGAATGTCAAAAAAAAATAGATTTATATATTTCCGCTTCTAGATACTTGAAAACAGGCTCTTTTTTTTTATAATGATATTTATCATTTCATATGTGATTAGAATAAAAGAATAGCAAAACAAAAAAACAAATATAAAATCCAATTTCGAGAGTTCTAGATAAATGAGTTAATAGCAATTTTTTTTGAATAAGCCTGAATGAAAAAAATAGGATAAAAACTATTTTCCGAAAAACAACAGAAAAGTATATCTTCTTGTATGTAAACCTATACAATCTGGATTACTAATCAATCATACATTCGTATAATTAAAGCTTTCAGGAAGTTTGTCATATTTCTAACAAACAAGATCGTTATGTAGTTTAAGAAAAGAATTTAGCCGAGACATTCCAGTCTATCACATCAAATGGTATTCATATTTAAGAGCATTAATACTACAATTTTATAGCATCATAATCATTTGTTTTACAATTTCACATTAATACAAATATATATATATATATATATATATATACATAAATATGATATTTTTTTCACAGAAAATCAAAGTGCATGTGCATGCTATAGACACGTGTCCTTTTCTTGCATGTTTCAGAAATTACTTTCATTATCAATTGATGATTGGGTTGTGGCTATTGAAGTAACATTTTTAATAATAATAATAATTGGTCGTTGGATGTTACCAAAAGGAAAAACAAGTCGTTCTGCATTATCTCAACTTTTACTTGTTTATTTATCATTAGCATCAGATATGATTGATTTATTATCTATATTTCAAGAAGATAAAGTTATACGCAATAGAGAAATGGTTTATTCAACTTTAGCTATTTTTTCATGGTCAACATTGCAATTTACTATTAATCTTGTTGCAACACGTGGAAGAAATTTTCGTCTTGAACCTGATTCATCAAGTCAAGATTTCAATCTTGCTTTCAAACAACAATATTTTCGTCGATATGGAAAAAAACCAATACGAACAATATGTCAAAAAATCTGTAATAGTGAACTTCCATCAATATTTATAACTATTTTAATGCAAGATTTACCTTTTCTCATACTTCGTCTGATTGCTGTTATACATTTTGAAGTACAATCATATACAACAATGTTTTTTACTTGTAAAAATTTTTTAATTTTATTTCTACAATTTTATCGTTTATGGTCTATTTGTATGGAACATATTGGTCATGAAGATCAAAATGATGTCGATAATCTTTCAGTATCACCAAGAACACAAGCGTTAACAAAACCATTAAATACACAGCTCCTTAAACATGATATTGCATGAATTTGGATAGCATGAACAATTTATATTTATATTTATATAATTTCTTTTTTTGTATATATGTATATAGTTATCAGTTATGTAAAGTAAATTTTATGTTTAGATCAAAGAATGGGGTGTCGAAGATTCAATGATTGTTGAACTTTCGTTTATGTTTATTATTATTCTTGGTCGATGGATTGTACCAAAAGGAAATATTTCTCATAGTGCTTTATCGCAATTATTACTTGTCTATCTATCACTTGCTTCGGATATTCTTGATTTATTAACATTATTTAATGAACGAGAAATTCAAATAAGTTCACCAATGGTCCATTTAGTCCTCATTGTTTTTTCTTTATGTATGCTTCAATTTGCACTCAATTTAACAGCAACTCGTGGTCGATCATTTCATGCTGAATTTGATCAAGCAGAAATTGAAATACATCAATCAGCACCATCCGAACCACCAACACCATTAGTTACAAAGCCTTTACCTCGTCATCGTCAACTTTTATCAAGATTTTTATCACGATCAACATCCTCATCAACAACTCGACCATTGACACCAAAAAGAAAAAATCCAACAATGAGCATACAATCACGAACATCCACTGCTCCTGTTATCAGTTCATCAGATACAACTTTTCAAAATACAGAAGCAATTAGAGGAAATGAAATGTACTTAAATACAAATCATTTACGTATGAAAATAACTTTGATTTTTGTAGTAAGGTTTTTTAAAATTTATTGATTCATATTTTCTATAGCTGATTCACCAACAAGTGTGGATCGATTAACAATCAATCCTTGTCCATCAATAAGTTCGCTTAATTCATTACAATCACCTTTTTCTAATTCTCCAAGCATCAAAAGAGTCCCACGTAAAAAACCTATTGGTGGTAATGTAAAATTTTTTGTTCTTAAACGATCATCAAAATTTCTTCGTTCTGAAATGTGGTCTATTCTTGTTACATTATCATTACAAGATGGTCCGTTTTTTGCTGTTCGCCTTATTGCTATCAATGTTTATCATGTGCGATCGTTTTTAACATATTTCTTTACATTTAAAAATTTTCTTATTCTAATTCTTCAAACATATCGTATTGCAGCGATATGTTTTGAAAAAGATGAATATGAACAAGAGTTTCAACAAAAAGTTAATAAAATGAAGCATATGAGTATGGCTGCAACACAACTTGGTATACCACTTAATAGAAAAATTTAAATAATAAAAAAATTACGTGTTTTTTTCTTTTTCGATTTTGTGTGTTTGTGTTCATGTTTGCAAGGCTTTTTCTTTTATATGTTAAAAAGATTATTGATATGCATTTATTCTAAAATGTACTTGATTTTGCAATTTATGAATACGTATATCTAACTTTAATAAAGATATTTGCATTCTGTACACAAGAAAGTTTTCACCATTTTTATGAGTCTGTTTAAGTTTATGAAACAAACGAAATAGGCAACATGATCATATACGTTAGCAATCATATCACATATGACAAAAGAAACCAATGTTTTATCAAAAGATGACTGTATGACATCTCTTAGTTTGTTTTTGTAATATTTTTGTTTGTGTACATATTATATATCATATTAGTAAAAGACGGTTTGATTTTAAAGAATATTATTTTATCAAAAACAGCTCTCTGTTTGATCAAAGTTTTTACGCGAGTCTTTCTACATAAGGGTAGTTTCACCAGAAATCTCTCACATTTACGGTAGTCTTTAGCAGCCAAACTGAAACTTTCAGCAAAGGAAGACCTCAACGCCCTCAGATCTTTGGTGAAAAAATTCGACAGACTTTCAATTGACATCATAGTTTTTTTTGAGACCATACAATACCACCGTTTGGTCTACAATGGACATTTTCGTGATTTTTCATCATTTTAGGGTTTTGACTTTTTTCTATAACTACGAGCCATAATTGAAATTTTATAAATAGATATATAGTACTAAGTTAGTAGACTCTGTACAATATTATATCAACTTATTCATATCATTCATTTATAGATTACTGCAATGCAACATTATACGAAAAATGAAAAAATAACAAAAATAGGCTATTGTCAAGTGTTCTGTTCGCCACCACAATATAATGACTAGTCACTGATTTTTATCACGTCAAATACATGTATCTAATGTCTATCTAATAATACAAGAATGACATGTTTTAAGTGTTTCTATTGATAGGCAAGCTTATACAAATGGGTACCCTATAGTCATCTATAATAAGAAAGTGACATGTTGTGGTAAAGATTTTTCAAATAAACAGAATTTGGGAGCATAATGGACAATAGTATGGCGAAAAATCATACATATGGTCCTTATAGGTCAAAAGGTGATATTTTGTGCTCTCACAAAAAAAATTATGATGCCCATTGACAATCCGTAGGATTTTTCACCAAAGGTCTTAGGGTGTTGAGGTCTTCAATTGCTGAAAGTTTCAGTTTGACATCTGAAGGTCGCCGTAAATATGGGAGATTTCAGATGGAACCATCCTGACGTAACTGCATGACATCGGTATGACATTACCTTTAAAGAAAAATGAATGATATAGTTAGAAAATGATTACTTCAATCATTAACTTCAGAATGTCATATTTAGCTTCGACATTTTTTTGATTCCGACTGACCATTAATAGAATGTTCCTCAAGCTTTATGCTACATAATGTGAGCTTCAATCAGATACAACAAAATTATTATGAATCAATCTATTTGAATATATGATTTACGTCAAAAGTTTTCGTAATAAATCGAAATAATCTAATATCATTGTTATTACAAAATATCAAAGCCCTTTCTTAAAACATACTAACATTGGTTATTCTCTTATGAAATAGCTCAGTCTGTTTTCAATGTATGTAGTTTCTTTGGAAAGAATGTATTTGCTCATTCTGAATTATAGCGCCATCTTCTCACATCCGTTTGAATCGATTTATTAGATGAGCGATAGAAAACACTTATTACTTATGACTTTCTACACACACTATACAGCTTAAAGCGTGTTTAAACAATATGATTTGTGTTTCCACGTAGCAACACCAATCAAATTGCTTCATTTAGTTTTAATACTTCGTGTAGCATGTGCATGGTCTATATAGAAACACATAAAAACGTCATGGCCTTTTTCGTTCCTATTTGTTTAACCTTTCACTAATGTTGAAAAATCAATTTTTCTTATTTTGGCAATGTATCTTTGGTCCCAAACTTTATCAAACTTATCCACATATACCACCATTACCTACTCGACAAGTATATTTGAAATGAAACTTTTTTAAAGAGTCTTTTTATCTATTTTACTCTAGCCTATTCATCTATACATAAGAAATACGGCAGAAACGCTCAGTGATAATGTTTTTCTTGTTGTAAGATTTTTTTTTTATTAGAATTTGTTTTTTTTTCGAATATATTATAAATATAATTTAGCTTAAAATATTACTTGCAACACTTCGAATACTTTGCCCATTATGTATATTGTATTTTTATTATAAAGGATCATTAACATATGAAAATGGTATATCATTTCTACAAATTAGTAGTTGTATTGTAATTATACCTATATATTTTATGTTATTACGTGGTTCGTTAAATTATATATATTATAAATGTGTTTAGATCATTTTTGTTTTTGATTAGGAATCAGTCGTTTTATAAATCCAACTTATAAAATATTTATTAATGAATATTTTCAAGTAAAATATAATCCAACTCAAAAAGCTCGTCAAGTAGTGAAAAAAAAATCAAATAAAAAAAAAAGAATCAATTTTTGAAAGTTTTATTTTAGAAACTTTTAGCTAAATATGATTTTTCACTTTCACATTGGAAACCTGATTATATAATACAATCATCTACTATTCGTAAATTACCAATGATATCAATATCAGAAGATAATTTAATTAAGAAAACAGAAGTAACATTAATCGAACGCTTATTTCATTATCCATCGCTTTTACTTGGTTATATATGTATTAATGTTTTTGGTCGTCGTTTAATGTTTCCTGGTAGTTTACAAATTATTCGTCATATGACAAATCGTGCTTTACTTGATGGACGAACAAATTTAATTGTTTCTTATCGTGCTAAACGTTATTTATTACGTACAGCTGATGGAAATCATATTGATACAATATTTGTTAATCAATGTTCAACAGATAATGGTCAAATATTAATTATTACTTGTGAAGGTAATGCAGGTTTTTATGAAGTAGGTTGTATGATGACACCAATCGACGCTGGTTATTCAGTACTTGGATGGAATAGACCAGGATTTGGTGAGAGTTCGGTGAGTGAAATAGAAAAATATTAAAATTCATTTAAACATATGAATGTTTATCGTTTTGGAAAAAGACAAGTTACGATTCATAAGTAATCCATATAAAGTTAGAAGCATACTATGAGTTAAAATATCTTGTAACGACGTAGGTCGAAAGTTTCTAGACAAAATATTTGACTAGTTCTTGCATATTTAGATGTGTTGTGCAAGAGTAAGAAGTAGTATATTCGAGTCAGAATATTGTACTCTTTCAGAATATACCAATGTCGCCTTACTATTAGTAAATCGTAGTATTCATAAGCACTTGCAGTAGCACTTACAAGTTTCAATTCTAGCTATAAGAAATTGTCGAGACTATTTCCTAAACACCTTCGAATGATTTCTTAGAAAGAATTTCAATTAATCAAGCAAAAATTAGTTTCAGAATATATTTTACTAATATAAAAGTTTCGAAACGGTATCCATCATAACAATTTATCTTAGAACTGAAGCTTCTTTGGATTCTGTGGCTGTTACAGACGCATCAACATTATCTCAGTACATCATAAACAACTTGGTTCTATCATTTTTGACATTCATATCAATCTTTGTTTCTTTTATCAAAAATAGTATCTTGAAAACTGCATCTTAATCGAACTCTAAAATATTTTAAAAATGATAAAATTCATTTCAAATTTCATATTTCTTAATTAAATTGTTCCCAAAGATTTTTCTTGACACTGGAATTCGAGTAACTTGATACTATCAACATAATGATAGTTTATAGATTAAAATTTCATTTCAGTCATTTCTTATTTTATTGATAATACTGATTCATCTTTAGCAGTATTTTTTCTTCAATAAAATTTTCTTGATAATCATAACTACTATTGTTTGAAGAAATTCAAAACACATTTATGTTCTTAGGGTTATCCAGATACACTCTCAGAAATAAATTCTATTGATGCTGTAATGCGTTATGCGATTGAAGAACTTCATTTTTCTGTTAATAATATAGTAATATTTGCTTGGTCCATTGGTGGTTATTCAGCATGTTGGACAGCTGTACATTATCAAGATATTCGTGGTCTTATACTTGATGCTATATTTGATGATGTTTTACCTTTAGCACAACGACAAATGCCATCATTTGCATCAAAATTTGTTGAAAAAACTATACGTTATTATCTTGATTTAAATAATATTCAATTACTTACATTATATAATGGACCATTTTATCTTATACGTCGCACATACGATGAAATAATGAATTTTATACCTGGTAAATTAGCAACTAATCGTGCAAATGAAATTTTATTTTCTATTTTACCATATCGTTATCCATTTATCTACAATAATGATGAAACAGTTACACTTTTAAAGCAATATATTTGTTCAAAAAAAATACAAAAAAAAACTTTATTTGATAAATATTGTTCAGATATAGATATTCTACAAACACTAATCGATCAATATCGACTAGAAAATCCAATTGGATCATATCCTTGCAAATTTGGTTTATATTTAAATTTTAAAATAATAAAAATTTGTTTTAACAATTCTTTTTTTTTTTCGTAGGTAAAAATTTTTCATTCGATGAACGACAACGTTTTGCCATTTATTTTGTTGATCAATATTTGATTGATTTCGATGCACAACATTGTACATCATTACCACAATGTTATTTTTGTTTACCTCATCGATGTGTTTGATATTTTTTTTTAAATATAATTAATAAAAAAGCAAAATTCCTCTCTGTTGAATACAAATATTAATTCGTTTTTTTTTTCTTAATAATCATTAAATGAAAATAAGTATTGAATACTTCAAAAATTCTATATTAATTTTGTTGTCAGTTTGTCATGACCATAACCTATTGTAAAGACTTGATTTTGTTTGGACAAAGCAATAAAAATGATTTTAGCAGATAAAATCCCATAGGAAAGAGTTAATCAAATATTCCAACTAATAATCATGATTCATCACGCACAACCCATTTATTAAAGCTATTTTTCCAATAATCTTTGATTAAAAACTTTATCATCTTAGTTACGACACTCTATGTAATCATTAGAAGTTGTTTTATTGATAGAATTATTCAATTAGATCAAGCAGCGGAAAAATATGTAGTACTTTATCTGTAGAATAAGGTCGGTATAAAATAATTATGATTTGTTCTAGTGTAGGATAGTAAAAGCATCTTTATGAATATATTAGTTCGACACGGTTATAATGACTTTTGATGTCTTGAGCACTAGCCGATGATCTGTTTTCTAATTCCATTTTAGGACATTCGTAATTAGATACTCCATTCTTCCATAAGCTAAATTACTTTTTCCAAATTGTAACCGATGAAGATTGTTCAATTGCTGTTCTTTTAGTTCGAAGAATTTCATCTTAAATTTGTCAACTACTATCATCACTTTATGTATTTTCTTACCCAAGCAGACAAACATTTTCAAAAGCGCGTTTAAACGCATAAAAAGGGCTTAAAATCCATAAAAAGTGAACGTGTTTGACTCACAATCACAGTTCCCGACTGTCAGCGAAAATCGACCACTTTTTGCC